GGTTAGGGTTGCAGCTAGGGTTAGGGTTGCAGCTTGGGTTAGGGTTAGGGTTAGGGTTAGGGTTGGAGCTAGGTTTAGGGTTTAGGGTTAGGGATAGGGTTGGAGCTCGGGTTAGGTTTAGGGATAGGGTTGAAGCTAGGGTTAGGGTTAGGGTTAGGGTTGGAGCTAGGGTTAGGGTTAGGTATAGTGTTGGAGCTAGGGTTAGGGTTGGAGCTAGGGTTAGGGTTAGGGATAGGGTTGGAGCTAGGGTTAGGGTTTGGGTTGTAGCTAGGGTTAGGGTTGCAGCTTGGGTTAGGGTTAGGGTTAGGGTTGGAGCTAGGGTTAGGGTTAGGGTTAGGGAAAGGGTTGGAGCTCAGGTTAGGGTTAGGGTTGGAGCTAGGGTTAGTGTTAGGGTTAGGGTTGAAGCTAGGTTTAGGGTTAGGGTTGCAGCTAGGGTTAGGCTTAGGGTTAGGGTTAGAGCTAGGGTTAGGGTTAGGGTTAGGGTAAGGGATAGGGTTGGAGCTCGGGTTAGGGTTGGAGCTAGGGTTAGTGTTAGGGTTAGGGTTGAAGCTAGGGTTAGGGTTAGGGTTGCAGCTAGGGTTAGGGTTAGGGTTAGGGTTGGAGCTAGGGTTCGGGTTAGAGTTAGGGTTAGGATTGGAGCTAGGGTTAGGGGTAAGGGTTAGGTTTAGGGTTGCAGCTAGAATTAGGGTTAGGGTTAGGGTTGCAGCTAGGGTTAGGGTTGGAGCTAGGGTTAGGGTTAGGTGTGGGGTTTGAGCTCGGGTTAGGGTTAGGGTTAGGGTTAGAGCTAGGGTTAGGGTTAGGGTTAGGGTTGGCGCTAGGGTTAGTGTTAGGGTTAGGGTTGCAGCTAGGGTTAGGGTTAGGGTTGGAGCTAGGGTTAGTGTTAGGGTTAGGGTTAGGGTTGCAGCTAGGGTTAGGGTTAGGGTTAGGGTTGGAGCAAGGGTTAGGGTTGGAGCTAGGGTTAGGGTTAGGGATAGGGTTGGAGCTCGGGTTAGGGTTAGGGTTAGGGTTGGAGCTAGGGTTGGTAAGGGTTGGAGCTAAGGTTAGTGTTAGGGTTGCAGCTCGGGTTAGGGTTAGGGTTGGAGCTAGGTTAGGGTTAGGGTTGCAGCTAGGGTTAGGGTTGCAGCTTGGGTTAGGGTTAGGGTTAGGGTTAGGGTTGGAGCTAGGTTTAGGGTTTAGGGTTAGGGATGGGGTTGGAGCTCGGGTTAGGTTTAGGGATAGGGTTGAAGCTAGGGTTAGGGTTAGGGTTAGGGTTGGAGCTAGGGTTAGGGTTAGGTATAGTGTTGGAGCTAGGGTTAGGGTTGGAGCTAGGGTTAGGGTTAGGGATAGGGTTGGAGCTAGGGTTAGGGTTTGGGTTGTAGCTAGGGTTAGGGTTGCAGCTTGGGTTAGGGTTAGGGTTAGGGTTGGAGCTAGGGTTAGGGTTAGGGTTAGGGAAAGGGTTGGAGCTCAGGTTAGGGTTAGGGTTGGAGCTAGGGTTAGTGTTAGGGTTAGGGTTGAAGCTAGGTTTAGGGTTAGGGTTGCAGCTAGGGTTAGGCTTAGGGTTAGGGTTAGAGCTAGGGTTAGGGTTAGGGTTAGGGTAAGGGATAGGGTTGGAGCTCGGGTTAGGGTTGGAGCTAGGGTTAGTGTTAGGGTTAGGGTTGAAGCTAGGGTTAGGGTTAGGGTTGCAGCTAGGGTTAGGGTTAGGGTTGGAGCTAGGGTTCGGGTTAGAGTTAGGGTTAGGATTGGAGCTAGGGTTAGGGGTAAGGGTTAGGTTTAGGGTTGCAGCTAGAATTAGGGTTAGGGTTAGGGTTGCAGCTAGGGTTAGGGTTGGAGCTAGGGTTAGGGTTAGGTGTGGGGTCTTAGCTCGGGTTAGGGTTAGGGTTAGGGTTTGAGCTAGGGTTAGGGTTAGGGATAGGGTTGGAGCCCGGGTTAGGGTTAGGGTTGGAGCTAGGGTTAGTGTTAGGGTTAGGGTTGGAGCTAGGGTTAGGGTTAGGGTTAGGGTTGCAGCTAGGGCTAGGGTTGGAGCTAGGGTTAGTGTTAGGGTTAGGGTTGCAGCTAGGGCTAGGGTTGGAGCTAGGGTTAGGGTTAAGGTTGTAGCTAGGGTTAGTGTTAGGGTTAGGGTTAGGGTTGGAGCTAGGGTTAGTGTTAGGGTTAGGGTTGCAGCTAGGGTTAGGGTTAGGGTTAGGGTTGCAGCTAGGGTTAGGGTTAGTGTTAGGGTTGCAGCTAGGGTTAGGGTTAGGGTTAGGGTTGCAGCTAGGGTTAGGGTTAGTGTTAGGGTTAGGGTTGGAGCTAGGTTAGGGTTAGGGTTGCAGCTAGGGTTAGGGTTAGGGTTAGGGTTGCAGCTAGGGATAGGGTTAGGGTAAGGGTTGGAGCTAGGGTTAGGGTTAGGGTTAGGGTTGGAGCTAGGGTTAGTGTTAGGGTTAGGGTTGCAGCTAGGGTTAGGGTTAGGTTAGGGTTGGAGCTAGGGTTAGGGTTAGGGTTGGATCTAGGGTTAGGGTTAGGGATAGTGTTGGAGCTAGGGTTAGGGTTAGGGTCGGAACTAGGGTTAGGGTAAGGGATAGGGTTGGAGCTAGGGTTTGGGTTAGGGTTGCAGCTAGGGTTAGGGTTAGGGTTGGAGCTAGGGTTAGGGTTAGGGTTGGGGATTGGGTTGGAGCTCGGGTTAGGGTTAGGGTTTGAGCTAGGGTTAGTGTTAGGGTTAGGGTTGAAGCTAGGGTTAGGGTTAGAGTTAGGGTTGCAGCTAGGGTTAGGGTTAGGGTAAGGGTTGGAGCTAGGGTTAGGGTTAGGGTTAAGGTTGAAGCTAGGGTTAGGGTTAGGGTTATGGTTTGAGCTAGGGTTAGGGTTGGAGCTAAGGTTAGGGTTAGGGTTAGAGTTAGGTTTGGAGATAGGGTTAGCGTTAGGATTTGAGCTAGGGTTATGGTTAGGGTTACGGTTGGAGCTAGGGTTAGTGTTAGGGTTAGGGTTAGGGTTGCAGCTAGGGTTAGGGTTAGGGTTGGAGCTAGGGTTAGGGTTAGCGATAGTGTTGGAGCTAGGGTTAGGGTTGGAGCTAGGGTTAGGGTTAGGGTTGGAGCTAAGGTTAGGGGTAGGGGTTAGGGTTAGGGTTGCAGTTAGGGTTAGGGTTAGGGTTGGAGCTAGGGTTAGGGTTAGGGTTAGAGTTAGGTTTGGAGATAGGGTTAGCGTTAGGATTTGAGCTAGGGTTAGGGTTAGCGATAGTGTTGGAGCTAGGGTTAGGGTTGGAGCTAGGGTTTCGGGTTAGGGATAGGGTTGGAGCTAGGGTTAGGGTTAGGGTTGCAGCTAGGGTTAGGGTTAGGGTTAGGGTTGGAGCTAGGGTTAGGGTTAGGGTTAGGGTTAGGGTTAGGGTTGGGGTTGAGGCAAGTGCTAGGGTTAGGTTAGAGTTAGGGTTAGGGTTGGAGCTAGGGTTAGGGCTAGGGTTGATGCTACATGACCTGTATTGTGATCCTACATTCAAAAAAGTGCTTTTGGTTTTTTTTTTTTAAATCAAGTATTTCTGAGGTGATGAGACTTGTACAACAAAAAACGTTCCTCTACAATGTCTGGTAACCTGTGCCATACACTTTTCTCTTTTTCATTATTTAGCAATTCTTCCTGCAGTAGCCTCATCTTATCCACACAGTTTCATCTTCTACTGCTGCCATTTCCCCGATCAACACCCTCTTCACATTAAAAGCTTTTTTAGCCCCTGTTTATCCTCCTGCCTGCAGGCTAAAGATTCCCAGCTTTGTTTCTCACGTATGCCTGCAGGTTATTTGAGTGTTTAATCACAGCAAGATTTTGGACGTTACAGAGGATGACTGATCTTCTTTTTGTTTGGCTCTGACTGTCTGTTTTCTTCCTACAAACAACATGAATCCTGTTTTCACTCCTCATGAGGTCTGTTTAGCACTCCCAATCCAGGGATTTTGAAGGTAAGAAACCCACATTATTCCATTAAGAACCCCTATAGCTACGGTCATCCATCCAAAATATATTTTTCTTCATAGCATCTTCACTTTGTCATGCTGGAACAAAAACAAAGCCCCCCACCTCATTGCTCATGGAACACGAATAGATAAAACCAAGGAAATACAGTTGTTTCCAGCTCTGTGTTTACATCTTGCCATATGTTTCCAGTTTGTGTTGAGTTCTGCTGACAGGCTGAGATCCGAATCTGAGACCACCCTGTGATGAAGTCATCAGTGAGAGCTCCAACTGTACTCAGACTGGCAGTCAAGAAGAGATCTCTGCTGTTAAAATAATCATTTTTATCGCCTGAATTTACTTATTCTGTGTCTGTGGAGACACTGAACTGTACTTTTTTTCAGATGTATTAGTTTAAAACTAATCAAGTAATTGGCATTGTTAACATTTCTTTTTGTTTTAACATTGTCAGGGTTTATTTATATAAAGGTCAAACAACTTGTGAATCATGCGTTGCGCAGTAGGTTCATTATTAATCCAATAACATGACATACATTTTTACTTTAATGTTGCCTGGATAGAAAGGATTATATTCACTTAGGTCTTTGAAATCTAGATATCGTCTTACCCCCGAAACAATTTATCTGAAATGAATCATGTCTGAAAAAAACTTAAGTTTCCCCTTGGATGCCTTTGAAGACGAAACATTGTGAAATGCTCTCACTGGTGCCTTTAGTGGAAATTCAGGGAAAAACTGGCCTTGGAAGTGGCCTTGCAAGTTTAAAATCTCACATTGAAGAATGTACTGACAAAACCAAGCAACATCTTTTGCAACACATGTGAAATATGTGCAATATGCACCTTTCAAAAGGTTTAGAAAAGGTTTTGTGGGATAGAAACTGGTGTAAAAATCTTAAATTTTCATGTATGGACAAAACACAAGACTAAAACTCAATATGTTCTTTTAAAGAGGGGCTTATTTTAAAACTAAAAACAAATGTTTTCAGACAAGATCAAAATATTTCTGTAGCTGTTGTTCAGTTTACGTTGTGCATGTGTTGCTGCTCATATGTGGGCCTACAGGTTATGAAAGGGGCAAGAAAACCTGGATGTTTCAGCTGACTGTTGTTGGAAAGCAGCCACGTGACCGCGCTGACTCTCTGTGGTTGAAGTGGGCCGGCCTAGGGCCACCAGGGGCCCTCCTCACTCACACAGGCGGTCTGCGCCTTTTAGGAGACGGCAGACCGTGTAACTTGATCCTGAATGAAAACTGTGCGCCTGACCCGGCAGCTAGTCCACAGTGTGTTCGTCAAAGTGAGAGAGAGCGGAGGTGCATGATGGACCCGGTCCCTCTGCTGCTCATCTTAGTCTCATCTCTGCCGCTCGGCTCCGCGGTCTACGACGGGCCCCTCCAACCGGAGATCTCCAACGGCACCTTTCATCACTTCTTCGTCCCGGATGGGGATTACGAGGAGAACGTGGACCCGGAGGAATGCCAGATGCTGTTTAAATTCTCGGATGTGTATCCATGCGGGGCCTATGAGGAGCGGGACTCAGTGGTGCGGGACGACTTCATCATCTCCAAGTTACAGGCGGAAGATGCGGCGCGGCTCCTAGAGGGCATCGGCCGCACCGTGGCGCACGATCTGGACGGTGAGGACAGCTACGGCAAGTTTCTCCAGAGGGAACTGTCCCAGATCAGCGAGGCTTTCTCCAGTGTGGACAAGTCTCTGCAGGAGCTGGAGGTGAAGTTTAAACAAAGTCAGGAGACGGAGCTGAGAGAGGAACAGCAGCTGAACGGATACGTGATGAAGCAAGTGAGCGACATTAGGAACGCCCTGAGGGGGACCACGGAGGTCTCTGTGGGACTAAAAGACAAACACGAGCTTCTGTCTCTCATCATCCGCAGCCATGGCTCCAGACTGAGCCGCCTGAAGACAGAGTACCTACATGTGGGTTCATAGTGGAGCCACAGCAGCTCAGTGTGTGTGTGTTTGTGTGTGTGTGAGTTTGAGTATGTCTTTGTGACCCTCCAGTTCATCAACCAACTGGAAAGTTCATTGTGGTTTATGAATATCCCTCCTAAGTATGTTGAATGTGTCATTAAAGGGAAACAGCAGCACATTCCTCTGAGTCAGGAGGGAAAAAGGAAATGTGAACATAAATTATGTCTGTCTGGAGCCCTCTGTGCCACAGCAGAGAAGGACTTTTATTCTGGAGACCGAAAGAAAATAAAAGCCCACCGAGGGTATTTATTTGCCTCAAAATGAAAAGAAGTACTTCATATTTCATCTGTAAAGTGTAACTTATGTTGTTTATACAGTTTGAGGTGACTGCTGTTCGAATAAATCTTCAATATTCACCAAATACCTGGATTGTCCTTTTACTGAATGTAAGATTCACACGTTGTTTTCCTCTTACAGAAACATCCTGACACATTCAAATCCAGACATTAGTGTGTTGTAAAAAGAAAAACAAGAGAAAAACCCCCAATCCTTTGAAGCTTGAGGTTTCCATAAACAATGACAGCCTTTGAAATCTGTACTTTGGATTTCCAGCATCCAAAATAGACCCTTCTCCTCCCCTTTCTTGTCCAGTCCTCGCGTCTTAAGTCAATGTGTTTGTTGTCGGTACTACAAGTAGCAGACTCAAGCATCCCATCAAGTGGCCTTAATAAATTGGCGTCTGAGGTTTGTCACTGCCCCACATTTCCATCTGGAAGTCATCTACTGGAGTATGAAATATGTTAGTCCAGAGGCCGCCACCGTCACTATCATCTGCTCTGTAGTCTGTCACCATGCATAAAAATCTGTTGTTGATAAGACCTGTTTTTTGGGGTAAGAATTTCAAGTTGTTTTGAATGATAACAGTTTTATAAATGATTGTAAATGCCTCTAAAAAATCTCTGAAAAGAAACTCTCTGCCCTCCTACTGTTTAGACAGAAAACATCTTTTTACAGACACACTGTTTATGTGAGAAACTTTGTTTAAAATTCCTGAGAGGCATTAGTTCTTATCTAATGTCTGGCTGTTTAAATTCACAGTCTGTTTGATTTAATACTGAAAAGGCCCCCCGATATAATCTGTGTATTTTCCATCCTTAACCACCATTTAAAAATCTCTTGTTTCAGCCAATGTCTGCAACAACCACAATGTAACTGCCATAAGCATGCCCACTTTTTTTTTTACAGATAATGTCTCAGTAGATGTGAGCGAGCCAGATGTGCTGCCATGGGCGCAACTGGGTGTGATTTCCTCTGTCTGGTTTTCCTCACAGTCCGGCTTCCCCTGAGGGACCCCTTTTTCAAAACAGCTCTGTGTAGCTCAGCACAGCGTGGCCAGACCCTGTCAGAAACCCAAACTCCATGTGCGGGGAAACCTTATACGTCCATATGACTTTTAATTTTCAGGGGCAGATGAACAGGGCTCACAAGATTTGATTAAAAGATTTGGTTCAATTTTCCACTGAGTAAGTAAAAGTAGAGCAGGTCAGGAAACCTCTAAAAGCAAACCTAAGCCATCCCTCTTAATTTGTCTTCTTTGGCTCCAGTCACTACTTCTACCTATAGAGAAGTATGTTTCTGTGGTCTCAGGTCTCTGGAGCGAAGAGAGAGCAAGGCTCCAGGAAGAATGTATTCTCCTCATGGACACATTTTAAGGACAAACAAAGAGAAGGTCAGGAATGTTGACCTGAGATCACACTGATCCCTCTCTGAGCAGAGCCAAAAGCCCCAAGCCACATGCCTCTGTGCTGTTATTATTAGACAGATGAGAGCTATTTGGATACTACAACTGCTACTTGTCCTGCCAGTATTATCGATGCAATAAATACCATTGTATATTACATCCACTACTACTAATAGTTTTACCATCCTTCAGCTAACCTTGCAGCTAAATCTTCCTCTACTCAAAAGTCCTCAAAAGGAGATCATTTTTCCAAACTCTTTGATAAGAAAATTCATTTTGACCGTATTTTGAGCAAAGACAACTTTGAGCTCTTTAAGCAGGTTTGAAAACAAATGTCATGGTCAATCAGTGTGTCAGCACATTGTGACTATGCTTTGTCAGCAGCTTTCAAACTCCTCGGCAACTGAAGAAACTCTCATACACCAAACGCCACAAGAATACCATGAGTAAAATCTCTGAATCTACAGTTTTACAAATGTCACAGCATGTTTCCTTTTGTTAAATGTTTACTGAGACTAAGTGGCAAAGAAGTAGTTTGATAATTCTTTGTTGTCAGAAGTAAGCTAGTTTTTTGGTGCAGTACCTCAGGGATCAGTTCTAGGTCCCATGTTTTATTCCATTTCCATTAGAAGTTAAATTAGACTTTCTTGCACTCTGTCATGTTGACACACAAGATCATCAAAAATCTTTCATCAGCGTATTTTATTGTCATTTTCAATATTCTGATGATAATGAGATACAGTCCATGACTATCATTGGACCAGTCCCTGAACAATCTCAGAAATTATATCTGGGATTCAACACCCTGCCTATGATTATAAAATTAATCCAATTACCTTTAACGCTTAGGTATGACTGCCTGACAAAACCTTCAGCCCCTGTCACTTTGAAGCTACTTGTTGGTATTCCCCCGTTAAAGCCAAGGCTACATCCATTTACCATGGTGGGCTAAAGCAAGTATGCTTGCAACCTTTGCTACAATACAGTCCTTCAGCATCTGGAATTGGAATTCCCCCCTTTGGGACTATAAAAGGAACATCTTATCTGATACAGACACACTTAGAAAGCAGTACTCTTTCAAACTTGGATTAAAAATCTAATCTGGACACAAACACACTGGGACTCTTGATTACCCCCTGTTGTCTTGAGCCAACATAACTGCCCTTAAACATCGTGGAAAAGAGCTGTGAAGGTGAAGGTTGTATTTGTGCTTAAAACTCTTGTGAGAAACTTTTAGTTTGTGTTAATTCTGGCGCCCTCTGTGAAAAAAAACAGTTTTCGCTTTAAATATCCTCTACATCAGGGGTGGGCAATCATGTGCCATGGAGGGCCGAGGGGCTGTAGGTTTTCTTTCCAACCCAAAACTCCACCAGGTGATTTCACTGATTACCTTACCTCCAAGCAGAGAGCAGAGACTAATCCGTGAAAAAACCTGGTGGAGTTTTGGGTTGGAAAAAAAACCTACAGCCTCTCGGCCCTCCATGGCACATGATTGCCCACCCCTGCTCTACATGCTTCAGTAATGTCTTCTGATCAAAAGAAATTATCCTGCTGACTTTAGACATTCACATTAATAATGAATGTGAATATCAAAAGTGTAAATGTAAAAACTGGGTTGTCTCCTCAGCTGACCCCTTTCCCCTTGCACTGGTTTAAGGCTTTTAAGCCTCATGGGCTTAAAATCAACAATCTTGAAAGTTAAGAACTCCTCCTGAGAGCCTTAAATCAAGTACAGAGCTCTGTTTTTGGACAGGTACAACCCTTAATCTCTACATGTTTGCCAAAATATGTCAAGGAGGGGGAGTGTGCGAGATGGAGTGCAAGTAATATGAACATTTTTGTAAAGTGTGCAAGATTTTTCTACATCAATTGTGCCAGGCGTTCTGTGTGTGAATTATTAACAGTATGGCAGATTGCCCTCGTTATATCAGTTTGTCAAAATTATGTATAGATCATTTAGATATCTCTGTTGTTGGTTGATGTGATGCCTGATATCTATGCAATCTTGTCACATAATCAGCAGATATGATATTTTACTCTCTAAAAGACAAAAAAACTATTCAGGATTCTTACTCAGTGCTGCATAAAACTGAAATACTGATGCTCTGATTTCTTTCAGCTGAACACAGACAAATTTCAAGTCATTGTCATACCTCCAACACTACACCTGACCTAATTCTACCACAGTTTTGCTCCCTTTTTGCCAGACTCATCTAAAACTGAAGACATTTCTCCATCACCTATGATATCCCCCAAGCAGCTTCAAGTACTTATTCATGCATTTGTCACATCCTGTCTAGACATCTGTAACTGACTCTAATCCTGCTAAAATAAACAGAATCTTTTCAGACCTAAGCATGAAAGAATAGAAAAGAAAAAAACATCTGCAAAACTCTTTAAATTAATGAAGTTTAATATTAAAGTTGGCAATTTTAAGGGATGGATGGGACCGGCCCCTAAGTACACAAATGACTGTTTAATTCTTTATGAACCGAGGTGAATCCTCAGATCCTGGTATGGGTCCCTCTTGGAGAGTTAAGATGGTTTTAAATCAGTCAGTTGGTCTTTGGAATCAGGATCCATTTTTCTGGAGAGAATTAGACAAGAGGCACATTAACTACTTTAAAATCAATTTCTAAAATCTAATCTAATCAGATGTTTTCAACTGCACAGAGATAAAACACACGATTTGGGCAACGTAATGATAAAGAAATGATGCTGGAGAGCAGAGAAAAAAACAAAAGGAACAAGTGAAGCCAGCAAGTGAGATAGCTGTCTAGAGACATTTAATTTCTCATTAGAATGGGAAAGTAATAATAGCTCACGTCAAAGGTATGTATGTTGGAAACGAAGGAAAAAATCTTTGGATAGTAATCAATCATAAAACAAATGTAAACTTTTGATGTTGTCATGAGATCAGAGAGCTTTTGATGCAAAAGTATTTGGATTTCATGTCTCTGTATGGATCATTTGTGTTTATTAAATACAGTTGAATTTCATTTGAACCGGCAGCAGCCCATTACCTCACTCCTCTCTGCTCTGTTTCACTTGGATTGTTTTGTTTTAGTCCATTTTGTTTCTCAGTTTTTGGTCAGTGACTCAAGCTTCAGTCACAGGCTTTTCACCATTAAAATGTTCAGAGGAGCATAAAACAGTTTCCTTGAAGCGCCACCAAAATTAAAATAACTGCAGTTTAAAGAGAAATGCTGTAAAAGTTTTTCTCAATTAGCAGGCCTCTCTGCTCCCTGGCACACCCGTGACCTCATGTTGTAATGCAAAATAAAAGACAACCACAAAGACGTTTCAATGGTGTGGGCTCGGAGTGTTACACATGCAGGCATAAAAACAGTTTTGCACGGCTGTTTTATTTTTCAAAAAATATTTCGATGGGGGTTAAGACCTCAAGAACCACAAACATTTCCCTCAAACACAGTTTGGTCTGAATGCTCGTATTTTTCCTTGAATAAACACAAATGCATCTGCATACATACAATTCAAAAAGTACATGTACATATTTTGTTTTGAATGGGTACATAATGATACACAGTTGCCCTTTGAAATGTGACCGAACACTTCCATGGTATGATCTTCAGTACAGATTTTAAATTTGTGCTATTGATCTTCTGCCAGTTTTTCTTTTCCCTTTTTTCTTCTCAAACTAGCAGATTTTACAGGAAGAAAATGTTTTTATAACTATTTTCCTCTTGAAAAGCAAGCAATAACACTGAACAGTTCATTCATAAAGAGGGACGGAAAAAAAGCACCAGAGGGACTGAGATCCCCTTCAGTCAAATGTCACCTCTTTCTACTGTTCATGAGAGCCAGAGCCAGTGTGCCTTTCTGATTCTGTGCCTGGCTCTGTGAAGGCCCCCTCTCTCTTTGCTCCAAATCCCTGCACGGGTCAAACTGTCTCTGCAACAGGGCTCAAACATCACTGTTCACAGATGAGACAGGTGTCTGTTCGATGTGGCTGAGGCCTGTCACACGCAGCCGTTCTCCTGCCTAGGCTTGTGCACCACGGGAGTGTGTGGAGGGTAGAGGGATGGAGCAAGTGTGCACAAGAAACCAGCCAGCAATGTAAGGCCGAGTCCACCCCAGGCACAAAACATGGACCAGCCGTAACCGTGGCTGATGTCCTCGGGTATTCCAAACATGTAGCGAGGGTAGCGCGACAGTTCAAAGTTGATCCCTGCCACGCATGTACAGAGAGAGATTATGCAGCATGTTCCTGGAAAAAAACACACAATCAAGTCAGACAGCACATTTTCATCTCCTGTGGATGATGCATCATTCCAGCACTCTCTTTTAGCAAATGCTTTACTGCCCCTCTGTGGTCAGTCAGGGTAGTGCTCTTTATGTAAAGTATATCTTACCTCCCATGAGGAAGAGGAGTCCAGCGACATACTGCATCAGATCATGTTCTTTACAGCAGCCCAGCACGCCTATTATCCAGCCAAATAGGATGATAGATACAGCCATGCCTACGAAGCTGGCAGTCATCCTCTGGAGGTCTATGGATAAACAAAGCGAGAGTGTTTTTGGATGCTGGACCACATCTCTCTACATTAATCCAACTGGAGTGTGAAAATGGGACATTTGGGAAACTCACGTAGCGCATGCCACTCATCCTGCCTTATTGTCTTCGTCAGATTGATTGGCAGATTCCTGGGCAGCGCTGATGATGAGTAGTAGTATTTTATTGGTGTGCAGCGCGGAACCAATCCTGTGCATGTAAACAACAAAGAGGATGTCACATAAGCACTGAGATCAGATAAGGAGGATATCACAGGGCTTTCTGAGTGCTACCACCCCCCCTCCCAAAAACAGCTACCCAACCCCTCTTCACCACCCACCCACTCACTCATCCACCCACACCATTGTAGAGTAGCTTATTGTACGCATCTTGAGGCTTCTGTTACTACGGCTTGCCCTTTTGTGCTGGGAAATAACACAGCACGTAGATTGCGTTGTAACTGTACTCCGTGTGTTACTGCGTAGGCCTGGAGGGTCTGTGCGCAGCATCAGCACCTTGGATAACGCACACATGCACAAGTACTCACTGATAGCGCTAAAATGAACGCACAACAGCACAAAATGTGACATTAAAAACGAACCTTTGAAGATTAGATCCTCTGTTTCCAAGTCAAAGCCCGCTCGATGGCACTTTCTCCACAGTCCCGTGATGGTGGAGTTATATTGCCGACTGCAGAGGGACTCCATGGCCGGGGCAGGAGGCGAGAAGTGCCGTTTAACCCGCAGCAGCATCTCGCCGCTGACACCGGTGCCCCTCCTCTCCAAATGTTTCTCCTTCGGCAACATGCGAAGCGGGAGGTTGTTGTTGGAGATGTAAATGTAGCCCGGATCGTTCCTTTTGTTGGAATAATTCTTGCAGCGCTCCCGGTGCCTCCTCGCGTCAGTTTCGTACCAGTTGTCAGTGCTGATCGCAATCGCTATCAGTCCCAAAGCGCAAAAAGCCAAAAAAAGACCTGCCACGGTTAAAGTCCTCATAGCAGCCATGTTCCATGCGTCTCTCGCCTAGGTACCGTGATAAATCCACGGGACAGCAGGGCTCCGCTCCTGGCTGCTGCTGCTGCTGCTGTCAGTATTTGAGATGGGGAGGGAATTCAACAATAGAATGAAACCTGAAATGCGGATAAATCCCCAAAGCCCTCATTTCATTCATTGACCGACCATCGACACGAAGGAGCCAAATTCCGAGGTTGAGAATCAATAAATTTGGGCCTCGATTAACAATATTTTGGTTGTCTCCTCTGTGCCGCTGAACTCAGTCTAGCCTAGATACTGGCCAGTCCAACATTTCTTTCCAGTAGATGGAGACAGAGCAAATATTTGAAAGCACAACAACCCCCCAGGCCAGCACTGACACAGCAGATCATGATCTGTGGGGAGAGATGTCCAAAGTTTGAGAGAGTTACACCACAGATAGTGCCCTCTCTCAGACTGTTATATCATCTTCTCCTGCTGCTGTAGTCTTAACTGTTCAGTTATGTAGGAGCTACTATTAATTCCCACAGAAAGCCTGTTTTACCTCTGTCTGATTAACAGGGAACAGTTGCATCACATCCAACAGATAGCTCCTTGTTACTTTCCATTTTAACTGGAACAAGGATAAAAACATGGCAAAAATTATGCAAGATTACAGCATTGCAGTTTTTCTAACTAAATGTTACATGGTTTTTGGTGTTGTTGTTACACCACCAACATAAAGCCTGCGTGATTGAAGCGTTAGTGTCTGATTCCTGTTAGGCAGGGCGTCATGCTAAGACGGATAAATCTGTGTTTTATGCTTCTGAGCGGAAATATACTGCAGCAAAAACAGGGTCATGTGGACAGTTTAGACAGAGTCACGATGGTTTCATTCTCTTACTCGATACTTCCTCAATTGAAACTAGAATGCCAAATTAAAAAGAGGAACAAACCCTGCTCCCAACTTCACTTTTGCTTTTGGGTCTTGTGTCTCATTACTCTTTAAAAAAGTCCTCTATGAACAAATCCTACTTTTGAAAGTGAATATGTTTTTCTATACGTAGGCCTAATTTTTCCCTTTCAATGTTAAGAGTTAGGCCAAATTATGTCTTTTGATATGATGGTTTATCTCCTGTAAGGAATGAACCCAGAACAAAACTATATTATGCACTGAGGTCATATCACTGCAGCTCAAAGACTAAAACTGCCCAATATAACTGCGTGACCTTCCCCAAAATAGCTTGAGATGCTTCATACACACTTCTTGGTCACATGTAAATGGATAATGATTCAGAAACACATTTAGCAACACAATAGATGCTGCTATTTACTTTTCTTTGGACCATCAAAAGGATCAAAGTGCTTCTGTACTTTCAAAAAAGAGGAATCATCACAATGATACCTCCTAAATAAAGGAAATACACGTGTGGTATGATTGGCTCCTAATGTGTATTTACAACCAGACACCAGGAACAAACTGATCATATGAATCTGACAATTGAATGTTGTGAGAATGTTCAGGGTCCAGCTTATTTCTAACTTTCACTTCCCTCTAGCCCCGCAGTCTGCTGCGGTCGGCGCTTAGCGACGTTGCCTGTTTCTCTATAAGAAATAAGAAAAAGTTCACAAGCCTCGAGATCCTGGATTCTAATGCTGCCTTGTTTACGTGATGGATGGGTTTGTCATCTCACCTGTAAGTTTTGCTGCTCTCTTGTGTGACATTTGACCTTTGACAGGACAGTCTGTGATTGTAGCTTGAGACACTTGAGTGGTCAATCTGGTGTTTGTTCAAATAAGTATCGCCTGTGTTTGTATAGCCGTTTCTCTGAAATAAAGCTAATCCGGTCTGGTGTTTTGTGATCCAGGTGGGATTTCATCTATTGATCTAAGAAGAAGTGAAGGACTTAGTGACAGTGTTATATTTGTCATTTATTAAGAACATGATATCCTTTTCTTTGCACTCTGGGAAACTTACTCATACGTGTATTGCCCGGCCACTTGTTTACTTTGTGCATTTCTTTCTTTGTGTTACTGCAAACAGTAAAAACAATGTGATTTCAGTACATAAAAGTCATTACAGTGAACGTTTTTAACTTTATTTATTAAAGTAGAGAAACTAAATTTTACCTTCTCTGTCTGAAAATATAATTTTCCACTTTCAAAGGCTTCTGAAGAAATCAATCCCAATGACTCAGAAGATTACAGACCCCCTGTAGAGATGTACCCCTTCATCACTAACCTGGGAGAGATTTATGAAGGTGAGTTGACTGAATTAAGCTGTTAAAAAGTGAGCAAAATACTACACCACTTACTCTCTTTGCCAACCTGTTAAGAGACTTTGCCAAGTGTCTTACCTGTTTAATATTTCAGACCACAGATGGACCTTTCACTCTGAGCGTGTGCACCCAACAGACTTTGAAAATTCCCCAGTGAATCACCTCACAGAGCTTCAGTCGGTGTCTCCTCAACAGCTGATACAACCATACCGCTACAGCAATGAGCCTCTGGCCCTCCACCTTGAGCCAACTCTCGGAGCACTCTCTGTGTCACCTCAGGTAGGAGCATGTGTAAGAAATAAATGATTGCTTCAGCGTATTCATATTGTATTGTATCATATGGTATATAATATATTACCATATTGTGTATTGAATTGTATCATATATCGTTAATATGTGAGGAAATGTTTGGATAAGATTAAACACATATGTAACAAGCAAAACTACCATCCAAAAGAATGTAAAAAAAGACAAGGTCACTTTTGAGAGTGATATCAATACATGATGTGAAATTAAGTTTTTACGTGGACGTGCACTCTTGGTCAATTAAACCATGAAGTGTCATTGCCCCTGCGAGTTAGCACAACAATCTCTAGTTAGTTTAACAAATCATTAATATTTTTGCATTATAGGTCATTTCCTGTGTCTGGGATGTAGTGCAGCTCCCTGTCACTAGCTCCGGTTTAGGGCTATTGTCATTGTGCTGTAACGCTATACCACTTCGATGTAAACAAACAGATGGCGTCTCATAGTGTGGCGCAGATAAGCAATATTTTGATCTAGAAAATGAAGGTAAAGTCGTACACAGGTTTCGTCCAGTTATACTGGCACATAACTATTCAACCAGAGCAATGGGTAACCAGCATAAGCATGTGTATGTTAACCTACATGCAAGGACGAAGGCTGCTGGCACTGGCTCTGCTGATGTAAGTCACACTCAATAAACCTAGTTAACACTGTTCATCCGCAGACACTATGTTAAACCATATTTGAATTAAATCATGCTCTATTTTGGCTACTTCCTGAGTTTATTTTTATTTTTTTTGCCTTAGATTATATGCTTGGTTTGTATGTTAATTTCTTTTTAAGGTTAAGGTTTTTAAGGTTTCTTCTAATCACTCTTAGCTTCCATGTCTTCATGATGTTTTGCATATCGTGCACAATACCTTAGTTTGTGACATGTGGTTTCTCATTCCCCTGCCTTTGCTAATCGTAGTTATTATCACAAAATAATATACATTCACCTGAGGGTAGCTAACAGCTGGAGCTTCATCTGTTGTCTAAATGTATGGACCATGTATTTCGAGGTATTTTGGGTCCCATCTTATGGGTCAGCAGTCTGAATAAATGGCATGTAGGCTCTGGGTTGAAATGTTATCTCTATTTGCTGTGTCTCAGATAGTCTTTTATTTATCTTGCACGTGTTTACATGGAATGAGAATGCAATTCAATATGCCAAAGTTATGGCTTAAAGTCACGACTGAAAGTGAATAGATCAATTTTCACTATTGCCCCTGTTTTTAAAATAAATGGTTTGGATATATGTGATCCTGCTTATTGAAACAGGAACAGTGTTTAGACTAAATCCAGATGCAAAATTATATCCCATTAAATTTACTGTCATCATTTTAAAAGAAAACATTATTAAGATATGATGTAGACATAAGAAACTACATCTCTTCAAATGGAGCACATGTTGTGGGCTGTGGGGGTAATTCCATTGAAATGTCATCTTCACAATAAGAGCTTGCTGTGCACTGAGTTCTATTTTGAGGGAGCAACTTCCTCTTTTACTTTACAATGACAGAGTGTACACCAAAATGTCAGACAGTAACATGGAAAAAAGGCAAAAACTGCATTTCTATCACCCCCTTATGTAAACTCAGACATTTTTACCCATCTCCTCAAGATCCCATTTTACACATCGACCCTGTGCTACCAGTACCAACCCCCCACCTCACCAGGCCACCAGTGCTACTCCGTAGAGGAACCAAGAGGAGGCAGTCCCCCGCTTGAGGTATCGGAGGGAGAGGATGAATTTGGAGAAAAAAACCACACCTCCTACCGGAGAGAGTTTAGTGAGTATCTAACTTTCGGGTCAGCCGTTGGGCGTGGCTGGCAATCATCAATACTGGGCTTTCTACTGTGGGAACACTGCAATTTTGAGCTTAACACAATATTTCATGTTTAGGAAAATACTATTAACAAACCATAGATATTGTCGTGACTAATGAAAATTCCTGATCTATCGACACAAGGCTGCAAAAAAATGTCCACATTGTATCTAAAGTGGTCTGTGGTAAACAGATAAAGTGGCTTGACCTAAGCAGCTTTGTAAATGTCGATAGATATATAAGATGACTACTGGACTGAGCAAATCCCTTTCTTCTATCCAAAACAGCCACCAAGAAGAAAATCCGCTTGTACCAATATCTCCTGGACTTGCTAAGAAACGGCGACATGAGTGAGAGTATCTGGTGGGTGGACCAAGACAAGGGCATCTTCCAGTTCTCCACAAAACACAAAGAATCTCTGGCCAGCCACTGGGGTATTCAGAAAGGAAACCGCAAAAAAATGACCTACCAAAAAATGGCACGAGCTCTGAGGAACTATGGTAAAACTGGCGAGATTAAAAAGGTGAAAAAGAAGCTAACATATCAGTTCAGTGAGGAGGTGCTGAGGAACCTGTACCTGCGTCATTATCCTCATTAATGAGGGAATCAAAAGGCTGTTTATAAATATGCTGAAATGATCAAAGTATGATGAAAATCAAGCTGTCTGCAATTTACTTATTTTTTTAACAAGCCTGTCAATATTTATTTTGTATGCCAGTGTTGATTCTTTTCAGCGTTTCCCCCTTCTTAATTTCTCTTTACTGCAAATGAAAATGTAACAAAAAGTTGTTTCTGCATCAGGGTTACTAAAAATATAAACACAATAATGAAAATGTTTGCATATCACCTTTTTGTCATACATGTGTTTGAATAATTATTTTCTATATTTGTGTAACTTAAAATCAACTTTTACAAAATGGAAAAACCTGCTGTGACTGTGTGAGTACCGAAACTGGGTAAAAATGACAAACATTTTTGTGATTTTTGGGTGATTTTGTTGTGAGAACTATTGAATAGAGGCTACAGAGTCCATTTAGAAAAGATATTTAGTGATTAGTGATTTTCATTTACTAAAACCCCACATGGCACTTACTCATTTTTGTTTGGGTTGCTGAAATATGTATCAAAGGAGACAGTATATCTCCTTTTAGGATATACAGGAAGACTTTGCAATAGGAAAACCAATGCTCTCAGAGGTAGGTTACTCATGTCTAAGACAACTACAGCGATCAATACCAAGAAAAGACCAAAAACAGGAATACATAGATGAACTGAATTAAGAAAAACCATCAAAAGACACAAAATAAGAGAATTGGAAAATTTAACCAAGCACTTCCTCCACAAATGCAATACAACTGATGCAAAGAAACTATACTATAATGCAAACAGACAGCAAACCAAGACATCTGAGAAAAGATATTTGGCATGTGGCTTGGCCTTAGCACTAAAATATATAGTCTACTTGTCAAGCTTGAATGCCTGTATAGACTACATCTTTGAATACACCAATTTTGAACATGTAGATTCCTAAATAACACCTGACACAAACCTGATGTAAACTGTGACAAAGGTTTGTTTGAGACTCAAAGGAAAGAAAGAGAAAATCGACATTAAACAGACTGGGAATTACTGAACATATGCACTGTGTGTGGCAAATATTTTCCCACTTCCAGCTGACAGTTTTGATACATTTACCTACCTTATCATGAGAAACACTTCTTCTCGTTTCACGTAAGTTCACAGGCAGACATTTTTTCCAGTCATGTTGACTAAGCAGGCTAATTTATTTTACCGGGCATATCTGAATTTAACGTTACACTCTGGTTAACATTTAGTGATTTAAATCTGCTAAAACTGTGTAATACAGAACAAAAGTTTCATAGAAATTCAGCAGTTTTATTTTAATTCCTATTCATGATACTCTTGATATTAACAACAAATTAAACAAACGGTTGATTTAGCTCGTTGGTGCCGCCCTGAAACTGTTTCCGTTGACGTCACTGTCGCTGGCCAATAGGAGCCCAGATATTGTTTCGGTGCAAATTTCAAACGCCGTTCAATCGACAGACCAACGGGTGGCCGTACATCTGAAGACAAACGCGTTTGTTTTATTTTTTGAGTCGGTTGTGTTGTTTAATAAGGCTCTTGACACCGTTCATCTGTCTGCAGTGGCAACATGAGAGTGAGGTAAGTAAACGCGGTTTCGCACTTTGATTTGCGCTTAAAAATTAACGCTAAACGGTTATTTGTGATTAGCAAACGTACACTTCCTGATTAGCCTGCTGGTTTTCGATAATGCTACGTTAGCTTTCAATGTGAGCACACGTACGTGGGTTAAATCACCATGTGATAGAGGGACTATTTGTTTGCTAGAACATATTATTTTTAACCGTAACGAAATTAAAGTAGGTCTCGCTTGCTATATGTCACTGCTCGGTGGTGTTGAGCGTTTCCGTCACTCTGGTATCTCAGGTTTTAGACGGTGCCATAAGTGTCTAGATAACTCGCTGGGGTTAATGATACCTTTAGACCGGTTTGACTCGCAACAGATGTTTAAAAAGCAAAGTAACGACCCCATCTAACCACTCTGTTCTTTCAGTGAAGTCCACGCAGCAGAGTCTGTCGCCTACCTCAACCGAGCGCTGGTCAGACTTCAGGATATCTGGGAGGAGATTGGTATTCCGGAGGAGCAGCGCCTACAGAGAACCAATGATGTTCACAAACACATTAAAGTAAATATCACACCGACTTTGATCAAGTTAATCTGGTTGTTGAGTTTGCAGAGGAGTTATCATGAATATTGTTTTTCATTGCAGGGTTTGCTGGACCTCATGATTGCTGAAGAAGAGGAGCTCAAAAAGAGGTTGTTGAAAAGCATCGAGTCTTGTCTCAAAGAGCTCAATCATTTGAGCAGTGAACTTCAGCTGCCACCATTTGAGGTACAGTTTTGTGAAGAGGCAAGTCTTTTCTTAAATCTGTATTAGACAGTTGCTTTTTGGCTGAACTTTTTTGTTGTTTTTTTCCCCGTTTCTTTTCAGGAGGAGGATGGCTGCACCATGCTGCAGATTGAAAAGAACAGCCGCACCCGTCTTGAGGTTATGAAGGAACACAAAAGGCAAAGAATGGAAGAGCTGAAAAGCCTCATCTGCAAAGACCGGGAGCTGTGCGATATCATGTGCACAACTCCATTTTGCATCGATCACGATTCTGTCCCATCATTACAGCAACTGGAGTCTTATCATGCATACCTAAAGGATCTGACAAAGGAGAAGGTATGACTTACATTGTGCTTTTTGACATTACTACCAAACTGTCTCTTTTATACAAGGGCTGTAACCCACACTGTATTCTCAGGAGCGACGGCACGATGAATTTGTAAGTGTCAAAAAGGAGATCGGCACATGCATGGAGGATTTGGAACGACAGGCTGAGACCAGTTTTGAGATGGACGTGATGTGTGAAGATGAGGAGGCATTTTGTTTGTCAAATGACAACATTGCTGCTCTTAAACTACTCCTTAGTCAGGTAATTTTGTGACGGGCCTCTAGATGTTTGTTTAATCTCGAATGCTTCCCACAGAATATATTTATGCGAGGTGAAAATAAAATGAATGTATAATTTATACTCCTCCTCTCTTCAGTTACACGAACAGAAGGCTGAGAATGAGCTCCGTTGCTCAGCTCTCCGCATTAAGATGCAAGAGCTATGGGAAAGACTCCAGATTCCTCAAGAGGAGAGAGAGGCCCTTTCAGAGCATATGGTCAAGTCAAAGAAGAGAGACATTGAAGCAGTAAGAAAACTATCTTCTGTAGTTTTTAGCATTAAATTATCAGATGACAGTAATTAATTCTGTCAGCAGGACTCTAAAACAATATGCCTTTCCAGCTCCAGGTGGAGGTCCAGCGTCTCGAGGTGCTGAAAATGCAGAGCATGAGGAGCGTCATTGAAGCCATCAGAGCTGAGATCGCTCTTTTCTGGGAGAGATGCTTCTACAGCCAGGAACAGCAGCAAGCCTTTGTTTCATATCACTCTGGTAAATATCTGCTGTTTACTGACGAAGCCCTCGCAGTGTTTTATCATTACAAAGGACTTACAGTTCTCTTTTTTTCTCTCACCACAGATGATTTCACTGAGGAGACTCTCGAAGTGCATGAGGCTGAGGTTAAGGTCCTGAAGAAGTATTATGAAGACCACAGAGAGCTCTTTGAGGGGGTCACAAAATGGCAGGAGAACTGGACCCTGTACCTAGAACTTGACGTAAGTATAGTCCTCGTGAATTCAATATGGAAGAATCTCAAATAAATGTATGTTCGAGTGGCTATATTTATGTAATTTCCATCTCAGAAAAAGGCCAATGACCCAGCGAGGTTTAACAACAGAGGTGGGAACCTTCTGAGAGAAGAGAAGCAGAGAGCTGATCTGCAGAAAAGTTTGCCAAAGGTGAGGAGTTTTCGCTTAAGGTCAGATGAAAATGTTACAAAATGCAAACGGACTGATATATGAGCGGTTCTTACTTGTAAGAGGAGCTGTAATTGGACATTCAATATACATCTGTCAAAACAGATCAACTGTTGAACGAACAAGCTCATGTAAAACAGATGTGTGTAGGTGCATTACCAGTAGTCCCCAACAGATGGAGAAAGTAAAACATTAATGACCTTTAGTGTGTTTGTCATTTGCAGTCAGTGACTTCACCAAATTTTGGCACTGAATTAGCATTTTAGAGATTTGACTAGAGAGTTAAGTCCGACATTAGACTCCTTTTAAATGATACATCTAACAACAGAGATTAAATCTGTATTTCCTGTTTGCTCCAGCTGGAAAAGGTTCTGAAGGCCCAGATAGATCTTTGGGAACAGGAGAATGGAGCTGAATTTCAAGTCAATGGACAGAAGTTTCTGGAGTTTGTGCAGCAACAGTGGGCTAACCATCATGCTGAGAAGGAGAAAGAGAAGCTCGAGAGGGTATTAACTTATTTTTCAAAGACGTTTTGACTTTTGTTTAAAAATTCTCATCTGTGTAAATTACCTGTGTTGACAGTATGAGAGACCCTTTTTTGTTTTGATGTAGCAAATGAAGAAAAGTAAGCAGACACAAGAGGATATGTTGTACGGAACAGCGAGAACACCATCCAAAAGGCGGATAGCAGGGACTCCCACACCTGGAAAAATCAGAAAGGTAAGATGAGAGGTCAACTTTTGTCATTTATTTTTATATTTCATTCTTGCATGTGTGGGGGAACTTGCCATGTTGTGGAATTTCAAGCTGACCAAGCAGTTGTCTCTGTCTATGCAGCTCAACGGCACCACGACCATCTCCACTCCAAACAGCTTCCTTAGTTCGGGCCTTGGTGGAACTATGTGCCAGTCCTCCATCCAGAAACCCCCTCTGTCTGCCAGCAAGGTATCCTCACTGTCTGTCCTCCATGAGCTGACTGTTAAGAGTTAGATTAGTTTGCTCTGAATGTGAATCTCTTGTTCTGATTTATTCTCTTGTTTTATTTTGCAATACGCAATAGGCAGGGTATAATCTCCACTTTCTCATCTTCTGAAGTGGGTGATTGAAAACAATGTCATTGTTGTCGGTTCTGTTGTAGGGTCTTGGCCTTAGAACCCCTGGACATGGAAGGACTCCTCGTGCACTAGACAGAAACAAGGAAAACATCTCCCACCTCAATAGACACACTCCAAGTGCCACACTCAGGTCTCAGGATACTCAAGATCACACCCTCACCTTTAACTCTATTGCTGCCTCCTATTCGGAATTTGCGGTAAATGAGGTTTTACATCTGTTTAGTGTCTAACAACAGGAAGTACCAAAATAAAAGTAAAGTCTGCTCATAAAAAAAGGCTGTATTTTCCCACGTCACATGTCATGTAGAGCTAAAAGATATCCTGTTCTAATAACGTCTGGAATTATATATTCAAACCATCAAATTTGTTGCTCATGTTAAAATCTTTAATATCGCCTTGTGAAAATCTGATCATTTTTTCAGTTGCAACAGTTTATCTCACATCAATTTCCCTGAAATTATTTTTTTTGTTTTTTGGTTGAGTTTTTTAACGAGGTGTACGATTAGCTTTCTGCAAAACAAGTAACGCTAGCATGATGATGAAATCTACAACTTGAAAGCCAAAAAGTGAAGAGCTGCTTCAACCCCTTTTCTGCACAATTTATTTCAATCAAATCATTTGAATTAATTTTTAGCTTCTTACCTGTAGAGACACAATCAATACATACTCTTTGAAACAATGCAGTACGTCATAAACAGTCAAAATATTTCTACAAGAAATCAGAATAAATCAGATTCAACAGGGCCACAGTTGGACCCTTTAACACGGGCTCTGAAGATTGAGTCGAAACAAAAGTATTTCCTCAAAATGAGCCTTTAGTACCTTTTATTCACGCACACACACTGACCTGTAGATCTTATTGCTGGACTTAATGTGAACAAAGATACTGATGTTTGCTCTTTGGTTTTCACAGAGAGACCTCTCAAAGGCTTCTAAATCGAATGTGAAGACAGGATTTCTGAACTCCACCGTCAGTCATCAGTGATGGACTGCAGCAGCCTCCCAGCTCGGATGTTTTTTGGTATAGTTTGTATTTAGGGGACGACAGGGGAATGTACATGTAAACTTCTTACAAAAACTTGTAAATATTTGAATTTGTCTGACCGCCTGTCTTTCCTCTGTCCTGTTTTTAAGATTTTATTTCAGGGTTTTTCCAAAAGCGTTTCTCTCTGCTGTATTCTTTTTTTTTTTCTCCCTTTTTTTGACAAATTCCTGATTGTCCCAGAATTATTGTGGGTAGCTCATTTTTAGGGGGGGGGGGCTTTTAAGTGAAACATTATTTACCGTATGTAGAGCACTACATTTAGATCGTACCCTAGCATTAAGCTAGCACACGTTTTCTACTCCAGCTGGAATGACCGCTATTCACATGCACCATGTTTTTCAGAGCTTTTCCAATACTCGTGCTGTAAATAAACATTTTAAAAAGCAAAGTTTTGGCCTTGTAGTGTTTACTTATTACTCTTGTCACTTAAAAATAAGCTTGAATGTGGTACTTGGAGAAACTCCTCTTCTTCACAAAGTAGAAAACGAATGATTTGGTTAAGCCATTTGAGACATGAGTTCTTCGAGCGCTCGTTCTCTGTGATTTTCATGAACAAGCAGCACTTCCTTTATTGCATTTTGCTGGAAGCCCATCTCATTGAATTGAGTCAGGAGGTGCAGGAACTCAGCTGCCTAGAAGATAAATAAGAATACATGTACATCACAAAAAAGTTCTGACTTTTGTTGCTCTGGGAACATAAACACTGTTGAGTTAGTCACCTTGCTCTCACAGTTCTGAAACATCTCCAAGGCCTCCTCCACCTGTGCTTCATCATAACCCAGATCACACAGATGGTCACTTGCAACCAGGTACTCTAGTATCTGTGGAGAAGGCAGGTATCAGCTGACATAGTTGGTCGAAACGTTTAATCTACAGATAATCGAGGTTTGAAAATCACAATTAACTTGTAGACTGGAGAGACACACCTTATCTGGGTTGTGATAGCCGGTCTTCTGCAGAGCTAGAATGGCTGTGCGAAGAGGGTAGCCCTTCTCTGTGATGCTTTCCAGCACATCCCTCTCTTCCTGGTTGAGTGCTGACATCAACTCTGCAGCTGAGTCAAAGAAAACCCCGGGAGAGCTGCCTGTCCTCAGGGCCTGTTGAAGAGGGAAGAACAGACGCAAGGAGGCAGGTCATTGGAAGGACAGGGAGGAATATATTTATGATTCAGAGAGTGACTAAAAAAAATCAGACCTTCTGTTTGTGGTGTGTGACCAGAGGCCCTGCAGAGGACGGTCTTATCTGTTTGAACCTGGATGGAGGAGGACCAGCAGGGGGCGTGTTTTGAGAAAGCTTTCTGCCCACAGAGCCCAGTGAGCGTGTCCTCTTTTTGCTGTTCTTCTGCCCAGGAGGGAAAGGGCTGGCCTGCTGTAACCTGTGATGCTCCAGAGCTTGCAAAGGTTGTCTGCAGTCTTGAAATAAAGGTGACTTGTTTCTCGATCCTCTGGAGCCCTGAAGGGATGCAGGTTTACAGTGGTGAGAAGAACCACAGTGAGATTCTTTGACTTTGGAGGGTGTATCTTTGGGTGTTGCACCCCGAGGCCGCTCTCTGCTCTTTATCGAGTGACAGGCATCTTCTGCGGAGGAGCCTTCGTTGTCCTCAAAGTATCCATCTTCATCTTCTGAGTCAGATAAGAGGAACCTGACAGTGCGATGGTGCCGCCAGTGAGCGTCTGCGGAGTTTAGGCTGTGGCTGCGGGGTCGAAGTGTTGGGGCCCACTGGTCACTGCTCCTGTGTTTGGGTCTGCAGCTCTTCTGAGGAGTGCTGAACATCAGCCAGTAAGGGGGACAGGAAGGGGTCTGACAGACCTGCTGCTGCCCGGTTACAATCAATTTCTCCAGGTTGAATCCATACTACAGGAGAAAAAGACCTTTTAAGCAGAAGAGACTTGATTCACCACAGCAGGTTCAGTGCTGCTGTCACATTAACAGTGACTATGGCTCCAGTAAGAGATGATTGTGAGGCACAGCGTCAGGACTCTGAGACTGAATTTAATAAGTTTTGACACATTTGTGTATTTCCCTGATATGTGAGCCGATGAAATTACTTAATGATCATAAATGTTAACGTTAACCTCTGTAAGCTTTAACAGTGAAGTCAATTCATGTATTTCTGTCTTTAAATTAAGCTAAAACATTTTGTTTATAGAATTCATACAGAGAACTATTCACAAAGTGTTGACAGGTTCATATTTACAAGTTTAGATGCTTTTCTCTACAGCTGTTTGTGAGGGTGAACAGATTATGCAGAATGTGTTTTTGAGGTTTATTTACATTTACTTAGAGTTTCTAGCCTCTGATTGAAAAGTGCTGTGACATGTGATCAGGGTGGTCCAGGATGTTACGGTTTTGGGTTATGTTGTGGTTATGAAAAGATGGCTGGACAGTTAAAGTGCTGTTATGAAAGTTATCTGTCTCCATCCTGCTGTTTCTAATCATCAGAATTATCCAACTACCTTACATCGAACCTTCACGTTACACCTCTAAATGCAAGATGAAAGCAATGACTTGGCACGCACAGAATCAGATAACATGTTAAAAAGCAGCAAACAAATATTTCCATCATCCAATTAACATGTTAAACTACTTAATGTGTCTCTTTAAAGCAAATAAAGGATGCTTCCAAATCCTCAAAAATACCCCCATAAATCTGTTACCAACTGTGATATTTGTGTATATATTTTCTTTCACACAGTGAATTTATGTGAAATGATTTCCTGAGAGGAAAACTACAGTATAAAGCCACTGTTTATGAAGCATTTCCATCCACATATTAAACCAAGATAAAACTATAGCTACATGGATGTGCGACCTCAGTATCTTGTAGTATCCGACCACAGTCCGGTATAGAGATTTCCGGAGCCGCCACGAGCTGCACTTCCTCCCGCAAGGGGCCCAGGAAGGTCTGAAACGGGATGTCCTCCAGAGGGTTCATTTTCTCCAACAAGCACCTGCAGCAGTAGAGTTATTCAGAGTTCATTCATTTGGAGTTATGAAATCAAACCTTCTTGTCGCTCTTTCTTACTTCTGTGAGGTATCCTCTGTCCAGTTCACGATCCCTCTGAGGTGTTGACAGCGTACGCACAGGCATCATCTCAGGGTTTAAACCTCTTCAACACTAAGCCTCTGACATCACCTGAGCAGTTGTTTACAAATAATACCACAGACAACAACTCTGATCCTCCCTGCAAAAATACTTAATAGTACACAAAAAATGTACACAGAATACATCTATTCAATATATACAAACTACATTTGGCTGAGTCGTATTAAAGCAGCCCAAGACTTGCACTTACACTGTAAACAATCCACAATTTTTAGATTTCACTGTTGTTACAGTAACACTGCATGAAATACTGTTTCTCCGTTTTCTTTTTGTTGTTTTGCAGATTTCTCCATCCATGGGCAAAGCTTCAACTGAGAGAGAGAGTGAGACTTTGTAATTTCAGTTTGGTCTTGAAGGGGGATTAGGGGGATGCTGAGTTATTGGAAACAAAGGACAGCACAACACTTTCCAGAGATTATCTGATTACATTAAGAGGACAGTGTAGCCATGTGGGATAACTGTCCAATAAAAGTATATCCTTAGGTTCACAAATTCGATAAAAAAAATCAGGTTAGAGTGCAAGTGGTCAAGTTTCAAGGGAAAGAACAATTTAAATCCTGTACAGAGATTTAATTTTATTTATATATTTTGAAACAATCACAATGAAATAAGTGTCACAAACTTTGGGGGAAAAGGGATTGCAGGATCTGTAACAGACCTCTGGAAACAGAAAAGCATTTTAAAAGAAAGAAAAGGAAACTTAAAGTAAAAGGAGAACAGATCTAGTTTAATCTCATTCGATAGCACAAACAGTTTTTTTTTTATTAAGGAGTACAGCAGCGTGGTTCAGTTCAGTCAGAGAGCAATAAGAGGGAAGTCAGATTACAGATGTGTGTGTTGAGTACTTTTTAGTAACAGGGCATTACACATCACTAAAGGTGAGTTTCCAAAGCTGGGGCACACTGAAGAAGAAGACAAAGGTACCTGTGCTGATGTGAGGAATGTCTCACAGAGCAGGTTTAGAGCAGCAGCCAGCTGACTGAAACAGTGACGTTCAATTATAAGGTTGAATGTCGAGTTTTAAAATATGTTTAAGAACATGTTTATAAGAGGACATCTACTAGTTGTTTCATTCCCACTTCTAAGTTAGCCAGCTAACCTGCTAATCCTGCTCTGAGAGACAGTCCTCCCACCCAGTCCCGTGATCCAGAAGAGGCCTGATAGTTGTAATACATATACATTCCCTAAACAGTCGACTAGAAAAGGAAGCTAAACACTGAAAAATAACCATTCTGGCTGTTTAAAAGGTCACCATTAATTTACACCTGCTCCGTTTAGTGTGCTGGTGCGTTACACGACACAATGTGTTCTCCTAATTAGAGGTAATGTCATATAAACTGCTTACAAATGCTACCTAGGCAGTGTAGCTCAACATTTACAGCCCGGTTTTTACTGTGAACACCATTATTACAATGGTGATACAGGAGAAAACATCAAAATATTGATGTGCTCATGGAATATTATGCCCTTATGATATAAGGCATTACTTAACATGGTAACATCACATCCACACTTTCTCTGCGCCCCACATTTTCAAGTGTTCAGTATGATCCCATTGTTTCCATTTGCTTCCCTTGCCATGACAGCCCATCACCACAAAGAGAGAAAACAAATTAACTAACTACAAATCCTTTCATGAATAAAATTGCATTATCTTTATATAGATAAAATGTTAACAATCCCCAGAGATTGAAATATTTCATAAAGGTCCATCCTTCAGGTGCATGGCTAAAGAATTATCATCTGATGCACAGGACCAAAGGTTGTTTCGCTCTCTTAACTTGTTCATCATGAAACACTCCTGGATAAGAACCACCAGCCTTTTACACAATGTCCAGAGCTTGTTTTTCAGGAGCTATAATAAACCCAAAGTTGGTTTCTGGAGGTTCATGGTAATCTAGAGATTTCAGAGGGAGTCTGAGGTGAAATGAGTGACATGTGGTTCAGTTGTTAGCAGCGTCCGCCTGCCGAGGCCAGTTCTCTTCCTCGATGCCCGAGTCGTATTCCTCCTCGGCGGACTCTTTGGCTGGAGCCCTGAAATTCAAATGGAAGGTCTGGTTCAGGTTTCAAAGCACGCTGGGTTAGACACTCAGAGCGCTGGGCTCAAGAAATCTGATCTCTTACATAACACATATTTGTCTCTGTCCTGTGGCTAGTGAGATACTGACCTGATGTATCTAGGTTGTGCTTTGCCTTGGACAACTTCTTGGTCCAGCTCGACAGCAATGATGTCAGAGTGCGGCACCTCAAACATGGGCTCCAGGAGGAGTTTTTCCTGCAAACAGTGAAGATTTGTTTAATATTTTAGCTACAGAGAGTAATAGTGTTTACTAACCGGAGCATAAAACTTACCATTATAGATCTGAGCCCACGAGCACCAGTTTTTCTTTCAAGAGCCATCCTGGCTATGGCCCTTAAGGCATCTTGATTCACATTTAGATCACACTGAAACAAAACATTAAAGATTAATTACAACTGTAAATATCCAGGTGTTAAGGTAGATTAAATATTTTCACTGAAACAACAGCGAAAGATCAGGGCCAAAACCAGAGAGAAAAACATTTAAGGTTTGGGTGGTACATCTTTCAATGTGGGAGTGCCTTAGAAATAAAAGACACTTTCCAATATTGCTGCAGAGCAACATTTCACAACTTGAGTTCTCACATGGGGCAGCTGTGATATTATTTGTTTTCAAAATCCAACGGTAAAAAAAACAAACTCATTTTTTTTACAATGTCCTGCAACAGGAATGTTCACTTGTGGTGTTGAGAGTGGATGGAGCTGCACTGAATTAAGGTAACCACGGGTTTGCCAGGGCCCCCTCATTGAGACCCTCACTCCACAAACAGAGCATTTCTGGTCCATAGATGAGGGGGGCCTGGATTTTTTAAAACACAATGCGGATGCCTGACTAAACACAGCTTAACACTGTAGCAACATCTCCATTAGAGCCCTTACTTTGTCCATGCTGAACAGAGCCTGGTACTGGGGCACCACAGCATTGCGGGGTTCAGTCAGGATTCTGACGAGTGTTTCTTCGTCCAGACTATGCAGAGGAACAACAACGGGAAGACGGCCAACAAATTCTGGAATCATTCCAAACTCGATCAGGTCCCTGGCCTCCACGTGCTTCAGCAGCCTGTCTTTCTCTTCTATCTCTGCTACCGTGTCTGTCTCACCACTGGTGTTGGCCAAGTCTGCAGCAGCCGCTGCACGGCGCCCTTTACCCAGATTGGAGGGAGTTCCAAAGCCCAAATACTGGAAATCATCAAAAAAGAGGATTATGTTGAAGACAGGAAGGAAAAGGAAACAGGATTTTTGCGTAATGTCGGGGTTTTGAATTCACCTTTTCATTCTTTCGTCTGCTTATGATTCTGTCAAGTCCATTAAAGGCACCAGATGCAACAAACAGAATGTTTGTTGTGTCTACCTGCACCGTTTCTCCTCTCAGTTTCCGGGAGTTTTTCTCAGGAACATTGACAATTGTTCCCTCCAAGAGTTTGAGCAAACCCTGACAGAAAGGAAAAGGTAAAAAAAATCAGTTACATGAGTCTACAGCAAATAAACCAATACAGGAAGTGGGAAAAAAAGACAAGTCAGGGTGACTCAGTAAAATCTGTGTCCATTCATTTTAGATCTAACTTCTTAACATACAAAGCTGGCTGTTCAGAAGTTTGTTCACTGTGATTCGGACTGAACACTGACCTGCTGGACTCCCTCTCCTCCTACGTCTCTCAGCTGATGGATTCCAGGCACACTGCCAATCTTATCAACTTCATCCAGAAATACAATACCTGCACATGAAATTCAACAGTTTCAGTTGATATCATGACCCCAGAAAGTCCCTGGGTGTCATACATTTATACCAACACAGTTTGTTTCACAGTACAGCTTCAATTTTACTTCACAAAAGTCCATTTTGAAATAGTTTAGGGGAATTCAAATGTGAAGGAAACACCCTGGGATGCTGTTGTTTATTTCTGTCAGTACCACTTTGGTTCGATAATTGTCCTGCTTCTTCCTGCTTCCTTCCTGTTCCTTTTAAGAGCACATTTCTCACCCATATAAGGAATAGTCATTGAAAATGTAACTTGGACATGCAAATAGGCTGTAGCTGAATAAAAACTAACAGTGATGCTCCTTTGAATGTTCTATAATCTTAAAATGAGTTCACTCTTGGTAAGTGCGTTTGACCTTTTTCAGTAACTTGGTCCTTTCTCATAGTAATTATATTCAACCAGCTATAAAGACAGTGTTACCTCTGTTTTGACAACACTGTCTTTGTATATAGAAGACAGCACACCATAATGAAGGCTGTGGAGGTGATGTAAATTAAGTGTCTGGGGTCACTAAAGTAAATCAGCAACGCTGTAGTAAACATAACAGTGAAAAGGCAACAGTGTGGCTGACAGTGAACCTCACAAACCTTCTCTTAAAAAAACCACAAACCACAAAACTAAGAGCGTTACGGTGATTAAAAACAGAGGGATAAAGTGAGCAGTGGGACTCCACTCTGCATGAGGTTCAAACTGTATCAATACAGTCAACTATCCACAGTTACAACAGTAATAATCATCGACTCAATCCTTTGTCTTTTTTTCAGAGCATTAATGCTCTAGTTGACCCTTATCTGAACAAAGTTAATCCTTTTGTCCTGCATGGAGGCTAACTGAGGGCAAAGGCCTTCTTGTCACTGTGTCATGATGTTCATACAGACCTTTAGGAGTTCATGTCTGTCCTCAAACTCTTCATGTGCAGGACAGGATTTTTTTTATTTCCATAGAAACTGAAATAACTTGCAGTCTCTCAGATGTATGATTTCTTTGGTAAGAGGCTTGATCTGTTTTTCAATCTTGGGAAGTTCCACTCAGTAACATCTTATTTCTTGGCTCTTTGACAGCTGTTTTCTTTGCGGAAACAGACACCCCAGTTTGTGATCAACTTCTCCTATTTCTGTGCCATTTTGTTCCATGTGTCTTTCCATCATTCATCCCTCTGACAACAGAAGTGAGTCATGGCTGATCTTGGTCATGAGAGGTAAACTTATTTTACAGACCAAACCTGAGGCGATCCTGAGTTCTTTTAAATGTATTTTGGGGGTAAAGTTCCATCTTATCAAAACAGCACATCACCTTTTGAATAAAACATGAACTGTAAGACTTCATCTACTTTTTCCATTACAATATAAATGTTAAATGACGAAAGTTTAATGAGTAGATATGCGGTTTAGTACTTACAGGCACACAGTGCTGTAGCCATTTGTTTTCATTCTTGTGTTTAGCAGAAAAAATACGGTATCATGGGAAACTACTCCGCTGTTAAATGTGTTCCCTCTGCCCACCTTGTTGTGCTTTATCCACAGAGTAGTTGGCATCTTGGAGCAGTTTGGCAATAACTGACTCGATATCCTCTCCCACGTATCCGGCTTGAGTTAGTGTGGTGCAGTCACAAATGGCAAAGGGAACATCCAGACAACGTGCCAGTGTCTGGGCCAGCAGTGTTTTCCCTGTGAAAATGTTAGATCAGTTTGAGAAGACATTTCTGCACGGATCGACACAAACAGTCATCTGAGAGTTGTTCTCAGTGTCGCCCCGCTCCGTTATTATTTAGGACATTTTTAGCGAGACACAAACCTGAGCCAGTTGGACCTAGAAGTATGATGTTACTCTTCTCCAGTTTAATGTCAGTGTGTGTGGAGTCCAAGACCTCCCCGCCTCTCCTTTCCTGAGGTGCCTGCTGGCTCGCTTGTTGCTGCATGGACGCCCCCAGAGCATTCCCATGAGGACTGATGCCTGCAATCTGCAGCAACTCTGCAAAAACAAGGAAAAGTAAAGGCTCTAGCTTTCTGAAAAACAAAATAACTAAAAAAAACTTTCTTTTTGAATTGCTGGGCTATTCAAACAAGCTGTGCATTGTTGCTTTGCATGAGTGTTAGGTTGTACATAGCAACAGTTTCCATGTCCAGGCTAAAAATATGTGTGCCCTGGTCCATGCCAGAGTGAAGTTACGAAGGGGTGAAAGCCGGACCAAAAATAGCTAAAGTTGATGTGAATGTAGGTCACTGGGCTACTTTATCTTATTGTCCGGACAGGCACAGATTACCAAGCTTCATTTTACTGCTTCACTTCTGTACACATAGAAAGTAGGTGAATAAACTCACAGCTGTCGGTCGTTACAGAAGTGGAGCACTATGTCCTAGAATGATATAAACTGTCCCATCTGGTGTGGATGAAGTGCCTTTAAAAGGGCTTCAAATGATCACTAAACCTATTTAATTCTCAGGACAAACAATAAACATTTCCTTTCAAATATCTAAACTATCTAAGGAGCCACTGTACATTTTGGCATTTGTGCAACTCGCAAAAATAAAGTTTAGGAATTGTTTTCAAACGTTAAAGCTCAAAAATAACACTAAAGAGGACCAATCACTTACTTGTGAATCTGTATTCATCCTCTCGTCTTCTCATCTCTAGCTCTACGGGGGGTGGGGGGGAGAGGATGAGAGTACTCGATCAATATTATCATTAATCATTACCGTTATGACATTATCAGTACAGCCCAGCAAAAATCTCTTTATGATTGTGTGTGACAATCATTGAACAAATGCCAAATTATACAGATTATGATTCAAGATCTTGTATGATGATATGATAAAAAGTCCTATCAGTCATTCGTGTGGATTTGATAAGAGGTAATGGCTCTTGATTGAGTGTAATATCTAATTAAATGTGCACTAAAATCCAAACTAGTCCAAACAGTTTCAAGAAGGAGACTTAATATAGAAATCAAACCAAATCAACTTTGTTTTCAGTAAAGCTGACATCCGTTTGGGAGATTGATTTTGAAACTTTGTTAAATCTCAGAACTATACTCAAAATACAGTTGCCTCACAGGCACTGTCTGTCTGAGCAAAAAGACAAAAACAGTTGACCAAAATGAGGTCAAAGCTAACCACTAAATATCCGAGTAAAGCGGATTTTGTCCAAAGACTTATAATTAAGAACATTAACATTTTTGTCTGACTGTCACAAGCCAAAAGAACCTGTTTGTCTTTGTGGTGGGGGCTTTGCTCCACAGACAGGAAAACATATCAGGTTGTCTGATTTAATTTGCTTTTTGCTTAATTTTTTTCCAGATTAGACAACCGAGCTAAATGACAGGGAGGAAAATCAACAGGAGATCAATTTACACAAGTGATCATATACAATTAATTCATGAACATTCATTACATAAGTAATAATTTTTAAAAGACCAAAAGAAAAAAGACTGATGGTGCTCTTTCTTGCTCAACTCTTCTCCAATATTTGACGAACAGCTATCAGGGAAAAATCACACTTTAGCAACAATAGTACTAACCACGAGGTGTTAGAGAGGGCTGTTTCTCCACTTCCACCTGCTGTCGACTCCCAGCTGGGATGTTGTTGTAGATGCGCTTGTAGTGATTATACACAGCCACTGCCAACACCTTTTTTGCATAAGACTGGCCAACCACATACTTATCAAGATAAGCGTATATCTGAAAAGGGAAAAATTCGTAATTCATTCATAATTCAAAACAGCAAAAAAATAATCTAAAGAGACTATGAACATAAAACGGATCTCCATTTAAAAAAATATTTTGACTCATTAACTTTTTGCATCAATGTCTCACCTTCTTCGGGGGAGGGGGAGGCTTTTGTGCAAATGCCAGTTTGACGGCCTCTGCAGCAGATTCTGGTTCTTTGTTTAGCCCCTTCTTGGAGTCCGTTTCAGACAGAACCACAAAGAAGTGATGACATTTCTCACACTTGACGAATCGTGTTGATGCTGCAAAAGAACAAAACGTTTTTCATCTGAAAAAGGCTTTTGAGACATCTGAAACTCTTTCAAACATCATAACACAACAATACTTTTTTAACAACAATACGGCTTCATTACTGGCACAAACGTCTGTGACATTACTGAGTAGTACATTTCTGATTAACCTTCACAGTTGAACCAAGCAGCAGCTTTTAAGCTCATGAAAACACCGTTTAAGATAACACAAACATGTCAACTTTCATCAGACACCAACGGCTCAGTTTACTTCTTGGTTTTTATTTTGACAAACTGCTCAGAAATTTCCTTTTGTGGTTGCTTGAGTGTACTTTGTTTGTGTTATATGTTTACACAACTGTGTTTGAGTTCAACACGAGTCTGCGCCGCAAAAACCATGGGTGTCAGTTTCAGGAAACACATCTCCAACCCCCTCCTCCTTGCCGACTACTTCTAATAACTTTTTCTTTTAAATAAAAATGACTATTTCATTACATGACTGTACATTTAATTGTTCCCCAGGCCCTCTCTGTGTATGTCGCCAGTTGGACAGTTTTATGCTACAGTAGAAATGTAGAAGTGAACGATAGAGGCCTCTGTGGAAGGTACCCTGTTTTTATGTGGATGTAACAGGCTCATTTTAAGCTGACAAAAACAAAAGGATGTTTAAGTTAGCTGAAAATGTTCTTTTTCCACTTTACTAGGTCTGTTCTGCTTAATACTGTTAGTTTCTTCACACTATAATTTCAAATCTGATACATACATTAATACTGAAAATCAACAGGTTTACTCACAGACAAAGGTCTCTACATGTGTGCAGGGATCTCCACATTTAGGGCAGCGTAGCTGGCTTCCCCCCTTGCCTGATCCTCCAGAACCAGATAGCCTCTTGCCTTCACTGATGCTTTTCTGTGTAAACATGACCGTATCAGCACAGATGAAGCACTATTAGTTCAGAGAACAAAATGTTATATGAGACCATGTTGAAAAAGAGCCTCAAATGATGTTACCTTTCCACCGTCACTCCCACTGTCCTTTGTTGTCCCATCTTTGGCGGCATAGCAGACAGAAGTCTCTGAAAATGACCTCACCCTCACCCGTGCAGGTAAGTGAGTTTCTCGTGACCCCTGACGACTCAGAGAATAAAACTGGATTCGAGAGCAGGACAGACCTGAAACATGAAAAAATATGTTTAAGTGTTTTTTCCTTGAAACAACAAATTCTTCAAAAAAAAATAATGCAGGCAGCAAACAGCAAATAAGACAAAACAAGACACCTTTAGATGTCACCTTGGCTCTGGAAAACTTTCTCATATTTCCCCCAACAAACCCACTCTTCAAAGATTATTCAGTTTAAAAAAAAAACATGAATGCTATTCACTGATTATGAAAACTGTTGCAGCCCCGCATTACACATTCTCTTAGTTGAGAACACATCCTATTGGAAAATTGACCGACTGACTGATTAATAAGGACAGTTATTGGCATTTTGAAAAAAATGGCATTCCATCAGCATCAATGCCAACAGGGTGAAAGGCCACCATAGTAATTATTATAATAGCAACAATAATTAATGATAATCTCTTTTTCCTTCATCATACATAACAGAAACTTTAACCTGAAACTGTAACTGACTAGTGTGTATTATGAATCCTGTCAGGATGTACAGATAATGTAGTTTGTTGTTGCTTTTGATGTACATATCATGAAATCTATGGCATGACCAACTGTTGTTTTCTATTTCATGAATACATTTAAAATCCAGCTACATAACATATTACTGGTAAGAAAAAAAACATGTTTAATAATTTTTATGTGCATGGAATTATTAAATAACATATATTCGATTTTTTTCTTTTTTTTTTTGATTTTTAAAACTGAAATATCTACCTTATATTTGTTTCTTGTTTTAGTTATGACGGATAGTTGGACAGAAATTCGTCCATCTATGGTGGCAATATTTTACACAACCTTTTACTAGAGAAAATGTGTATTCAAGTATAAATATTTTGATTGTTGTTTTTAAATGGTGTTGTGTTTCATTAAATGCAAATATAAAAATACGGTATATTTCTTGTTTAACAAGGGGGGTATTGGCGTTACGGTCATCGACTGTCCTGTTCTCTCATAACGGGCTAGAGCTATCGAACAAGCGATTAGTAGATCAAATTCTACCGGGGAAAAAGCAAATTAATGCATCTGCAGGTAATATTCACTGTATATTCAAAGAGAAGCATGATATGATGTGAATTTGTATGGATATTTTTTAATTTGATTTTCTCTCGACAGCTGACAGATGTAACAGGTTAGCTAAGATGCTCTTACATAACAGTATTTGGTGTTTTCAGCTGAGTTGATTTCATTTTGTTATGACCCCTGAAGTTGGACCACAGCTGTTCAACTTTGTAACAGTTTAGGTGATGCAACCACGATGGCTTGACTGCAATTGCTGCATTTTTTTTTACCAACTTTTCCACCTGCTGCTGACATTACGTGACTCTCATAACAAACAGCGGTGTGGGTGAACTGGAGACCTACTTTACAGGCTGTACTGGAGCACACACAGCACAATGTCATGCAGTTTTAACCAACTTACTGGGATATGTGTGCTTTCTGCTTCCTTACCTCTGTGTGCTGTGTTCAGAAGCAACCTGGCAGCCGAAGTGCATGGACAGGACATTACTCTTTTTTGGGCTCAAAATCCTGCAAATAAACGAAAGTTAACACGGTGTACCATCGGAGGGGAGGGGGGTTTAGCTGGAGGCTAACAGACAGCAGAGGCAAACAGGAGAGGCCAGTTAGCGTAACACATTTCATAACTTCAACGTCACTGTTAGCATTAGCAAAACAGGTCATCCACTGAAGAGACACATTTCTAAGAAAATTCCTAAAATTCACAAGCTAGTTTGAGTTACTGCTGCTACAGCGACTCCTCTCGTATCCTACCAGCAATAAACAGCTAATAAACAACGCAGCTACCAGAGTCAGTAAAAAGGTTACTGTAAGCTACTTAAGCAGGGCCCGAGCCAGTGCTAACCAGCGTCTCTGTCCGTGGAAATGACAGTCACACCAGGTTCAGAAGACAAACAACACACACGGATACAAATGAGCAGTTAGTAGCCAGTAACATAAGCTAATATAACCAGACAAATGCTAATTTTCACAATAGCATGACAAGGAGACAGAATAAAAAGAGTCAGCTTACAGAAAACGATGAAACCAGTCGCGTCTTGACAGCCCCCCGGAAAAATAAAAATGCTAAGTCACAGTAGCCGTCGCGTTATTCCTCGAGGCTGACAGGTCAGTGTGTCATACTAATGCCCCACTGTCTATTGTGTACAGAAGTAACGTTGGTGGCTCATTCAGGCCGATTTTTCCCAGGTGGAAACGACCCAAAGTGATGTAACGCTCGCTGTTGTGAACTAGGTCGGATACCCGACTGGCTAGCTGGCCTACCTTCAGGTTACGGGAGCTAGCAGAGGTCTCCAAATCATAGTGACCGGATTAAGTAAAATGACGGCCGATTTCAGTGTATGTATTACACACCTATCCGCATATGTTGAGCTCTACTTATCTATTGGGGGCGTAGTTGTTGACGCAATTATGGTGCGTTCAGTGCACCCTCGAAATGTTCGGCGTGTACTGGGCAATGGTGAAATGATGTTGCGTTCAAGTGAGCCTGGTTAGTATGTAATGTTACCTGAAACCGAAAACTCGGGCATTACATTTTTATTGTGACTTCAGTCATGAAACATATTTTTTTGCCATTTTTTTTGTCGAATAGTGCTACACAAAGCAATCAGTAAAATCCAAATACATATAATCAGATCAATTTTACACAGCCAGCCACGAAGTAGGTTACTGGAGTGTGAAGTACCCCAGACAAGCATACTAGTTTACATCATGTATAGATCATTTACAGGGGAAGCTATGCTAACAGATAACAGAGGTCCCAGTAACATTTTGTTCTAAATCTGGGAACTATGGTAACATTAATGTTTCCAACAAAAAATGGAGAGAAGCTGATACAAATTTTTTCTCTTAAATTCGATTCTGGCAATATTGTGTAAAATAGAGTAGCCTGTAATGTCAAGCATAAGTGAAGTGTCTTGAGTTTGTCTTAAATTAGGCTTATACCTGTAAATGTATCCTTTTCCATCCACAGTAAACAAATTAAATTAGATAATTTAAATAAGCATTAAACATTTAAAACAAAGTGTCCCATTCTCCAGAGTTAAAACTTTTACACACCTTATCACATAAATCACTGATTGATCGATTGATTGAACTTTATTTACCTGTCATGCGCATGAAGTGCCCAATCCTCATGGGTTTGCAAGACATTAAGATAAAGTTACAGCGCTTTAAATATTTCAAATTCTGATAAATTATAATAAAGCTGAATCTTTCTTTTACAGCTTGCTTTTGAACATTACATTCTGACTTTTCCTCCAGGCTTTGCTGATAAAACCTGCAACAAAAATGGTTCGTCCTCTGAAACACAATTCAAGTTTATGTTTCGCATAATTTAACCAACAAATAAAGATCTTTCTGTGCACAGTTGCACTCAGAAAGCTTACCTTTAGCTCCAGAGACAGGGAGGTTTAAGGCAACGTGTGGGGAGAACAGAATATGCTTTCATTAGAGGGGATTTGCAGTACTTTCTTAAGACCCTCCGGGGAAAAGCTTGTTGTTGGTCTTCAACTTTTCCTTGTCTATGCATGTATATTGGGGACTTGTTTCCTAGATAAACTCAATAATCCTGGAGCTTCTCTGGTTCACATTGCTTTTACCTTTTACCCAGAAAAAAGGGCCTTTTAGTGTTTTAAAGCCGTGAGGCCCCAGCTGTTATGCATGGTTTGCCCACTGGGTAATCTGGCTTTCGCTTTTTTCTGCAGGGTGTGAGTTTCTGTTTGTCTACTCTCAGCCCAAACAGTGGGACTGGAGGAACTATTTGACAAGCTCTAAAATTGTTTCTGTAAGGGGATGAACTTGCTCTTGTATCTCTTACCTTAAAATATACCAAACATTAAAGCTCGGAGGTCAACATAAATACTTTCCACACAAATGTAAAAAAATGTATTGGCATAAATTCTTTGACATATTTCTACTTTTGCCCCATAAGAGCACTATGTTTAAGCTTATGCAGTTCTGATCGTGTCAGCTAGGTCTGTAAATTCAGTGACTTAACTTCCTGCCATCATTTTTCATGTCATGTAAAATAAATCCAACATTGTGTTAACATCAAATCAACGTGCTCATTCATGGTGTGTGATCTGACACACGACACAGAGACATGCAAACAATTTCCAGTCTGACCAGTTAAACCTCCATCAGCAACTTTACCTTTGACAAAACCAGGTCACTAGGTCAAGAAATTCTCACAAACTGAGGTAATAAAAATATTTAATTACTCATTTTTACATAGTTTGTGGTTGTTTTTAGTGCATTTTCAGTTTAACTCTGCAGGTTTTCACACTGCTGTTCTCCCACATGTACAAAAGCTTCTTGCTGGGATGATATGACAACATAGTCAAGGTGCCATCAGCAGGTCTTAAATCAAAACTTGCATCCTGAGGACTATTTGTCTTCAAATCAAAGGCGTATGTCACTCTCCTGTCGTTGATGTCTGTGAAATACATCAACCCACACACAATGAAAGCATTCCCTGCTTGAGCTGTCGGGTAGTGCGTGTTAATGACTGACTCCACAGAGAACGTGTCAGGGTCAAGCTTCGCAACCATCGTGATATCGTCTGCAGCTGAAGCAAAAATAACCCACAGCCCATTTTCATCCACAGCAAACTTGAAGTACGTCTTTGAGTTGCGGAAAAGGTAGGTCAGGTTGTTATATCTGCTGTTAGTGATCATCAGGGTCTTTGTTCTCCTGGTGTTCAGGTCAAATCTGTCAAACATTCATTCAAAGTAAGTTAAGAAGCTTGGTACAAAAGTCAAATATTATCTGACACAGAAAATATCAGTATTCCAAAGCAGGAAGAGTCCTCTACATTTTTAACAGAAACACTTACTGTATCAGTCTATTTGTCCCTGCATTTTGAAAGTAGAACGACCGCTTGTAAACAACATGACCACAGCCCTGGTAAAACCTCCCAACATCTATGGTTTTGTCGCTAGACTTTGCCAAAGTGGACACATCCCTGTGCTCTGTTAAAAATCGGCCTGGAGATATGGAAGGGGGAAATGTGTCAGTGATAATTCCACAATAACTCACAAATGCCTGCAAAGAATGGCAGATATACGTGACTTTAAAAATCACCTGAAAAATGATCAGCGAGCCAGAATCGACCTCCATCAGGGTCGGCTGCATCAGGCATCCAGGCTCCAAAAGTACTTTGTGTCTCTGTGGCTCTCTCTGAACATCTGATGGCTTTAATACTGCACTCTAAAAATTGAGACAGATAGATAGATAGATAGATAGATAGATAGATAGATAGATAGATAGATAGATAGATAGATAGATAGATAGATAGATAGATAGATAGATAGATAGATAGATAGATAGATAGATAGATAGATAGATAGATAGATAGATAGATAGATAGATAGATAGATAGATAGATAGATAGATAGATAGATAGATAGATAGATAGATAGATAGATAGATAGATAGATAGATAGATAGATAGATAGATGTAAAATGTAACAGAATCTCACCTGCTTCTCTCAGTCTCTCATTGGTTGTCTTATCAGTCTTGTTGTTCATCTGGAGTTGGTATAAACTGTCTACATAAAAATGGAAGGAGAAGAAAGTCTTGTTTCTTTCTTTACCTTGGATTATAATTTATGTCAAACAGTTAAAAAAAGACAGGGATGCTTCTAAATTATCTTTCCATCTGAAAAATAATCACCACCATCAAACCAAGATACTTTCTTACCACTGTTCGTAGCTGTATTCCCGCTGTTATCAGATGCATCAGTCTTTTGAGCGGAGTCAACAGAAGGGGAGACTGTAAAATGAAAGGATACAGATTCAGATAGATACACAAACTTAAAAAGGTATCTCTGCGGTCATTTAACCTTTTAGATAAAGTTCAAAACAGACTGCTTACCCGCTGTTGTTTGGCTCGGTGCTTTTGTAGTTTTCTCTCTTTTGGAATTGTTCGAGTTGTTGTTTTTATCTCTGTGAGACTCTGGGGAAAAAAGAAAGTATCAGGTCTGACAATAACAAAAAAATCTATTGAACTCTGAAACATATAAACATATATCCTCTGTAATATATTATTCCTGACTTTTCTTTATCCATGAAATAGAGATAGTAGCAGTACAATAAGTGTGCATTGCCCAAGCTAAATTATCAATAGTGTTACAATGATTTCAAAACAGTTCATGATAAAAGACCAGAAACAAATAATAATAACAAATATTTCATGAATAAGTCTCCATGTATCTCACCAGGTAATAACCCAAATTCTGCCTCTGTTAGACTCTGTTCTGTGCTGGTTTGAACCCCTGTGTTATGTCTGTAGTCTGGACCAGGTGATACAAACTCTGAAAGAATAAAAAACAGAGGTCAGTAAGTGGTCATACAGTACATTCTTATTTTTTGCTAATTGTTAACAATATATAACATGGTATCTTCAATATTGTGCATCTTTATACCTTTTCTCATGTCTGTGTCTTTATTGTTCTGGCCACTATTATAGTTTTCACCACTGTCAGTCAGGTCTGGAGGAAGAGGGGCTGAATAATAATACAAGACAATACAGTGGAATAAAGCAAAAACATGCTAGAAGCTAGAAATAAAGTATTATAAAAAGGCTTGTGCAGGTAAATTAAGCAACAAGACATCTTTCATGCAGTATAAAAGATTTACCACTTTTGCTGGTTGTATCAGTAATCTCCTTATTGTCACTGGGGGTGTCACTCTTTTCAGTCCAAACAGATGGTAGAAGTGCTGTATGAGGGAAAGACATATTAGACAGAGTCTGCAAATACTAATGAAGATGTGGAGCAAGACAGGCTCGTAATATTAAACACTTTGTACCTGTTAGTAGTTTGATCAGTCCCCCTGTCACATTTTTTGTGCCTGAGTCAGTCGAGGTGTTGTGGTTGTTCTCTTTATGGAGTACAAGTATCTCTGCTTGACAAATATATAAGAACATTCTGAGTCAAAGAGGTTTTATTTTTGAGCTTCCTTATTTCCTACCAACACTCAAAACAAGCACTCACCAGGTCGTTCAGTAGTTTCTGTGAATCTGTCTGAGTCTGTGTAATCCGATGTATCTTTTTTGGCGTTGGCTGGGTGCTTCGTTGGTGACACTGTATGGCACAAATATCGAATGCGATCGAACAGAAAGTCTCCACTGACATGTAGCATATCATAAAATCTGATCTGAATGCTCAATGTGGATTTAAATTCACAAAGTGCACTGACCAGTTTTTGTCCATCTCCTGTTGTTGGTCAAATGCAGCGTATCTTTGGTGTTGGGTGAATGTGAGAAAGCTAAAAAATAAGAAAGGAGTATAATATATGTAGATTTTGACATTTTAAAAGGTATATTGTTCTTTTTCAACTAATAAAAAAGTAACTTTTAGGATCTTGCTGTTGAGTATGATGTCTACAATCTTAATTGGCTGTTTATAAAGTGAGTAAAATAATTTGTGAAATTTAATGGTACAAAATTGGCAAAAATTAAAACATCGCTAATATATTGAAAATACCCTTCGAAAAGCTAAGATCGTAACTTTGGCTCATTATAAAAAACACTTGAAGAAAGAAAAATTACCAACATTATCTGTAAATGTTAGCCTGTCGTGTATACTAATAAAAAGTATACAGTTTCTTACCACTTTGAGTCACTGTGTCCACTGTGGTGGTTCCACTCTTACTGAATGCATCACCATCTTGGTGTGAGGAAAGGGATTCTATTGAATGATAGGACACAAACTTTAACATCATGAAGTCATGCTCACATGATTTAATCATAACTTAAACACAACACACCTGTTAATAATCTTATCCATGTTTTTGCATTATTTACGGTGTTTGACTCAGTCATGTTGTCATTGTTGTCTTCTTTGTCAAATGATGCAGAATCTAGAAAAAGTAAACATAGATCAAACGTTTATTTTTTTAATCAGATGGTAAAAGTTTTTTTTTTTTTTAAATCACGGTTTACCAGCAGCTCAAAAATACAGTTTACCAGATTTCACTTTGGCAGGAAGGAATGTCACTGACTTGTACGTAGTCAAGTCATCTCTGAAGTTGTCTGTTGAGGCGTGTGCGAGTGATTCTGCAGAAAGACGACGAGATAAGGTACAGATGGGTTTTTATCAAATAGTATTAGTGATCTAAAATTTACATACAATATGTCACAACATTCACAGCTGCATTTTGCTTTATTTTGAAGTTAAATCAGCAAGAGTACATACCAGTTTTTGTTCTTTTATGGCTGCTGGTCAAATTTGGCTTTTTAGATTTCTCAGGTGAATCTGGGACATCTGAACATGTTACAATAGCAAACAAGAAATTCACATTATTGTCATGTATTTAATTGTATATCTTCATGATATTTAAATATTTAAAGACCTACCAGATATTGTAAGTACTTTCACCTCCATAAATTTCAAATACTTATTAAAAAGGTTATTTAAGTTTAAGATGTGTTTAAGTTCACATTTTAAAACTGTTTATCTTTTTGTCTGTTAATTCTGTTCAACAAAACTGCGAACTAGTAAATAACAACACTATAAATGATGCCACTGCAAATTTAATGATCATTCCAATTAATCAAAATCTAACCTATGTATAAGTGAAGTCCTTATAATGAAGGCATCTCTGTTTAATCAGCTGATAGTGTGGCTGTAAAATGGAATACTGGATATAAACTGTTAAAGTTCAGGTCAGAAGTTTCATTCAGAGTTCATAAAACAAGTCTACCTACCTGTCATTAATCCTGTCAGCGTCTCTGTCACCGTGCTGGAGTCACCCACGGTGTCTTGTTCGTCGCCTCTTTGAAGTAAAACTGACTCTAGGAAAATCAAAAAAATGAGATGAGTTTGATATTTTGGTCATAAACTTGAATTACAGTTTATTATGCATCCTGTGATTGTGAAAAGTGATCAAAAATGACAGAGGTTGTCACAAAAAGTCCTTTAAACTATATTCAATAGCTGACTGACAATTAATCTGATTTGATTTCTGTACATGACTATTTTTATTATCGATGAGTCTAACTCATTGCCTACCAGATTCTTTGCGTGTTACTCCAATTTTCTTAGAGTCAGTGACCCCTCTAGCTTCATGAGCAGGATGTTGGGTTGGTAATACTGCGGTGAGAAAAGTTCTTTTTTATGAGACATGAAAGAAGACCAGGTCAAATCTGTGGGTGGAAATATTTCATAAATAAGTCTCCATGCATCTCACCAGGAAACAAACCAACTTCTGCCTCTGTTAGACTCTGTTCTGTGCTGGTTTGAATCCTAGTATTATGTTTGTAGTCTGGACCAGGTGATACCAATTCTGTGGGAATAAAATACAGAGGTCAGTAAGTGGTCATACAGTACAGTCTTATTCTTTGCTATGGTTAACAATGTATAAAATGGTATCTTCAATATTGTTCATCTTTCTACCTTTTCTCATGTCTGTGTCTTTATTATTCTGGCCACTATTATAGTTTTCTCTGCTGTCAGTCAGGTCTGGAGGAAGAGGGGCTGAATAATAATACAAGACAATAAAAGTAACGTACACCAACTGTATTATAATAATTAAATGTGTTTAAGAAATGTTTGATAAAATAATACAGTCAGTACCATTTAAAAATGTAACAGGTGTCCCAGTAACGTTTTCTGTGCTGAAGTTATTCAAGCTGCTATTCTCTGCATGAACCATCACTAGTAAATAAAACGAAAAAGGACTCATGTTAGGATGATTTTCTCCTAAATGTTAAATTCAAGGTCTTTTGTTTCCTTCCATTTTAATTGGTTGCTCACCAGTTTCTGAATTTTCCTCAGGAGTTTCTGGAAGTTTTTTAGAGTCAGTCACGTATAAGAAATCTCTTTTGTCTGCAGCTGAGAGTGTTGTTTGCGGTACTGGAAAAAAAAAAGAGGAGGGATTATTGTCCAATCAACAACAGAGGAAATTCAATTTATAACAAGCTTGTGATCTTTTTGTGATTTGTACGCTGTGTTCCGTATGTCATAATAAGTTGTGTAACTATTCACTTCTTCCCACCAGTCTTTATAGATGTTGCGCTGCTGGTGTTTTCCATGTCAGTTTCAGTAAAAGCATCCATGTGAGGGAAAGGAGAAGAATCTAGAAAGAACAGAAAGTAAATTAGTGTGATTTCTTTTACAGCCTAAATGCCAAAAAAAAGTGGGGACACCATGTAAAAGGTTGATGAAACAGATGCTGATAGTGTGCAAATCATTTTAACCAGGTATTCAATTGAAAAACGGGCAAAGGCATCATATCATCATGTTGACATTGAAAAACGTTATTGTTTCATGAAGAATATTTGCTCATTTTAAAATTGATGCCAACGACATATTCAAATAAAGTTTGGACCAGGGTGATGAAACACTGAATAAGTTGTACAATGAAAACACAGGGAGGAACATCTCCAAATTAAATGGGTTAGTAAGTTTAGTAATATATTTAATTTGGTTGGATATAAAGATGGAACAGCGGATAGCACGAGTCTCTCAGAAATAAAGATGGGAAGAGGTTCACCACTCTGTGAGAGATTACATGAGCAAATACTTCAACAATAAAGGAACAGTGTCTCTCACTGTGAAAGGGCAAGGTAAGTGAAGATTTGAACTCCACAGAACATAACAGAGAATCTGAACCAAAGAAGCATGACTGAAAATCTTAAGTGCATAACTTTGATTTTTAGGCCTTCGGGTGGCATCCAGTTATAAACAGACATCACTCTGTCGTGAGAATCACTGCATATGCACAAAATCAACATTAAAACTGCTGTCAGTACGGACAGTTTGTCATTACATCCACAAATACAGGTTGAAACTGTACCATACACAGAGAAAACCATGTTTGATCTAGACATTGATCGTATTTTAGATAAGCGTGAAAAGAGAAAACTGTCCTGTGATCCGTCATAATTGACCGAAAGAGACTCTGAGTTGTTGAGCAGCTGAAATCCAACATCAGGTATAAATCCGGATAATATTTCCTTAAATGTTTACAGTGTGTGCTGCGCAGTAGCGATGCGCCCATTCGGCCGCACAGTCGCCGAGAGTCCCTGTGATGACGCTCGGCTCAAACAGCGTATCCCCCCGGGAGAGCTACGCAATCCCTGAACGCCCATAGGCTGTATCAGGTGTCAATCATAGAAAACATAAACCCCCTAATAACTTTTTAAAATGGAGCTTCACAGAAAAAAAAGGACTTGAGCACAAACCAGTGTTACAGTAACTACATGTCAACACCGCAAGCAGGGGGGGAGAAAAATTGATGTTCGTTGTAATAAATTTTTAAAGTTTGTCCACAGCTCCATAAGCTTTGCTGGAGGAGGAGGGATTTATGACCTATACTGCAGCCCATCAACAGAGGGTGCTGTTCTCGGAGTGGCTTCACCCAGCGAGGAGGCAGACTCTGTCCATTCTATATACAGTCTATGGTTGTGAAAATAAGAAGTGATAACATGATGGTAAACATGCCCCTGTCCCCACATTTTTTTGGATATTGCTGACAAAACACTCAAAGTCGTTAAAACAATGATGCTGGAAAGTTCTCCTCAGAGATTTTGATTTTAGCGACTCAAAGAAAGTTTGCAGTTCCTCACAGGTTTGTGACTCAAGACTGCTCAGCACACAGGGGTCATGTCTTCAATTGTTTTCCACTCGAATGGAGCTGAGACCCATTTGGTTTCATGGTAAAAGAGTAAATTTGTGTTGTGTTTCTTTTTGATTTTTCAGGTTTTAGTGTACTTCTTAATGAGAACCCGAGTCTTGAAAGGTTGTAGCTCCCCCTGTTGGGATGTACTTGTTGTGCTTTAAACTTAAACCAACCTCATCTGTGTGCATTAAATTGGGATTGTCAGAATACGCAAGGAAGGGTCCCTTACCTGAAACGTACATGTTACAGAAAAACACTGAGGACTTTCTGAAGTTTGTTGAAATGAATGAAACAAAGAGATTTGGGGATGTGACTTAAGGTTTCTGAAAATAAAACATATTTCTGTAGAGATTCTTACCGAGTGATACGTTGGTTTGATGTGTTTTTTCAGAGATCGTCTTTTTTCTTACATCATGACAACACTGAACAGGACAGGCTGGACCAGGTGGGCCAGGTGGGCCTCTTGGACCAGGAGGACCTTTGAAACAAACAATCAGAAGTTACAAATCAGACACAGAAGAGTAAACTTATAAAGTGGCTGATCTGAAACACAGTCTTTAATTACAGCGAGGACATGATGATTTTATAAGTCATTTTTGTGACTTATGAATTAGTTACCAAGCAGAAGCTGGAAAGAAGTGACAAAAGTTGAGATTTAGTTTTCCCTTTTCATCCTAAATCATAACAAGGTGTGAAAGAAAACATACAACTTAAGTGTTGGAGCCTATTGATTCTTTGTATAATTATTTGAATTATTTGGAAATGCTAAGGATAATATTGTGAATGAATTATTATTCAATTCTTTGCTGCTCACGTTCCTCCTCCTGACCAGGCCTCCTCCTGTGATTAGGGAGTGAGGACAGCTGGTTTCTTTTGGTTTTTGCTTGGTGCTGAAGGAGTGAGGCAAGTGAGGAGTGAAACAGTTTATCGACCGCTAAATAACATTTTTTATTTTGCTTGTTGTTTGAATATTTTTGTTGGTTTAAATAAATTCAAGATCCCTTTTTTTCAAACTGAAATATCTTCATGAGTGCTTATTATTTAGCGAGTCGTAGACCTCCTCCTCTTAAACTACTCTGATGTTTTTTACCTCTTTGTTAAACGCCAGAGTAGCCATAACACCAAGAGTTTCTGTTTTCTGAGCCTTACAGAAGACTATAGTGTCAACTCAGCATATGCACTCAAAAACAGACAACATGTTTCTAAAACTAAGGCGACATCTTCTCTGTTTTCACTTCTCACCCTCAATGAGAATATCATTGTAGATCTCGCCTTTCAGTCGTAGAGGCCCAGGGTCCCCTTTAGGCCCCCGCTCCCCTTTTTCACCAGGAGGTCCTGAACATTGAGATTAGAGGAAAACTGATCTGAAAACAGGTCACACAGACGATTCAAAACAACAACCATATCGAAAAGCATGATCCAACTCAAATCTGTCTAATACCCAATCCTGTACCATCACCCTCCTGTGCCGGTCTGCTGAGGCAGCTGTGGACCAAGTCCCGGCAGTGGGTGTGATATTACATAACTACTGCTAAACAATGAAGGCTGTTTGAAACTTCTGACAGAATTCAGTACAGAGCTCATTTGTCTGCTCTTGTACACACTCCTGTCTTATGTCTCTACAAAGGGCTTGTTGGATTTGAGAGAAACTTCAGATCACTCACCTTTTCTCCCACGTTTCCCCTCAGGCCCAGGCACACCCTGTGGTCCAGGTAAACCAGGTTTACCACGCAAACCTAACAGGAAAAATTAACAAGACTGAAGCAACTACCTGGATTTAGTCATTGTGAGAGATAATCAAAGTGTCCGATTTTACCTGGTGGTCCAGGTGGACCTGTGGGCAGAAATACAGTTCATACTTAAAATAAATCAAATACAGTAAAAGCCATGGCAACCAAAGCAGACTGTAGTGGAGAGCACACCTGTTAGACAAATTCCTCTGGAGCTGTTACAGAGATCCATGAGGGTTTTGATCTGAAAAATAAAAGAAACAGAGGGTGAGGCGAGGTTACATTCCTGAATCTGACAAAGGAGTGAAACACTTTTGGTTTCACATTAATAGCAGCTTAAAAAAAACATTTGATTGCTCAGATGGATCAAACTTTGCTGGTTTTTGGCTTTTACTTTAACTTTCCTGGAGCTAAAAAAAAAAAATCACACATCTGGCTCTTAAATACAGAAAATTTTCTTTGTCCAGTAGCATTTTAAACACAGTTCGCATCTCCCAATGAAATGATATAACTCTAATAAATGATCAACTAAGCCTAAAGAAAATCAAAAGACGACATGATTATGACAGTTACAGTAATTTCAGCCTCAATTATTTTTGATTGCCGGTAATTCATTGAATAAATAATCAATACCATTTTCTGTGTCACTGATGTGTCGCCTCGACCTGCCAGTTTGTATTTGCATAAGAATCTTTGAGCGGTTTATTGGAAACCATGGTTCCTGTTACTTAATGTAAATCATATTTTCAATCCATGAAACATAAATGTAAACACGCTGTCAAACAGAAGCACGCACTGCAGAAACGCTCCAGAAAGCAGACAACCCTCACGCTCCACTGCTCAAAGTGTTTACTCAGGTAACACTGAGTGGAAAACCAAACTTCTTCTTAATCTCTGTGACAGACTCTCAGATTCTTTGCGTTACTTCTACATGCATCTCTTCCCAAAAGGGGGAAAAAGTCAGTTAAAGTTGACAGCTCAGAGTTGTTGATTGCTCCCCTGTTTCTCCCCTAACGACATAATGAGACATTCAGGGATCTTCCTTTCATAGAAATTAGTGTGTGATAAATGAACAAGAAGAGCCCGCATTTGAGCCATCTTACAGGAACCATGGAGTAGGTCATCAGTGTGAGCGTGTCCTTCTCTTCTTGGCTTTGTCTCAACTCTCCCTCCAGGTCTCTCCTTGTGCGTTGGAGCTCCTTCAGCCCTCCGATCTTCTTGGACTCTGTAGGCTTGATCCCCCCCTGCAGCACGCAGCTCTGCCACAACACTTGCACCTGAGCGTCCAACCTGCCCAGCTCTTCTGTCAGCTCTTTCTGTTGAACCAGCAGAAACACTAAACCTGCGGAGCACAGGAGCAGCAACACACACATCCCACACAGAAGCACTTTCCACGCAGGAAACCCTCCACTCTTTTCCTTCATGGCTGTGTCCTGTGTTTTTCGTCCGCTGCGGTGCGATCTCTGTGGGCTCTGAGAATTCAAAAGTACATATCTGAACACCTGCCAACAGATGGGACGTCAGAGAGAAACTGGGCTGTAAGCTGTTGCAGAGGAATAAACATGTCAAAATCTGTCTGTAACTACACTTGGAACCATGTGATGCATTGCGCAAGAGGCATCTGGCAAATAGTTAAATTCGACAGTCACACTTCATTTAGAGGCAATCAATGGACATATTTCCAGAGTGACATGCTGTAAACTTCTTCTCATCATTCTCGTGCTTTTGTTCTTGACATTGTCTCCAGGCCGTCCCACAGAAAATTACATGGAAGTGGAATAAATAAGTCGTGAACAAGGAGGGCATTATCTGAGTTTACAAAAGGGCTTTCAGAGCACTGAGTGGATGTTCGTGTGTGTCGAAATCGCCTTTTTATGAATGCTTTTTTTCTTTGATTGCATTGTGTATGTCCAAATATAGAGCCACTTTTATAGCCTGGACAAGTTACATAAAGTGTTCTCCCTTTCAAGGAAATTTTACTCACCCGCTCAATCTCTAATAAAATGAAAAAATAAAAGATTTCAGCCAACTTAAACCCTTTGTTATGAATATCGAACTTCTTTCTCAGCAGCTTTCACAGGTGCCTGAATTGAAGGAAGCGTTAAAATTTGTATCCATACTCATTATCTAAGTGGGGGAAGACTAAAATCAATTCCAGATGCAGGGTTTTAGACTGTGTTTCTCGTTGTAAAAACGACATTTTTTCTCCCCCATGTCCCTTTTATTGGATTGCTGGGTAAATCCCTGTTCTCTTTGACACAGGTCAGTCTGACCCAGCTGATTAATTTCCCCCTGAAAAGACTCCTCTCTCCATGGATATCTGTGGGGCTTTTCTTCCTAACAAAATTAAATGTCTGGAAAAAGGTCTGACCGATGAAAAGATACATTCTTGTGACTTGAAAAAAACAAACAAATTTTTGTACTTTTGAAGCTATTTGGTGGCAAAGACCTGCCCTATTATTTGGTTTGTTCAGTATTCGGCTGAGTAATGGTACTTGTAGCCCCAAAGAGGCTGTGTCTCCAAGCAACCAGTGAAGTAAAGGCTTCACCGAGGATTTATAAACACTCGATTCACTGAGATTTATTTGGTAGGAGAATGTTGATCATCTTTAAAACCTGAGAAGGAAACTACACTGTGACCTGTGAGGAGCAGAGGAGAGCGAGCAAAGTAGGTACCGTCCTGAGCTAGCATGCTGATCACCAACTCTAAATGCATTTGTAAAATTATGTGTTGTGTTTTTAATGTTAAGACATATGTTGTGGGAAACATTTAAAGTTACTTTGACTTTTTAAAAATGTGAACTATCTGGATGTTTTGTTTTGTTTGTTTTGTTTTAAGGGCCTTAAAGGAGATTTGTTTACCGGACTAAAACAGACTGAAATTAATATTAATGACACTATTTAACCTTCTGAAGAAACTATGAAGTGAAAGGTATTTACATTCATAATGTAATCACTGCAGGGGGTCAGACAAAGTGAATCATTATTTTTTATAGATTCAACAGAAATGACTTTTTTTAAGGAGTGAGGTAGGATGTTTTTTTTTTTTTATCAGGAAAATAAAACACTATTTACAGCAAAGTGAGAGGAGATACACATTAATACTAAAAACTATGTTCTTGTTCTTTTGCTTCAACTCCAACAGTTTGGTGAAAAAACTACTTAAAAGTCAGTCATGTGGTTTTCAAGCATATTTAGAAATTCATCGGTGTTTTTTATGTGAGACAAACTTCATGTTTGTGTTGATTTTTGCGTACCTGTACACAAAGTAAAACCTTAAATCTCTTCACTTATTTTGTCTTGTATTTCTAAGTCCTTTTTTCTGACAGAGAGAGACTCAATCTGCTTTCTTTTAGTGGTTCAATGTATCACTTAATGTCAATATTTGCTGTGGGAAAAGCATGAAGTTTCATCCCTGTGCTGTAAACTGTGCCTGGCACCTACCACTCCATATGAGTTACAACTTACAAGATAAAAAATTGTCAATTATTTTCCAAATGCTTATGTTTGCATATGTAAGGTAACAAACAAATATCAATTTTTTGTTTGTTTGTTCAATAACCACTCAGAAAGTTCTTACAGGAGCTTTGAAGTCAGGATTAAATACAGTCCAACCCTTTGAAATCCAATTATGAGCACATGAAGAAATGAGCACAGATTTTTACTTCTCATGGAGAATAAAAATCACGAGGATCAATAAAGACCCTGCAAAGTGGCTCGAATTTAACTTTTGTTCAGTATGACTGTGAAACTATCATGTAATAAATCAATATAGCATTTAAAATCAAAATATTTGAATAATCAGAGTAATGTTTCAGCCGCCCTGTGGGGAGGTATCAGGTGTCATATGAAGAGTCCATCAGAAAGCTTAATGTTGGTGTGTTTTGGTTTTAAAGTGCTCTCGGTTGACATGAAACCAAACTCTCAAGGACAAGAGAATTACAGGGGACTAAAGAGAAGCCTTCCTCAGATCAAACATCAGTTCCTGTTTTGCTGAAACGAACAATGACTGGTTTGTGTGGTTTTTTTTAAGAGGAGACACAGGCTGTTTAAGTGTCAGCCGACCGGCTCAGGTGTGTGTACCTGGAGTTATGAAGGGGATGCTGCCTCTGGAAACACTGGCCTCAGTCATGTTGGCAAATATCTCGTCTGAAGTCACCGTCTTTCTTCTCCTCCTGCTCCTGCTGCTACTTTTCACCGTGTGGAACCGAACATATCGCTCACAGATACCAGGTGACTGATTCATGCTCTTTTACTTAGCTCATGTCCACTGATCCATGAGGATGGGATACTACAGCTCTGCAAAGACAGAAAAAATATGAGAGAGTTATTTATGGGTAAAGGATTTAGGAAAGTTTTAGATAAGAAGTTTCTGATAATATTTGACTTTCAATGATCCCTTTTCCCGGAGGTCCCCCTTTCTTGGCGGGACTCGGCCCTCTCCTCACCTACAGCAGGTTCATCTGGACTGGGATAGGAACAGCCAGTAACTACTACAACAACAAATACGGCAGCATTGTTCGGGTCTGGATTAACAGTGAGGAGACCCTCATCCTCAGTGGGTAAGTCTCTGAAAACACGAGCTCCATGAAGCCCTATTTTGACCTTAAACAGTGTAATGGGTGAAGGCTGTGCTGCTCTCACAGGTCTTCAGCGGTCTATCATGTCCTGAGGAGTACTCACTACACAGCCAGATTCGGCAGTAAAAGGGGGCTGGAGTGTATCGGCATGGAAGGAAAAGGGATCATTTTCAACAGTGACGTCCAGCTCTGGAGGAAAGTGAGGACATATTTTTCCAGAGGTGAGAGACGACCCTTTTTTTGTTGCAGTTTCCCAAAAGAAGCTGACCTAAAAAAGGGCGGTCATAACTGAAACACTGCTCTGTTGTTTTCAAACTTCTGTCCCGTTTCGATTTGACAGCTCTGACAGGCCCTGGTCTCCAGAGGACAGTGGGAATCTGTGTGAGCTCCACAGCCAAACATCTGGATCGCCTACAAGAGATGACTGACCCCTCTGGACACGTGGATGCTCTAAATCTGCTGAGAGCCATTGTGGTGGACATCTCCAACAGGCTTTTCCTCGGGGTGCCGCTCAATGGTCAGCTGTCTTCTCACTTACTGTAAATCTACACTTTAACTGTGTGTTTTCTAGTTTGTTTTGTATTTTTTTTTTTTTATCCAGAAAAAGACCTGCTGATGAAAATCCACAACTACTTTGAAACATGGCAGACAGTTCTGATAAAGCCTGAAATATTCTTTAAGATCGGGTGGCTCTTTAACAAGCACCAGAAAGCAGCGTAAGATCCTCACGTTTACTGTAGATCAATATGCAGCTTCACTTCGAGGAAATTTCGGTTCTTTTTTTGTTCCAACAGCCAAGAGCTGCAGAACGTGATGGAGAGCCTTCTCCAGACAAAAAGGAAGATTATCCAGGAGTCTGAGAAGTTGGATGATGATCTTGACTTTGCAGCAGAGCTCATCTTTGCTCAAGTTTGTCTCCTCTCATAAATCTGTCCCCGTCCCAATGATGTTGTGTGCTTGCTGCATACCTTTATCTCCTCTTTCCACAGAACCACGGTGAGCTTTCAGCAGATAATGTCAGACAGTGCGTACTGGAGATGGTGATCGCAGCTCCTGACACACTCTCTATTAGCCTTTTCTTCATGCTGATGCTGCTGAAACAAAACCCAGATGTGGAGCTGAGGATAGTCGAGGAGATGACAACAATTTTAGGTAGGTGTATATATGTGCTGAATTAGCAGAAACAAACTTCTCCAACAATCCCTAAATGCTTCATGTTGATTTTCAGGAGAAAGGGAAGATGGAAACATCGACTATCAAAGTTTAAAAGTGCTGGAGAGTTTCATAAACGAGTCTCTGCGGTTCCATCCTGTGGTTGATTTCACGATGCGTAAAGCTCTGCAGGACGACAACATCGAAGGCATTAAAATCGCAAAAGGAACCAACATCATCCTGAACATTGGTCTCATGCATAAAACTGAATTTTTCCCCAAACCCAAAGAATTCAATTTGACAAACTTCGACAAAACAGTGAGTCAGCTGATTATTTTGAAACAATCTGAGGCTGTAAATACGAACAGCAGTCGGGTTTTTTACCTCTTATGTTTGGTAACAGGTGCCCAGTCGGTTTTTCCAGCCCTTTGGTTGCGGGCCTCGGTCCTGCGTGGGCAAACACATCGCCATGGTGATGATGAAGGCCATCCTGGTGGCTCTGTTGTCCCGTTACACCGTGTGTCCTCGCCAAGGCTGCACCATCAACAGCATCCGGCAGACCAACGACCTCTCACAGCAGCCTGTGGAGGACGAGCACAGCCTGGCCATGCGTTTTATTCCTCGAGCAGCACAACTTCAACAGTCAGCACTGATACTGACGACACACATTTGACGAAGAAAAGCCGGGTTTTGCAATTATTGGGGAATGTTAATGATAAAGAGACAGGAGCTGTGTTGTTCAAATGTTCATAAACCCCTGAATCTACCATGCTCTTTAGTTCTGCTCTGCTCTCTTGGTAGCTGTTTTTAGGCAGGTGAACACACAGTTGGTGAAACTGCAGCAGATGTTACGCTGCCATAGGTGAAAACATTTGAAGGTTTGGAGTAGATTCAGAGCTGTGCTTGATGTCCTGGCCTTTAGGATACAGTGGAAGAAAAACAGAGACGACATAGGAGGATTTTATTTGAAGGGGTCTACAAAAGACTGACATCACGCTGTCATAATCATGACATGACACCTGTCATTAATACGAATAAGGCTAATGAAGGTTGTCATTAAGTGTCATTCAGCAAATGATGACACCTGTGGTGCTTCATTGACAATGTTTGGGAAGGAATTGTCATCAACATAGCACTTAATGACAACCCTCATAAGCCTTATCTGTGTTAACGACAGGTGTCATGTCATTATTATGACAGCGTAACGTCAGTCTTATGTCTACTCCTTCAAGTTACAGATTTTTTTTCTGTGTAAAGAGGGTCACAAAACATTTAACTGTTTGCTTTACAGCAGTGCAAACTAGCATCTACTTTCAACTTAGTCTGACTTAAAGGGCCGCAGCATTTAAAATGTACTGATGAAGTTGTCCTGTAGCCTGTAGCCTGTAAAGCCTGTATAGCCAACACTGTACTGTATAGTTTGTGCAAAGTATATTTTCTGTCTATTGTTATGGGTGTTACTACATAGAACATTAGTTACATTTTACTGGTGGTATAGTGAGTATATTGAATCATGTTATTTGTGCACATACTGGACTATGTAAGATTGTTGTTTAATGTACATTAGCAGACAGTAAACCCCAATAAAACCACTATAATTCCATATTACAGCATCGTTTTGTTTTTTGGCTTAGGCAGTTGTCTAGGGTGCCAGAGGGGCGCCTAGTCACCCTCCAAAAGAGAAGTTACAATATAGAACTATGTATCTTCTTCTCATTTTCATTTTTGGCCCATATTCATACCTTTTACAGAAGTAAATCAGTATTTTTCTATAAATAATTCAAGTGTAAATTCAGTTGAGTTACATGTGTTGGATTTATTCATAAATCAGCAAGAAGTAGTGACAGGCACTCCAAGAAACACATGATTCTCCCTGTACCACAGGCACAAATCAAAACTGCCAATTTGGCATTAAAACGTAAGGCGTTGATTAAGCTGAGCTTCAGAAACATCGTAAGCTTTAGGCAGTGCTTCAAACAAGGACACAGGCAAAACAGAATAAAAGTCAACTTTCCCTTACAGACACATGAAAACAAAAGAAACAGGCTGAAGTTCATGAAATCTGACTGAACAATCAAACAGTTCGTGGAGCACAGATTTGTTCATTTTTCAGATAAATGAGTATAAAAACTTCTGTAAGAATATAAATCCAATAAATATGTTTTAATACTGCAATGATACAAAAATATAATAATCCGAGACCGCCAAAATCCACCTGAATCCCACCGAAAATGACACACCAGAAACATGAGTGCATAGATAATCAAAGCACACAGACAGCAGAGCCTGCAAATATAAGACAAAACTTTGGAGAAAGTCTCGCTGGTCTAGAAATGAACAAAGCTACATTTAAGACAAACTGCTGTCTTTACTGATGTTGAAATGTGTGCAAATGCTGCACTCAGACATTAGTGTCTGTTCAGTGTAATCCTTTAGACACAGAAGGATGTAAACCTTTAACAGTAAGGTAAACAAGTGTCCCTGAAATAGCAGCTCTCTATAACTGGAGTATTCATCTTTCTCTTACAACTTTTTTTTGTCTAAAAAAAAAGAAAAATCAACTTGTTATTCTTCCCAATATCAATAATCTCCATGTGTTTCCCCTAAAATATCCTATAATTTCCAGCAACTAGTCTCATGCAACAGCTCAAGTCATTCTTTTCATTTCACTGTATTACAACTGTATAACAGCAACAACATGTTAAGACATGTTAATGAAATGTTAAGATTCTTCATGAAAAATGGAGATAGTGTCGTGTAAATCTCAAAAACAAAAACAAGAAAACTCAAACTTAATCTTTCTTATTAGCATTAAGACCTGGGATAGTCGTGATTTCTTCTGCACACCAAGAATATACACAGAAAACATCCTTCTTGATTTCACTCACAATGTTTCAATTGAAGTTTTCAAGTCAGTATGAAGCTCTGTCGTCATTTTTAAGACATGAAGGCTTTGATTGATTGATTAAAACACAATCTTTTGGCCCTGAGGTTATCATTCGCCATGACTTTCGAACTGGTGGAAAAAATAAATAGATTGTGATCCAAACAGAAACAAGAATAGAAAAAGTGTGTATTTAAATACTGGAAGAGATAAAAAAAAATGATGAACACTAATTCTGCTCTGTGTCCTGTCCTGCTCTGCACTGCTGCTGTGTACCTTCATCCTCAGCAGGTGAGGGTCAGGAGTGTCAGTGGTGTCCGCCAGGGAGGGCATTGGGAACCTCAGTGCTCCTGTAAAGCTCGCTGACAGTGATAGATCAGGCAGTCAGGTAGGTCAGGGACCGGGGAGCGCAGCCATACAGCTAATGAGCCCGCATGGACGCGGCAGTGCATCAGGCACGGCTGATCCTGGAGGACGCGGCAAGCAACAATCCCCTCCATACCTGCAAACGAATAAAGGAAATGAAGGTTGGATTAAACAACACTGACACTCGCAACTTTTGTTAGGTAAAAGGTAAGGGGGAAAAAAGTCAAAATTTAGGAACAAATGAGTCAGTTAATAAATGTTAAGATTAATAGTCTAAAAAAAGCGCTCAAATTTGTGTAATGAAGACAGTGAGACATGTAAAAGACACTAACATCAGACTGCCCATCTCCTGTGAGTGGACGATCCACTTTTTCCCCAAAACTAAGATTTCCCTGAGTGTTTTTTAAGTGGGTTCACCTATGATCTCCACCACATGGAGCTGCAGTTTCCTTTTTAGCACATTCAGAGAAGCTGTGAGAGACTCCTGGTCTTCACTTATAAGCGTCAAGTTCTGCTTTGTGTCATTAGAGAACGCCAGCCACATTGTCCCGTACTCTTCTGTGGACACCGTCAAAGGTCTGGAAGGAACATGAAACACAGTCAGCGATGGATCTTCTTTATGCAGACGTATTTAGACGTAAAAATAAAACAACAAGTCACCTGATGAAGCTGGTTAGAGGCAGCTTGTATGAGAACTGGGTGGACTCAGTTGTCTGAGATGTGTAAGACACCACTCCTGCTACTTCAACATGAACTGAAGGTCTCCTTACAGTCAAAGTGTACTGACACACCGCTACACTGTCACCACTCACCTCCTGAACTGGGCTCTCACACACACATGACACCTGAGAACAAAAACAAGACAACACCATTCAATACCGATGCTGATGAGACCTCATCTCCAAGTTCTTCATAGAAACAAACATACCTGAAGTTGATCTGATTCCAGCTCCAGCAGTATCTGCTGAACGTCAGAGTCGGAGGAGTTGTAAATAAAAACTACAAGTACTAAAAACTCGTCTCTCTGCACATGACAGGCTGAGAGATGGAGGCTTTGGTGGGAACATAGAGGGATGATTTCTGAGCAGGAACATCCGGAGAGCTCTGCAGGAAGATGAGAGCTGAGACACAAGTCCTTGGGTCTGTCCTTATCTTCATGAGCTATGACACCATTATCCTTTATGAGAGAGGGCTCCCTTTCCTCTTCGTCCCTGTCAGTAAACTCAACGTCACAGGTGCCATTTGCAGTGCTCAAGTCCTGAGACAGTTCTGGTGGAGGATCTTGTGACGCACCTGAGGTGATGTTAGAGTCCAGGAGGTTGTTGCACAGTAAGTTATCCACTGTGCTTGGAGAAGAGATGATGGAGTTGGATGTTGGCTCACTCGGACCTGAAGACAAACTTGGACTTTTTGCTTTTCTCCTGAACCGCTGAGGATTTGGCTCAGCTTTCCCCATCTACTCAGAAGGAAAAAAAAATGGAAGGATACTTTTGTTAATATATGATATACTTTTTATAGAATGTTTAAAACAAAATTTACTAAATCAGCAGAAAAAAATATCAACTACTGCTCTGACTGAGTTAATTTTTGCACAGATAGATGTAAAAGCTCTCTGATCGCATTTTTTTCTGTTTGTGGAAAAAGCTCATCATTTAAGGCGTTAATCCTGAGCACAGGGATACGGAAGACAAAAACAGCCATGGATTTCTCTTTTTTTTAATGCACTGTTATCTCGTGATAACAAAGATTGTTTTCACGTGATAACAGAAATGGCGTTTTAGCCAATCTCAAACAGTAACTTTTAAAAACACCCTCCATATTGGAATATTTCGGAAACGCTGCAGCCACTGTGGTTAACAACAAGCCGGGGTTTTCAGTGAAAACACTGACGCACGCTCCATTTTTGCACACACACATTACACTTTCAACACAAGAACATTTAACTGCCATGCGTGAATGTTGAAAGTGTAATGCACAGCATCTTTGTTATGTCAAGGTAATGAGATAATAAATCTTTATCATGAGAAAACGAACTCTTTTATATGGACATAATGAGGTAATAAGTTGTTATCACAATATAAGAGTGCACAAAAAAAAGAAAAAAACAATGGCCGTTCTCGTCTTCCGTACAGGGAGACATAGGTGTCTAACATTTTTTACTATTGTCTAAAATTCTACAAAAAAAGTTTACAACAAGAAAACAACCAGTAAAAAATAATGAAAATAAAAGTTTGTCACTATATCAGTTTGTCCAAATATCAACTCTTATGTAACTACGGCTTCTTCATTATGAATACACGTTCCTTCTTGTTTTTCTAAATTAAAGGAAACGTTTGCAGAATCATATTTTTTTAATTGAGCAATAACTGAGTATTCAGGGAAACATGTCAGACTGATAACTTTATTTATATTTCGCAGCTCTAACTCAAACAGCTAAAGACGAATTGTGAAAGCTCACCAGGCACACAGAGCTTTGGGAGCCCAGGCCCACAAACAGAGAAGAGGCCAGTTGTTGTTTCTCTTGTTCAGGCTCGGGGGTCGGTGTGGGAGTGGGATTCTGGCTGTGCGCTCCCTCAGCCTCTCCTTGCTCGCTGGCTGAGTGGAGGGGACTGGGGACCTCAACCTTTGCGGCCTCCTCCACAGATTCTCTCTGCGCTAGGTAGCCGTCCCTCCCCCAGACCCGCTTCACACCATCCAGCTTCAGAGTTGTCGAACTGAAATAGAAATCAAGGGTACTGCCTTAATTAGCTGTACATTTGTGTGTTTGCTGTTTTAATACAGAGAACAAAAGTAAGACTTTTTTTTTTACATACCCTCCTTTGTGTGAGAGATCCATGCTATCACCTGACAGACCAGAGCTGATGGACAATAATGTAGGAGACTGTCTGTCTGTGATGCTACAGGATGACATACTGATGGGCAGGGACAGACTGTACGGCTCCAGGCTCAAAGCTGAGGGGGCAAAACAGTCAAAGCAAATCCAGACACATCAGCACACAGGAACAGGTTACCAAATCTGCCAAAGTCAAGAATGCAAACCAGTTTTACTTTTTGCCTGAGCAAGTTCCTCCTGCCGCTGATGAGGAGGTTTGTACGGTGCTGCACCGGCAGCCAACGCCTCTGACACGAATCCATCCAGGAATGACAGAGAGGAATCCACCTGGAAACCAAGAAATAACCACCATAACTTTAGAGTTGACTTACAATGCACCTGAAGATGAATGGAGTTCTGTGGTAAACCCAGCCCTTCAAATCACTCTGGACTTGCCAAAACAGATACAGCTAAATGATGATCTCCTCATAAAAGCTGTCCTAACAGAAACAAACTATGTTTTTAAAGGCGAGTTCATACAGGCACAGAGTGGAGTAATATGCTGTAGTATCAAGAGATAAATCCTAGTGAGGTTTTTTTGGCAGGAAAAATCTAAACACCAGCCAAAACACAGAGTCAAATGTATTTCCAAACATTTCAATGCACAATAATAACAACAACATCTAGTGCAATGACTTATCATCACTGGAAACCTACACTCCTGCCCTGTAATGCTTCCTCATTACCTCAGGGGGCTCCAGGCCGGTGTCCCGAGGCAGCACCCTGTCTCTTAGTTCAGAGTCTTGGCTGAGGTGCTGCAGCTCCTGAGCCCTTTGTCTCAGGACTGTGTCCAAGGAGCTGCTGTACGTTTCAGAAACCTCCTGAGCCGCAGAAATGCCCGTCCTGCCATCACACAGCTTGGTCATCGCTATGAGCACCCAGCTTTTGGTTTCACTGCTCGTGTTCTTGGAGTCCAGCAGTTTGCTAAGCAGCCTCAGGACTGTGGCGGGTTCAAGGTCCGTCCTTAGATGTGCGTACTCACCCAGGACCTGAGCACGGTAGAAAGGAGACAGAGCATAAGTCCCTCTTCTCACCGTTCACCATCTATCAGACGACTAAGAGGCATGAATGTGGTTTTAATGTCTGGGTTTCAAACTATGACTTCAAATATCTTGTCTTGTTTTTGCTTTATGTTTACGTTTTCTTCAATAAATACAAAAACAACTGACTGCTCATAGTGTTCATAGTGTTCACTGCAAACAGCACTCACCCAGCTGATGACCTGGAGAAAACGCTGGGGCAGTTTCCCCGTCTCACCCTGCAGCAGAGAAATGTATGAATCCACAGCAAACTGCCTCAACTTCCTGTCTTCCTCCACGCTGTCAAATCCTTGAAGAGAAATCAGAAGAAAAGAATTATCATCATCATCTTCATCATCTTTAGACAGGAAACTCCAAGAGTGAGATCAATTTTGGGTTATCTCACCTTCAGACAGCAGTTTCAAGAAGCCGTTTGGGATGTCAGGCTGCATCATGTCTCCCCCGACTGAAAACACTGTGTTCATGGTCTCGATGAACCACTCGTTATCTGGTGCATATGTAGAATGGTATATAGGAAAATAACAACACACTATAGGAGACAAACACGATGTAGAAATTAAAATTCAATACTGAGTGTTTTAAAAGGAACCGCAGTTATGTTTGCATCAGTGTCAGACGAATGAAGAAAAAAGGTTTACTGTTTGTGACCACAAATTATCTAACAGGAGAGTTTATAACTGAGATAAACTACTGATTCAATTGAGGACCACAACTATGCAACCATGAGCTTTTATCTCAATTCTTCGGTCTCTTTTTTGTACACAAATGTGGAGATGGGGAAGATATTTCTATCTGACTGACAAAAACAGAACCTGCTTTGACCTCCAATCTTCTCTAAAGGAGCCAGAATTCACAAAACAAGCATCATGCTGTAATAAAGAGAAACGGGAAATAGCAGCTGCGGCAGTGGCCTTGTGAGAAAATGTTTTGTGAGGTAATAAAACAAGAACCTTCTGATCCAACAACAGGATTTTTTTGCAGCAATTGAGATCGCCCTCTGCTGGTCTTTACTCAAAATGCAGTTCAAAGGCACCTCACCATGTGATTCACTTTCTCAATCGTGGCTGTATCCACCTGTCATTTATACTTTATTTGAGACCCTTTTTGCTGGTCACAACAAGGCTAAGATCTGTCAATTCTTCAGCTTTAAGAAAGAAAATGTGCTCTGAAAAAGTCAATGTTTCATAAGACCCTAATGCAGAGACAAAGCCTTAAGAGGAACCTAAGAGGAGACAGGGTGAGTCAGATGTTAAGATTTACAAACACAAGGATATTTTTCTGCCAATTCAGCAACCTTCCCCACCAGATCTGTGGTGGTGTAGTCATCTTCATTGAGTTGTAGAAACTCCAGCATCTTCTCCACAATAACTGTCACATTCTGGGCATTCGTTATGCGAAACAGCAATTCCAGCGTCTACAAGAAAACAGAGAGCACCCCAGTGTGTTATAACCCACAGTTCTATGGCATCTTAATCCAGCTTACATTGGTGTAAGGCTTACCTCACGCTTGATGATGAGGTCAGGGTGATCGAGGCACTCAATGATGGTCATCTGGTGCTGCAGAGCCAGTTTAGGATCCTGCTGGACCACATAGGTAAGGGCCTTCAAGCCTTAAATAAATACCAGAGAAATGACAGTGAGTATCTGAAATTTTAATGATCTGTAACTTCATATTTTTCTCCTTTGGTTCTTACCGAGATATTTAAGATTAATCTTCTGTGACAGCACAAAGTTGCCAATGCACTTGGCAGCTTTTTCCAAAAGTTCAGATTTGGGGTGAATCGTGTAAATACATTTTACACACTCGTATAATATTGCTGAAAAGAAGAGAGATTACAACAAGTGAGGAAAGAAGAATATTTCAGTAAATCAAAAAAAACAAAACATTTACGATGAATCATACCATAGGTGATGTTGTGATTCATCTCTGCTCTTCTTAAGGACTCATCCAGGACATCATACATGATCTCACTTGTGCTGTCACACAAAGGGCAAACACATACTTTTCAATAGTTTGAGGAAACAGAATACAAATACTGCAGAAAAAAAACAAGTACAATTAATTACCTCTGGTCATTTTTTCCCAGTAAGGAAAGTATTCTGAGGAGCTGAATCTGCAGCCATGGAGCAGGAACACTGTGGTAGTTAAAATCCATGGGCAGTTTACCTCCCACCACCTGCTTTAGTATCGTGACAAAGCTTGCTGTCAGGTCTTTATAACCCTCCGGATTCTCCTGTAAAAAAAAAAAAAGGGAAAAGCACAACATGACCGGAAGGTAGGAGAGCAGATCGACTCATGATGTCTGTATAATCTTTTCTCAAAGAAACACAGTTCATGTTGTGGTAGGAGCGTGCAACTAGTACCTGGATCATCTGTAAGTAGATGTGCAGTGAAGCTGTCATGACTCCAGGGTCCTTGTCACATAGAGCTTTACGAAACTTGTTGTGGATGTGTTGAACCTGGTTTGGTGCTATTTGGTAGAATTTATATAGAGCCAGGACTGCTTTTCGTCTTATTATCTCTCTGGAAAGACATCAAGGCAAGGCAAGTTTATTTGTATCGCACCACTCATACACAAAGCAATTCAAAGTGCTTTACTGAGAAAAATATAAGGGAATACATAAGAAATTAAAAAAAGAGAGATTAAACAATTTAAAGTCAAAAAGACATCTTAAAATCAATAACATATTAAAACAGTTGAAATTGACAGAATAGCAAAGTAGAAGTAAGAGGAAATGACGCTATAGGGAAGCCGCAGTAAACAGTGATGTTTTTAACCCTGATTTAAATAAGCTGACAGTTTGTGCACAACTAAGGTGTTAAGGGAGTTTGTTCTACTGATGAGGGCCATAGAAGCTGAATGCAGCTTCACCCTGCTTGGTTCTGACCCTGGGGACAATGAGTAGACCTGTTCCTGATGACCTGAGAGGTCTAGATGCTTCATTTCCAACCAGCAGCTCCGACATGTCATGTGTTTAGGCCCAAGACCATTTGGTAATTTAAAGACCTATAACAAGACTTTAAACTCTATCCTTTGAGCAAGGGGAGCCAGTGCAGGGACTTATGGACAGGTGAGATATGGTCCATTTTCCTGCTGTTGGTCAGGACTCTGGCGGCAGCATTCTGGATGAGCTGCAGCTGCTTGATTGATTTTTTTACTTAGGCCTGTAAAAGACACCATTGCAATAATCTCACCAACTAAGAATAAATGCATGAACGTTTTTCCATGTCCTGTTTAGACAAAAATCCTTTAATTCGTGCAATGTTTTTGAGATGAGAATAAGCTGATTTAGTGATAGTCTTAATGTGGCTGTTAAAATTCAGAGTCCATTTCTACACCCAGGTTTCTGGCTTGGTCACTGGTTTTTAGTGTCATTGAGTAAAGGTGGACACTGACTTTAAGCCTCGCATTTTTGGGACCAAAAAAAAGACTTTTGTCTTTTCTGCATTGAGCTGGAGAAAGTTCTGGCCTTTCCAATGACTGACTTGTTTGATACATTCAATCAGCAGCTGTCAAGAAAACCCTTTCAAAATCATGATACAAGGTGCTTTTTTTACAGTTTAATCTTTTAATTAATCACATAAAAACATACATGTAAATACATTTAGCTGACCTATGGGACTAAAATCAAAAAGAGTGTTTCTTACTTTGGGTGATTAAGTTTCTCTTCGACCAGAGGGAGGATTGCAGGGATCATATCTTTGGGGAACATCTGACTTACAACAGTCAAGGCCATGCACACTTCTATAAGGTTTGTGCTCTGGAGATCCTGAAAACACAAACTATGATGTCAGCTTCCTTTATTTTGACAGTGATATCAGATGATAAAAGCTGTATAAATATAGCTGTATATATAAAGTAAACACCCACCTTCAATACAGTGTTCACAAGGAGAAGCAGCAGCTCATGACTTTCATTCAGAAACAAAGAAACAGCAAGGTAACCTGAAAATCACACATGAAGTTGTTGTTGTTTTGCTCAGAAAATGCTCCAATTGTATCATAATTAGATCATGACTCAAAACTGTTGTAACGTGAAATAGAGAAGCTTCAGCGACAATCACTTTAAAAAAAATCAAACATACAACTTAAATACTTTTTTGGCAGCAGTTCTTAGTCAGGATTCTGTTATTCTAATCAGGCTCTTCTACTTCTAACCAGAAGACGTACCGACTCTTTTCTCCAGAGCAGTGCCTTGTTGAGCCAGTTTGATGGCATGAATGTAGGTGAATGAAGCTTCATAACCAAGCATTTCACAGTAGATTGCTCTCACCATAAGCTCCTTCATCTGCCTCTGAAAAGCAAAGAGGGAATGAAAACATCAGTCAGTGCTGTGAATAATATGGTTTTGATGTGCGGGATCAAACAGGAAAATCACAAGAGTTATACCATTGAGGTGCTGGGAGAGGACATCTGTTCTTTGATAGATGTTAGCTCACGCTGAATGAGCTTTTCCTCTTCCTGAATGAGAGGAACACAATTGAGAATTTTATAATAAACTACTAAGATACAGTTTGAGAGATTGACATTTTAGAATAAAACAAAAAAACATACTTTAAACCACAAAAGATACACCTTTATCTCACACAAGAGACTTTTTCTATTTAACAACATCAGCAAAATGTATGTGTGTAAAATTCTATTGATGGGTTTCCTATTGGACGTTATTCAAAATTAGTGATCAACAAAAGTTCATTTTCATGGAAAGTTCATTTTCGTTTTCACTGGATTTGTCTAATAGTAGGGGAGAGTGGGGTAAGATGAGCCATTTTTCATATTTCGGATCACTACATCAAGGCAATCACAGTTTTGTCTCTAACTTGTGTATCTGCATATATTTCAAGATGTTGTGCATCCCTGCAAACCAACAGAATGAGTGTAAACATGACTGTCTTGATAATATAGCATGACAAAAAAGTGATCTCCTATGGTCATTTTAACATGAGAATGTCTTTAAGTGATTCAGAACATTCACAGCTGTATTTTTGAAAAGAAAAAGTAACACATTTCAACAATCTGAACTGAAACTCTGATCCTCTCATCAGACTCTTTTACTTTCTCAGTTGATCAACTGGCTCAACTTACTTTTATGTTAGGTTTTTGACCTCATGTTGTAGCTCATAGATTCCACAATTGGTGTATAAAACAAATTTTAAATGAATTTATTTGGTCTGACCACAATTCTAATAAAACTTATGACAGACTAAATTCACTTTCAAGAGTGAAATTTTTTTTTTTTTTTTTTAAATACATGTCTAACCACTTCACCCATGTGCTTCTAACCTTCACAGACTCCATGAATTGATGCTCATTTCCTTAATAATTGGTCACATTATCAATTTCTTTTACTATTTCCTAGCAACAGAGTGTGGCCAAACTTACCCCACTCTTTCCTACAAGATGTGACTGTTCGTACTTACAGCTGGTCACTTGGGTTTAGATCACCAGAAACATATGCCAATGAAATGCCCGAAAATCTGCTGACAGCTGACCTTTTTTAACAAGTGTCCGAGCATTTCAGAAGTACCTGAACGCATCGTGTTGGACACTATTTATAAAACAGCCTAGACGATATCAACACATGTATTTCCCAATAACGAATCAGGTAGTGCGTCCGTCAGCCATACAAACACCTAGAATTAAGCTTTTTTGACTACTTGGTCTATGAATAAAGTGTGCTCAGAGATAAAACACTGCTCTTTCATTTAGCATAGGCAGCTTAGAAAGCTAAATTCAGAGCACAGCAGGAGCTGTCTGGTCGTATTTCACCTGAGTTTCAAAACAAAACGACAAACTTACATGTTTGGACGTCAGTTCTGTGATGCCTCTGATGAGGTTTCCTAGTTTTGAGGTGGAGGACAGTTTTGCAGATCCAGGCTGGGAGTCTAAAGACAGGAGGCTCGGCAGAGCTGTCAGGGTCTTCTCCACGACATCGCTCATTTTGACACCGAAAACTGGCACTTGTCGGCTGTTTTTATACTGTCAGATATTCAATTTCTAGATCATCTATCCATCACGGTTAAGTTTATCACACAGAGACTCTAATTCTTTGTGTTAAACATTTAAAAGACTACAGGAGGTACAGAGCTAGCTCGCCTGTCGGCCATTGTTTTGATTCAGCAGACTAACGAAGGCTGGTTCATGATGTCACTTCCGCTTGTCTTCTTCTTCTTCTTCTTCTTCTTCTTCTTCTTCTTCTTCTTCTTCTTCTTCTTCTTCTTCTTCATGTTTTACGGCGGATGGCAACTAACGTTAGAGGTGAATTATCACTTCCGCTTGTATTTTTAAAACTTTATTATAAAACTCTGACATAACTAATGATTCATTGGTGTCCAAAAACCAAAATATTAATGTCAAAAAAGCAAGAATATGATTGTTTTGATATTCAAAACTCAGTTTATTATGTTTTTAATACTTTAATAAACAGTCCCTTGTATTACTGTACACTAAACTACAATAAAATAATTACAGTGAATATAGAATGACAGTCATTGGACAATTGCATGAAAAGGATTACATTCTAAGAATTTAACATGTTTTTATATATTCATATTTAGATATCTAGTCGGGGACCACAGGTTCAGGGTGTCTGCAGTGACTGAATGTGCACATAGAGCAGTAAGAGGCCTCCATGGCTAAAAAACAAACAGATGAGAGGTAAACCAGACTTGAAAATCATAGGGATGAAAAATCAACACTTTGTATTATCATCTTTGTATTATTTCTCTGTGAATGTTCATATTCAAATAATATCTGCAGGTGACTCGTTTAAGATAGAGAAGTCTTCTTGGTGTGTACAAGGTGTGAAATAAAACACATCTATTTGCATCTTAGATTACTCACATACATTTAACTTGCTCATTATATTTTACGCTTCTTCATAACCTGTATTATTTTGGCTTCAGATTAATATCAATTCAATTCTTAAAGCCAATCTTACTGAAGCGGAGTCCAAAGATAACGGTTTGTCCTGTACATTTACTTGGTTTCCTTGTATCCCCTTGCCTTTCACAAACATCATGCCTCTAGTATTTTAAGTGCAAAAAAACAAAAACAAATACATAAGTTTTGTACTTTGTGTGGGCACATACAATACATCAATTTATTGTGTCACGTCTATCCAAGACTGATGCGAATCACTACCAATGTTTTTTTCTGCCATATGCATTTTACATCTGAAATTGTAATCATTAACTATTTCTGTGTAATTTTCTGATAAATCATACTGTTATACAAGCGTGCCAGTTGGTTTAATTGCTCTCTGGAACATGTAAACCTACCTTGGCCATGAGACTGGAGTATATACAATGCTATTGATACTCTCTATGTACAACCCAAGTCTGAGTCTCTATCACTGTGATTGTACTCTAGCAAACAGAAACATCAGTACTTCTTCAGTAGGTCTGTCTACCATTAAGTCTTCTGTGTCTTCATTCTTAGGCCCAGATCTAGAAAAAAACAAACATATATTTATTTACAAGTATATTTATATTGATTTGTTATTACCAGAACAGGTCTCAGCAGGATACAAAGTTGTCAGATCAGACGATGAAAACTCATGTGTCATACCCTCAGAGTGTGGTCCCAGGAGCCTGTGCAGAAAGCCGTCCCATCTGGAGAAACACGCAGCGTACTGACACGGTTCTCATGCCCGAACAGAATAGAGACCCGTGTTCCTTTGAGGACATCCCAGACATTTATGGTGTAGTCATTGTAGCCACCAAACAGTAGTCGCCCTGAAAGAGAAACAGTGCCTTTAACAACCGAACTCTCTTTCTATCTGTGTCTTTTATTACAGTCATATATATCAGTTTTCAAAATTGAAAGTTTCTCACCACTGAGTGAGAAATCAACACTAGAGACTCCAAATATGATGCTCTCTTTGGAGTAAATGGCCACTTCTCTGTCTGCCCGTAAGTCATACAGACGGCACTGTAACAAAAAGTCAGAGTCAGAATTTTAAAACAAACATTCAGTGTGTTTTGGTTGCATTTTGAGCAGTAAATATCTAATCACTTACTGTAGCATCATCTGAGCCAGACGCAAATGCATCTCCACTGGGATAGTATCTACAAAAATAGAAAAGTTATCGCCAATGTGACACTCTAAAAGTAACTGCATGGGGGATTTGAATTTATATATCAGACTTTTAGCAACTCTGACTGAGAACAAAGAGAAAAAATGGGCAAAAAGAAACACATGAGCTATTTTTCACAAGCCAGTATGCATTTAACTGTACAATTATAATAGTAATAATAATAATTTTATAGATATGTAAACACTCACAAATATAAAACATCAGAGTTCAAACTGCACGATAAATAACACAAATAACTTACCGCACACTATTGATGTCTGATTCATGAGTTTCAAAGGACTGAATACATTGTCCTGAACGCATATCCCACACATTGGCCTTCTTGTCACAGCCCTGCAATGCAACAGAATTATGTAGAATTTGATCCAAAAAATGGTGTTGATTGGGTGATTTTTAAATAAATAAGCTGCAATAAAAGCTCATATAGAGGAGCAGGAGGAGTTCTCACCCCTGAAACAAATGTGTTTCCAGTCTCAGAGGGCGCCAAGTCCAGACAGAGCACATCTGCTGCGTGTCCATGGAAACTCTGCAGCAGCTGCCCGCTCTCAACATCCCATAATGCACATGTCCCATCCCCGCTGGATGTCAAAATCTTAAACACAGGCAGACAAAGAGGAATGGGAATAACTGGAGCTTTTAAGTTTGATGAAAATCGTCTCACAGGCGGCTATAAATGGAGCCGTGTGAGGAGTCATGTGACCTGGATATCAAACCAGGAGCAACTGGCTGCTGTGAATTATTAACAAAGCCAAGAAGCTCTTTTTACTGCAATACAGAGGCAGTGATTTCTAATTAATTATGAGAGAAAAAATGTCGAGTGGAACAGCGATTGTGAGAGGATGTGGTATCAATACCCTAGTAAAATACGGGGCTTTTACCTTTATTAACATATTACCCAGTTTCTTGTTAAAATGATGAGTTCTTACCTGCATATCTGAGTTGGTGAAGCTACAGGCAGACAGATAGTTTGTGTGCATGGCCACTGACTTCTTCTTTGCCGCCAGATTCTCATTCTTGTCCAGAGACAGCGGATACACCGAGCATTTGTTGTCCAGGCCCCTGTGGAGGAAAAACAGAACCTGTTTATCAAAAGGAGAAAAGGGATAGATAGAACAAACACATTTGGATCATTATTGATAGTAAGAGACTCACCCACAAGCGACAGCACAGCCGGAGGGGGCGTAGGCGCAGGCCATCACCCAGGTGCACGGCATTGTCACAGCATGCTCCTGAAAAACATCAAAAGACAAAGCTGTGTGAGGCACGCCGGGACAGTCAGATCAATCACACTCATTAGGCAGAAATAGAGCAGAACTGTTTGATGTGAGCTCTCAGTTCATGGCATTTTCACTTTTTTTAATCATCCATCACTGAACAACACCAAAACACTTTAAAAAATGGAAATTTTGGACGTTATTGTGGTTGATGACAACTTCAGGAGCAGCTTATTAGGTTTCTATCCCTAACTGTAAAAAAGGAAGTTTGCTAAATTAGCTGCTGCTGAAATTTCTCCTATTTACTCTGAGTGTCCTTACTTTTTTCATCATACACTGTTTTATAAATCAGTGCCCAGTTGTCATAGATTTCTCTGGAGGTTAATTGTCTTTTAATTTTCTGTATCCTACCTTTTACAAACTGTCTCAAAATTAGGTATGTGAAGAAAAGATACAGTTTTGGTTTTTCTTGGTCTAAAATCTTTCTTGTGAGCCAGCTCTGTTATTTTCCATCTTTATTGAAATTCAGAGAGGCTTCTCGTTCTGCTGATAACTAATCAAAAATGTTTGTTTTTTTATTTTTACTCTTATATTTGGAGATACTTAAAAAGAATAACTGTCCTTGTTCTAAAATGTCTCCTAAAAATACAATTTTTTACATTACAGAAATAGAAGCTATTAGACGCTTTAATTGGAAGTGGAAACCTAGTTTAGACCGAAATGAAGAGGTTTGGAAAAGTAGTCTTGGTGAAAGGGATCACAAAGATAGTGTGTGTGAATGGGTTGAGTTATAAAAAAAACTATCACACATAATTTAAATGTGTAATAAAACACCTGTGTGCTGGAGAGGATTTACCTTGTTGGTAGTAAAAGCATCCCACACAATCACTTTCCCATCCTGCACAGAGAGATCAGGAATGAGTACAAATTTAAACACAGTTCATCAGATAACAAACCAGCTATTTAAACAAATGCAAGCCGAGCAAAAGCAGAACAAACAGGAGCGGAGCCGACTGAGTGTGTGTCTGTGTGCAAACCTGTGAGGAGCTGACGATCCTCCTCTTGTCCTTACACCAGTCCATACACAGAACTTTGTTGCCGTGTCCTTTCAGGGTCCTCCGGGTCTTCATGACAAACTGACCCAGCCCTTCCACTTTCTCTGCCACCTGATGTACTGCACGCGCACACACACACAAATACACACATAATACATTAAACCCTCTCCATCATATAAGTATTCCCTACAGGACTAAGGATTAAACAACAGTATAGGCCTGAATGCAGGAAAATATCGAATTAATCTTTCAATCATCTGTCATGTCCATTAGCTCATGGGAGCATCTCATCCAACATGCACAGGGTTATTTTTCTCCTCTTGACACATATAGATTGAACATCACTAATGTTGCCTTAAACTGAGATATGACTGGACTACATAGGAGGATTTTGGATGGAGGCAGTGGGCTGTACAATAAGGAGCAAACAAACAGCTTTTTAAAGTCGCCTGTCAAATCAAAGATAACGACAAAGCAGGGATATGTTTAAAATATTTACATCCTGATTATACATGTGAGATTTTCCTTCTCGTTTATAATACGTTTGGTTGTACTACGGAGGTAATCGAGAGGTTTTTTGCGGTTAATCGTCCTGTCCCACTGTGATCGCTGAGGTGATTTAAGGCCTCTCCATTTTCAGCACTTACGCTCGACATCGTGCAGCTTCGCCCTTTCCTCCTCCAGCTTCGTCTTCAGCGTCTCCGACTCCGTTTTCAGGTGGGCCAGAGTCTCGTTCAGCTGTACCTCCTGTGTCGCCATTTCAGGTGTTAGAGGGGATCTCATATATTTCCTTTGTGCAGACAGCGATCGGCAGCGAAAAGGCTTAAAGCGGAGCTAACAGCTGATGCTGCTCTCATGACGTCACGGGGAGAAGATGCTGCTCCAGAAGAGGAGGAGGAGGAGGAGGAGGAGGTCCTGCATCCCAGTGATGCTGCTGCTGCATCCTCATACGGCCTCATTACTCAACAATATGAGGGACAACATAAGATTTGCCTTAAATACAGAACAAGAACTGTGGAAAAAATGAGTTATAAACAGGATCAAGCAAGTTACTTCTCCTTACTTCTTCTTAAAAGAACCATATAAATGTGCTTTTTTTACATCAAGACTTTTTCACTTTGTCAGGAACCTCTATTTCAACATAATGAAAATTTTAAAAAAAACTAAATTATAAAATTATGGCACTTGTTGTGTCAGGGTCGCTTTTGACCCGGTTAGATTAATATGTAATAATTAGAGCAAAAACTAAAATCATATGTGCACTGTCAGACACCACACTGACAGTCATATCCTCTTCCAATCATGTGAGATATACGTATATATATATATATATATATATATATATATATATATATATATATATATATCCCAATCTGATTCCCAATCAGTTAGATAAAAGTACATGGGTTGTAAAAGCAAAGCTCCCAAAAAAGGTCCCCAAATGCATATATCAATTTAACCAAAGATCATGAGTCAAATTAACTCAAAGATTGGGTTAACTTGACCCTTAAAAAGGATTATTGAGTCAACCCAACATTTGGGTTAGCTTGAATAACCCAACATTCTGGGTCAAAACAACCCAATAAGTAGTCGGTCCCTTTTCCACCCTGGTGCTGACAGGGGTTTTCAGAGCGTAGATGTCTGTATGAAGGGTATACTGACAAAGAAAGGCCCAGAGGCCCACAACAATAAATATTATCAGCAATAATTTTATGGATAATGAAGCCTAACAAGGTAACCTAGAGATGACAACCAAATTGGATGATAGAGAATTGTTTTTAGTGAAAGGTACAGCTGATTTAAGACATGGGTTGAAACTGACCCTTAACATAATAGGTACGTAGTAAAAGTTACCACTGGAGGAAGGTTAAAGAGCTGTTGGGAGTAAGCAAAAGTAGATTTAACTCTTATATAATCCTGTGGTTTCAGTGGAAGATTAAAAAATAACCTCTGACTTTTATTGGTTTTAATTCTATATTTGACACAGACTTTAATTAGTCTTACTTTCCAGGATTACAGAGATTTGGGTATATTTACATTTTGCAGAATAAAAGTAACATGGTAGCTTTTTACAAATCAGGACTACTGTCATAGAAACAACTGGATCCCAGGTTATAACATCAAATTAAATATGAAAATATAAACAGATATAAAATCAACTTCCTCTACTTTTTTGAGCGGGCATATCCTGGATCTCAAAAATTCAAGGTATAAAGTCTTTATAGTTTATTACATTTAAAAAGTTTTAAAAGTGTATACACATTCATCTATATATACAATAAAATGCATCCACAGGCTGATGAACTGTGGATCAGTTATGAGGAGTAAAATATTTAAGGTCAGTTGTTGGGTCAGATCCTGGTGAGGAAACCAAGATGAAGGCTGCTCGGGACCTGCAGCAGCTCCAGGGCCTGTGTGGATGGGCAGAAAGGAAACATGACCTGGAAGCGATAGTCCGAGTCCAGCATCAGCTGTGAGGAGCTTTCACGATGGTGTAATAATGTCTGCAAAAAAAGAAGCAGTTTGGTTTAGATAGTGAGGAAGGTGAATAAGTGTTAAATGATGAATGACACAAAGTTTTCAGTTTCAAAGACTCATTACAATAAAACGTAAAGATCGACATTCGAGCTCACCTGAACTTTGCGGACAAATGACGATGACACCCTCTTCTCAAAATCATCGATGGGTGTGTAGGAGTTCAAAATCTTGACAATCTACAAATTTAAATTCAAGTTTGTTTAAAGTGTCAATGTGGACATAGACTTTTTAAAACTCAATTTACACCATATCTGAGCACACTTCACTGACTTTGGTCTTTAGCTCTCTCTTCATCTCATATACTTTCCATTTTACCTGCTTGCAGAACTTTTTAGCCCTCAAGATCTCTTTACTGTAAATCCTCATATAAAGCGGTATTCAAACTGCTCCTGAGCCCCTTACTGCTGCCAGGATCAGGTCCTTACAAGTGAATGAAGGGCAGCCTCAAAGTAATGGCCAGGGGCTGTGAAGTATTTAATTCTATTCACATATATGATTAGCTAGACGGGGAGGGAAAGTCCTCACTGTTTAACTGTGAAGTCAATACCTGACAGATGTGGCACAAATTCCAATTCTGACTTAACCTCCAACTATTATAATAGTGGTAATATCAAAGCAATATTAAAAGTCTTGTGTGTTTGTATAAATTATTCCTACACCATCCGGAGGCAAATTTCTGTCTTGAACAGTCTGAGCATGACAAGGCTTGTAAAGACTGCAGAGCCATCATCACCAACTCCCAGCAGATGGTAAAACACTCTCTAACTCTGTGTGTGTATCATTGTCTAGAAAGGGGCATATTTTACCCCAAATGAGTGCATGATGGCTCATTTAAATGTATGCAAACATGGTTGTAATATAATACAACCCCGCCGTATATAAAAAGCCAGGTACCTTGGCTTATAAATACATATAAATCTTGAAAATGTGAGAACTACAAAGAAATTGAAGCTGTTTTGTGATATAAATATCCGTCTTAAATATAGAACTAAAACAGTGTGGTTTAAAAAAAACTACCTGAACAGTGTTGAGTTCTGTGCATTTTTCAGCAATCTCCTTTGCGTCATCATCTGTGGATTTGTTGACCTGCAGCAGCCAGGCGGCCTGAGACAGTGGCTTCAGAGTGTCTATAGCATGGGAGCTTTGCATTTCCTTCTCCTTTAACCACTCCTCCAGGTAACTGATGTTACACCTGAGAAAAACAGAGACACTATGAGCTGATGTCAGAGTGTAAAAAAAGTGACTTCATCTGCCATAGAAACAATCACAGACCTGATCTGCATCCCTTTCCTGCAGGAGCACATGTCTTTCCGGAGCATGATGTTGTTGAGGGTGGTTGTACCAACCAGGAAGAAGAGCTGCTTGACGACCTGCTTGATGAGGCCCTGCTCCATGCCATGCTGGGTCATGGTGAAGAGGAAGGTGCTGAGCTCCTGGATAATTGAGGAGACTGTGTAGGTGTCTGAGTCCTCATAGAAGCTATTTGAACGCTTCCTAAAGCCTGTTGGCTTCATGCTAGAAATGCCCTGAAGACTCTCGTACTCCAGCATACCTGGTACTGTTAGATGAAACAGCTTATTTTAGGTTAAGGCTTTCATGAACATCTGCAAGTGATAATGATGAAATTTGTGTCATACCTATCATAGGAGTAAGGCTCTTTTCCATGACTGATAAAAACTGATGGTAGATGTGAATGGCGAGGTCACTAAGAATCTGTCTGTGCTCTGACAAATCAAAATTTCGCAAGCAGTTCTTCTTCTGCCGGGGTGTGCTCTGCTTCATGAACTCCTGTGGTGGACAGAATACAAAAGATGCACATCAAATTTGACTTTATCAATAAATAAAATGCAGCAGAGTAAATTCTCACCTCCTCCCCACTGTACTGCTTCAGACAGTTGAGCAGTTGGTACGTGTTCGAGAGCCAGAAGGACAGCAGCTCCAAGTCTTTGTGGAAACGCTAAAGGACAGAAACATCAGTAATTCAGAAACAATGGTACAGATTTAAAAAATTTAAATTCATATTCCTTAATGTTATCTGGTAGTTATGTTCATTTTATGTTCGGTATCTTATCCTATCTAGCCATATCATAATGTATTGAACTGTCTCATATCGTGTCATACGGAACTGCACTGTGACATATTCTTTTGTATCATACCATATTGTTTTATTTTCAGTCATACAATACTATAACAAATTGTTATTATAATGTATCATATATTATCATACTGTATTGTACTTTATTATATCATATCACAACATGCCACCCAGTAATATCCTAAAACCATACCAAAACAACACTGTATGAAACTGTCCTATTTCATATCCTGCTGTACCATATCATGTCATATGTCATATGTCATGTCACATTACACCACACCTTGTCATGTCATTTCATATCATATCAGATCGTATCGTATAGTATCCTATCGTATTGTATCATATCATAGTGTACCATATCATGTCATATCATATCATGTCATATCATATCATGTCATATTATATCATATCATATCATGCTATACCATATTCTGCTATTTCATATTATATCATGTCATATCACACCACACCTTGTCATATCATATCATATCATGTCATGTCATATCATACCATATCATATCATATCATGCTGTACCATATCATGTCATGTCATATGTCATGTCATGTTATATCACACCACACCTTGTCAAATCATGTCACGTCATTCCATACATCATATCATATCCTGCTGTACCATATCATCTCATGTCATAACACCACACCTTGTCATGTCATGTCATATGATATCATATTATATCCTGCTGTATCATGTCATGTCATATCACATCACACCTTGTCATGTCATATGTCATATCATATCATAGCATATTATATCATATCCTGTATGATGTTAATGTACCATATCCTTTCCAGTCCTACAGTACCATATCATGTTGTAACCTAACATTTAGTGCTATATGTAAATTGTATTTCTGTTGGCTGTCTCTTCCTTTTCAGATCATTTACTGAAAGGACACTAAACCGAAAACTAGTTTTCCAATATTTTTCTCAACTACTTATACAAATAACCAGTTTTAGTTTAAAACCATTAAAGTAGAGATAAAAGCTTCTTGACTTAGATTTAGCCTCACCAGAATGACTTTCTTGACCGACACAACGGCTCCATTCATCAGAGATTTGAGTTTGTTTTCATCATTCAAGTAGTCGGCATGGCGGATACACATGAAGAGGATGTAGGCCGGCAGAGTGGGGAACATACTGACCACCACACCTTTGGGCTTTAAGTCTGTGTGAAGACAGCAGTGAATTTTTATTAAACTATTATTAGACAGAGAGCATTGTGATATTTAAAGCTTAAAGCAGGTAAACAATGGAAATGAATTGGTTTCTTGTGACTATTTGAGAATAATGAATAAATACGGAGAGAAAGAATACCCAGAATGATGTTTTGGATGAGCCTGCCCTCATCCTCTCGTTTGTACTCCAACATGCCGAGGAAGTCTTTGGGGAGGGCAGGCGCAGATGTTTGCTTTGCTGTGTGAGAAAAATAAAGATGATGAAAATGTAGGAGTCTGATGTATAAGGTAGTTTATGGGCAACAGAAGACAGCTACCTTTCTGTGATGCTTCGAGGCTTTTGATTTGAGTCTGTAGTCTTTTAATCAGTCTGTCCCTGTGGTCAAGCTGCTCTTCAAAGTCCTGAAAAAAGGGGAACGTTTGTTACTGTTTCTCACACATGCAATCACAGCCATAACCCACTTATCTCAGTCATTTACACACAAACCATGTTCTCTGCAGTCAGCCTCGAAATCTCCTCTCTCAGTTTGCTCTTAACTTCACTCTCCATCTGCTGCTGTCTCTTCAAGTAGTGGGTCTCCTCTTCAAGCTCCTCCACCTGCTCTTGAAGCTCCATCTTCCGCTCCTCCAGCTCTTCCGCTTTCTCCTCAAAGTGCCTAAAGAGGAGCAAAAATCAGAGAGGGGCTTGCAAATCCCAGTCACTCCTTTAATCAAGAAAATCAAACTCTAATCAGATTTTTTTTTTACTTGCGCTGTGAGCTCTCATCCTTTATCTTTTTTTGAAGAACATTTGAGATCTCCTCTGTTTTTTCTGTTAGATTGCATACGGAGAAAATCAAAAGTGAAATACTAATTTGCACAAGAAAAGCAAATCAGAACACATGGAATCAGATATTCATATTTACCAGCTAGCTCTTTTTTCTGCTCTTCCACATGGGCCTCCAGTTCTTGCTTTTGTCTCTGCAGGTCGGAAACCTGTAATTTCAGCTCTGGTATGACCTGTGGATCACATTAAATCATGTTACTCTCTGCACCTTATCAATCCTGTGCGATAAAATATGGAATTTTAAAGAAATGCACCGAGTTCTCGCCGCTCAGCCTGGAAACCTCTTGACAAATGTTCTCGTTAATGTCGCTTTTTTCCCGAAACAGGTTTTGCAACTTGCTGTTCTCCTTTTGAAGGTGTTCCATTTTCAACTTCAAGCCCTCTGCTTGGGTTTCATACTTTTCCTTCTGCTCTCTCTGGTGGGTCTCAAGAATCCTGGAATCAAAGGTGGAACCACATCATCTATCAACCACAAAGGTACAAGAAAAAACTGCAAAACACTGAGATCAATTTAAGCGATGGTTGTAGATGATTTTTTTCTTGAAAACAGACTTGGTAGCTTTCTGAAGACCATCAAAGGTTGCCAGCATGTCTTCGACTTCATAACTCTTCTCTGAGTCATCTGGACTTAACCTGAAGAGAAACAATGTGGGAGAGTCAGCGTCTTGATGAGAGATAGTGAAACTGCTGTGGGAGTACAACGAAAATTTATTACCCTAAAAGAACCTCCTTCTCAACAACTCCTCCAAGAAGTTGTCTTGTGATATCATTCATTTTCACTACGGAGAGATATCACAGCATCATCAGCGAAAAACAGGATATGTGATGCATAAATAAGGAGGTATTATTTTCACAACCAAAAGCTGATACCTCTTGCTTGTTGCGACTGTTGCTTCATCATTCGGTCCATGTTATTTTTCTGATTTTGTAGATTGTTCAGATCTCGGCGTAGCTCTGGGATGACTTTGACGTGTTTGGTGAGCTGGATGACCTGTTCTTGCAGGTCAGAGTTCGTCTGCCCCGCCTCCTCGATCTTCCTCTGCAGACAGACTCGATCTTCTTTAAGTCTCTTTGTCTCCTCTTTCAGAATTTCTACCTCCTTTTCATGGTCTTGTTTCTGGATCTCACTGTTGTTTTCTGCAACCCTGCCAAGAAGCATCTCATCCACTTTACCGATCAAACAAAACAAGCCGAGTCTGAATTTGCTTTGGCTGGAAAACTAAAGACAATGACAGATTTTTATGACTTACTTTCTCAGTCTTGCTTCATATTCTTTCTCTTCCTGAAGACTGCTCTTCAATTGCTCAAAGTTTTCTGTAAGAGTGTAGGATCTGTTGTAAACTGCAGTTAAAGTGACAATATTTTCAAGAAATCTTCACTTTTGTTACCTTGGGCCTCGCTGGCAGAAGCTTCATACTTTTTCACCAAGTTCTGCTTCTCCAGATTTAGTGCATCCATGTCCTTTTGAAGCTGTACAATTGTCTGTGAAAGTTAGAATCAGGTTTTAATCGTCTTTTTTTGTGCCTGAAACAACATGAATTCATCTGAAGCATCATTTTCTTCACTGACCAGACCAGCTTCCTCTTTTGCTTTCTTCTCCCTTGCCTCCACAGATGCCTTCAGGTGGGTGGTTTTCTCCAGGTTTGCCTCCAGCCCTAGAAGCTTGTCCACAGTTTGAGAATGGGTAGTGGCCAAGGATGTCAGCCTCTCCACCAATCCACGGTTCTCTTTGCTCTGCGAGGATACAGAGGGGGTAAGTTATGGCCTTTACACTAAAGCCAAGGCGAGAGTAGCGTGGGGGAACCTCTTTACCTGCTCCTCAAGCTTCTTTCGTAGCTGCTGCACCCTGAAGGACAGCTGCACATTGAGCACCAGGCGGCGCATGGTTTGGAAACGCCGGCGTGCCAGCCATGCTCTAGCGTACTTCTGTAGAACCAGCGCTTTCTGCTCCTTCATCATCTGATGAAAAAAGAGACATTAGGTCTGTGGTTCAATGGCTACCTTCAGTTGAGTAACTCAGATTATATGAAGACTGGGTTATAGACCTTCTTGTACTGTCTGCGGGCAAACCATCCACGGGAGAAGGCCTGGATAGTGATTGTAGCCACACGGACGACTCTGTAGATCTCCCTCATGCGGTAACCTCTCCAGTGTCTTTGGATCACCAGCACAGCCCAGCCCTGCTTCAGAGTTTCAGGGCTCACCGTTTTACTGAAACAAACACAAGGGTTTACATTTCAGGATTGCCCCCGTTAACACTAAGGATGCAGGAAAACTGAAGTGTAAGTCTCACCGAACCGTCCTCTGCCCACGAATATACTGTTGGAGGATGATTGCCGCCTCTCTCATGCGCAGGTATTTCCTCCTCTGACTCCACCCACGGACATGTTTCTGGATTGTCACACACGCTCCTCTCAAACGGTCAAGGCGCAGCTTCTCCAGATACGCCACCTGACCGGCTCTGAAGAAGATCTTTGTCCGACCAAACTTGTACTGGTTGGGGTCCTACAGTACACACAGTCACACAAAATTAATTTCAAATCTACAAACAGACACGATAGAGCTGTATTTGAAAGTGGCTAACCTGAATGAGCCTCTGCAGGACGTTCTTACAAGTTTGTTTCTTATCACTGATGTCCGCCTCCTGATGCAACATTAGGATGCTGTACCGGCTGTAAAACTCATTGTATGTCCACCTGCAGAAAAACAAACAAACAACATTTTTACTATTTAAACATGAGCAACCCACTGAACATTAGGCAGCTATTAGACATCTAGTTTTTTTTAGACCTAATTTCAACCGTCCAGATTCTGTATATTTTCAGACAGAATTTAGACGTTGCACTTTAATCCATTATTCGATAACTATTTATTTCAAAAAGCAACTGTGAGTTGCATAACTGATCTCAAAGTACTTAACCAAAATAATTATGATAGCGGTTGAGCAATATACAGCGTAGTATTAATATCGCCCAGATTTAGACTTGGTCTAAATTTAGATGTCTAAAAAACGTTCATTTTTAGACCTGTGGTTTTAGACCTCTTTTAGACCAAAAAATTCTCAGTGGGAAATGAATTTCAGACTTCTGTCATTCACACCCAGGCCATCATCTGTTCGAACTGCTGCCGTCTGGCAGGTGCTACAGGTCCACCAAATCCAGAACCACCAGATTTACAAACAGTTTCTTCCCCAATGCCATAACACACCTAAACAAACAGAGATGACTACCTCCCCAGTCAGTTTTTTTTTTATTATACTTATTTTATTATCTTTTTTATACTCTACTGTTTTGCTATTTGTTGTATGTGTGATTGATACTCTGGAGTAGCAACATAATTTCGTTATATGGACGTATAATGACAATAAAGGCTTTCAGTTCAGTTCAATTCAATTCAATTCAATTTGTCTGATGTAACAAGAGATCACCTGGAGGGATAGCTCTGTGCACTGATGCGGATAGTTTCAAGGACTCCACATGCTCGCAGCTGCTGCACCACCCTCCTCGAGTCATACCTCAAAAAAAACAACAAGCGAAACTCTCTTGAGCAGGATAGAAAAACATGCAAACATATCCAGATAAACACAGAGTGGCTCATGTCAAACACAGTCCCGTCAGTACTTACTCAAAAGCAAGCTTATCATCATTGGGCTTAATGCAGCGCACATAGTGAGGGGTGGTGGCATTCAGTGTTTCCATCAGTAAAGCGAGGGAGCTGCAAAACTACATTAAAAAAACATAAAAATCATGAGAAAGGAAGACTTAGCAAAATAAAAGCTCATTTAACAGAAGTGGTAAACGCAGAATATCATGGAAAGTTCAGCAAGAGACTTCAGTCCCCGCTGAGCTGTGTCAGAGTGTAAACAGTTCCACCTTATCTCCCACAGAGGCTCTCAACTGTTTATTGGCCGATTTCATCCCCGGCCTGGCAGGTCTCACTTTGACACCTTTACTGTTCACAGCACGAAGCTCCTCCTCTTGGAAAAAGTTGGCCAGAAACGGAAACTGATAAGAGTGGCAAACAGAAGAAATTTGTTGAAATGGGGGAAAAACAGTACTGCATGGCTTGGATTTTATAACGCAGACACTTTCTAACCACTGTGATTGGTTAGAAAACTTAAATAAAGCTTTTGGTTACCTTACTGGCTCTCATAATGTCAACTAGCTCTTCATAGAGAGTGTCTCTGTTCTTCTCCAGGAAACCTTTGCACTGGTACTCCACCTGTCAAGCAGTTCAGAGAAGGAAATCTGTCATAACAGACATTGACAGAGGGAGATGAATTTGTGATACACAGTGAGAGGTCAACCAAGCCAAACCTTGTCTGCAAAATGTTGAATCACAAATGCCTCATTCGACAACCTGGGCTTCTCAAACATGGGGTTTGAATAGAGGTAGTTGAACAGCTTCTGCAGCCAGCTTTGATCCGTACCTTGAGGAAACTGTTCAGATAATACACACATGAAGACGAAGACATATAAACATGCAGAGTAAGATGTGGAGCAACATAATAAAGAGAAAGTGTCTGTTTGGTTACCAAACACTCTTCATCAAGCAAATCCAGGATCCCCAGCTTTGCCTCGATCAGATCAATGACCGGTTGGTTGTCATAGAAATCTATCAGCGTCCAGGGGATATCCTCTTTCATGTACTCCTCTTGCTCTAGTTTGAACACATGCTGACATAAAATGAGAAAAAAAGACTGAATCTCTGAGCCTGCAACAGGGAAATACAGTATGTTGTGCTTTGCAGTGATTTGGTATCATTAGGATGCATACCAAGTTGAACTGCTGTTGAAGTTTTTCATTTGCATAGTTGATACAAAACTGTTCGAAGCTGTTGATGTCAAAGGTTTCAAAGCTGAGGAAAAAAGAGAGATAAGATTAAATAACATGATGTTAAGTTCAAACAGTTGAAGAGAAGAAAAGTGTCATGTGTGATTTACCCATAGATGTCCAGAACACCTATGAAAGCGTGCTGCTTTCCTGGAACCTGCAGTGCCGTGTTTATCCTGGTGATAATGCAGTCGAACAGATGGGCATAGATCTGCTTGGCAAGAGCATTTCTGGCATTTACTGCCTTCTCTTTGGGCACGGGCTTCACCACCGTCTCAGCAACCAGCACGATCCTCCGATGACACAGCCAACGCACCAACCCCTCTGCGCTAACACCCAGCAACTGACAGAAAACTGCCAGGTGTGGATCCCTGAGCTTCAACATATGCAAAAATGGACCACGCTTTTAAGATCTTTCCTCTGTCAGCTGAAAAGTAAATGAAGGCACTTGAGTGAGTAGAGACTTACAGAAACTGATGATTTGTCGCTTCCAGAGTTTTTGATTTCAACATTTCCCAGATGCAGAATGGCTGCCAAAACTGTGAACACGTCTATTTGAAAGTCCTCCTTCAACCCTGGAGAAGCAGAGAGAAGACCCCGATGTTAGAGAGAGTCATTTAAAAATGAAAGTGAACGCACCTCTGGGACATTTTTTTTTTTTACCAAGAAGTGAGAAGGTCCGTCTGGTCTCCTCCAGGTCTTTCTTGTCATCTACACCTTCAATATCGATGTCACCGCCCATGCAGGTGTACTGGAACTTGTCTGCACTCACTACAGATTAAAGTATCAGACATTTAACCCCAAAAGGTCATGATGAATCAGAGCGAATTCAAAGTAATTGATCACATTTGCTGTGAAACACTCACATAGTCTCAGACTCTTGAACTCAGGCAGGTGAGCACAGGAGCACATCTGGTAGAATATGTGATAGTTTCGCTCGTCGTCTGCCTGATTGAAACCAGGGTGTCATTATTCTGGTGCAGATTATCAAGTAAAACATAAACACTTTATCATTTCATACACTACCTGAAAAACCACTCTGGATTTCTCCAGCAGATACGTCCGCATGTTTGCCCCGATGATCCTGAACTTCTTATCAAAGCTTATCTCGGTGTATTTCCCAAAACGACTGCTGTTGTCGTTCCTGGTAGTTTTGGCATTTCCTATTGCCTGAGAACAATTCACAAGTTTTATTTGAACATTATCATATTGAGACAAGATAAAAGATCCATAAAAATGTCTACCACACAGCTCTGAAATATCAGGCACTTCTCCAGGTTAAATGAGACAACAGTATAGAGTAATCATACCTCTGTGATGGGATTGGATGCCAGGACTTTGTCTTCAACTCGAGTCTTACTTCCAGATTTGCTTACGACAGCAAAGTACCTCATAGCGTATCGAGCGGACACTGTCTTCCCGGCTCCAGATTCCCCGCTGACGATGATGGACTGGTTCTTGTGGTTTCTGAGAGATAAAAAGAGTGTGGGCTGTAAAATGTTCAGTGTTTGTTATGATTTATGCGATGATTTTATTTTTCGTCTACCTGGCCATCTGTTTGTAAGCCTCCTCTGCCACTGCAAATATATGAGGGTCCATGTCGCCCATGTTCTGGCCCGAGTACGCATGAATGATTGCATCCCCGTAGATATGAAGCTGTTTGTATGGATTCACAGCCACCAAGATGATACCTAAATAAAAGGAAACAGCAAAGACTGAGCCAAGAGCAGCGGCTCTCAACACTTAAGTTTGACAACCAGAGTTTTGCTCCAGTACCACAGTAGGTGTAGATGATTCTTGACTCCACAAAGCGCACTTTGAGATTGTGCAGGACTGCAGGTTCATGCAGGTAGCTGAGTGCAGTGAGGTCATTCTCCCCCACCAAGATGTCCGGGTTACGAAGTGGGGGAAGCTGAGGTTTAGAGGGGTCCACAGGGTGGTTGTACTCCTGCACAATGACACAGGTTACATAAAATAGTCAAGTCAGCTGCTTCTTCTCAGCATCATAAAAGCACAGTAAGGTTTTATTGGTCACACTTTACTCACTGTGCCATCTTCCAGAAGCAGTTCAAGAACATGATCTCCTAAGTGAAAGTCTCTCCTGATCTCAGCTGATTTCCACACATGGCTTGTATCTGGGATCCACACTCTATTGTACTAAGCAGGGACAAGTTTACATTGTAGTGAAACGCACTGTAGAGTGACAAACAACACTAAAGTTTGACCCAGTGAGGACAATTATCTTACTTTTTGATTCATTCATTTTGTTATTTGTCTATCAAAAACCCAAACAGACATGCAATGGAAATATCTGATCAATAGTTGAGCATTAGTCTTGAAGTTTTCGTTGGTTTATCCTCTGTAGCGAGCCTGAGCCCTTTCCACAGAGTTTCCATATGTCCCTGTAAAACCACATTTCGCTGTAACCATCTGAGTTCTAGTAAATATCGTTTGATCTTACCTGAGTGTACAGTTCAAAAACAGCCATCTTTATTCATCGCTGTTTTCACTTCACCGACAGAACTTTTGTTTATCACCTGCTGTACCACCGTGCTTCCCCGGTTACCAAGTTTCCTCCTGCCCCTCAAAACTTTGCCACAGTCATGCTGGACGAGGAAACACCGCGTTTCCGGTCAAACTTTCAAAATTAATCTACTTTCTGCATTTCGTTTAGACATTTTTCGTTTGAAGTGTTTGTGAGTCAATTTTATTTGCAAGCTTTACTAAAACAGAGCAGTTTACAAAAGTAAACTTTTGGGAGATGCCCCGTCGAAATAGTTTACCATTATTTAGGGCAAACTTAGCTGTAAGGCAAGGTAAATTGGAGAAAGTTTTTTTTTAAAAGATGATGTATAAAGTACGGTGGCCGAGAACAGCCACTGCTGCAGATAAAATAAGAATGCAAAAAATAATAATAATAAAAATCACAACGGAAGTTACTGATGCAAAAAAAAGAAAGAAACCGAAGCCAGCTGCAAATAAAAAAAGAAACAGCGCTGATAAAAAAAAAAGCCACAACGGACGTTAACAATGCAAAAAGAAAAAGTTACTAAGAACACAAAGCGAAATTAAACAATGACTTTTCCACTTACTTCTTTGCTCGTCTTCTCACTGTTGTCTTCTGTGTCTAGATTGTACAACACCAGTGCATCATCATTATTGGTTCCCCGCAGCTCACTTTTATTGTGGCTTTGGCTTTTTTTAAGCATCCTTTTATTTTCACAATAAGTACTTTTTTTTTTTTGCATTGCCACTTTTTTTTGTGTCGTTAACTTCCATTGTGGCTTTTTTTTTAAATATATATATGTGCCGTTTCTTTTTTTATTTGCAACTTTGGTTTCTTTCTTTTTTTTTTATACATCATAAACTTCTGTTATGACTTCTTTTTTATTTTTTGCATTCTTTTTTATTTGCAGCAGTGGCAGTTCTTGGCCACCGTAATAAAGGTCTCCTTTTTTTATGGTTCCTCCAAAACAAATGTTGCTTTAAACTCTCGAGCTCCAGACAAATCAAGTCAAGATAGTAATTATAACATTTATAATGAAGCACTTGAGTAAAATTGCTCCTGGTAAGATTAAATCCTGTGATTTAGGATTCACCTGGGTAATCTCTGAGCAAATGAAAAACACTGCAGTTAACGTAACTCATTTATAAAGCACTTTTCATGCAAGAGGAAATGCCCCATAAAGTGCTTTACATGTTGAAGTTATGCAAGCGTTTTATTCTGAAAGGTCGTCGCTCACATTCCAGGTTTGTCTCGTGCCTTCTTTGCTGACTTGTTGCTCACCTGCTGCGGACTTCGGCAGTTAGACTCCGCCCCTCCCGTCTTGTGACAGCGGCCTCACGGAGTCACGGAGGGGTGTGCTCGTTTGATCAAGGATTGTGACAACAAAAGAAGCCGGATGCGGACAGTTCACCATATGCGACTTCAACCACTGCTTAAGAGCATTTGGACAACGAGTGTTTAAAGAAAATTAAACGTCAAAGGTTTAAGTTAGTGTGTCACAACCTTATGTCATCTGACTCACAATATCTTTGCACTTCTAAATTAGGAAAGCAGTGGGAATACAGGAGCCAACTCAATAACAAATTTCATCACTCTGTGCTCAGCTCAAAGGCCAAATATCTACAGGTGGATAATTTAAAACTGTTGAGACATTTCTATGTGTTCAGCAAATACAGATCTGAGTATATCTTAAAAAACTGACATCATTCAAACTTCAGTACAAACACTTTTTAATCTGAATGATTCACAAATAAGAGTATTTAAGTCAAGAGGTTAGATCAAGAGATCATGCCCCTTTGGAAACTATATTTTCAAACACTTCTAACCTTTTTACAGAAGCCAACTTTTACTATGACTATGACTAAGACTGCATAAAACGTATACATACATTACAGATAAAATATTCCATCACCTTATGCTATTACTAAAAGGAGTATTAAGATACAGAAATAAAACTGTTCTCCTGCATTTGAACAAGATATTTCAATCAGATTTAATATTGTATATATTGTAATATTGCTAGTTTTTTAACAACCAGTTTCAGGAAACAGATCTATTTAAAGTCACCATGATACCCCAACAATTAGGAACCCTTTGGTACCAACACCTGTGGTTAGGTTAGGTTAGGCGTGGAAATAGATGACCTTATTTTTGAGAAGTTTTTCTGTAATTTACTGTTAACTCAGCAAAAACTCTTTGGCTTTGTGGCGCTGAAAAAGCTTTACATAGATGTGTATATGTGTGTGTGTGTGTGTGTGATATTCTTATTCTGATAAATAATGCCAGCCTAGAGTGTCACTAAGAAAGAGTCTTTAATCTAGATGCGTTTGAGGAATCCCAGATTTAGACTTGCAGGGATCTGGATGGTCTCCAGAGCCACAGAGGAGGGCGTGTAGGGAAGGCTGATGGAGAAGATCTTCTTCGCGTCCATCATTAGGGTGGGTGACTCGACTCTGTCTCTCAAGAGATTCTAAAATGAAGATAAAGAAACATTTTAAAAATTCTCATATAACATGATTTAACTAAAAACTAAGATACTCTCCGGCTACTCACTCTAATAATTGCGATGAAAGATGTTGGCACTCGCTCTTCAAATTCGATTACTGGAGTGTACAAGGTCAGCACTTTGACAATCTGTAACAAAATATAACAATAAAACAAACAGTGATGCACTGTCAACATTTCGCTTATACGTAGCAACACTGCTGTGTATTTACTGCTGACACACCTGTGCTGTGGTGAGGGCGGTGCACATCTCACAAATATCCTTGGCATCTTTCTCATCCTTCTTCTTGATCTGTAGAAGCTGTGCGGCCTGTACGAGAGGCTCCAGAGTCTCCTTGGCACCACAGTCCACCAGCTCCCTCTCTGCCAGCCACTCCTCCAGCTGCCAAATACTGTACCTGCAGCCAGGCACGTTGAAAACAAACTTCTCAGACTGAGCCCCAAAACTGTTTTAATGGTTAACTTGAATCTGATGTCAGTCCTAAAGAACCCAGTAACACAACTAAGACAGAGAAAACATTAATACTGTTTTTACAGTTGATAATATTAACACTTCCACTGCGTTTATATGATGATAAACATAAAAGGCATCCTTCTGCTCTCAATCCTGGTGTGGTTTCTACATCTTCAGAAGATACTCTGTCACCTGTGAGGCTGCCTGCATGTAATTATTCCATTTAGAGTAAAATGTGAATTTATAATCCACTTTGTCGACTGTCTGCAGGAACAGACAGTGTGACGCAGGGCTTTGGGAGTAAACAGGGAAAAAGAAGTTTATATGTTCACTGATTGACGGTAGGTTTTACATTTTGCTTTTTGTAAATGGATTGAGCTTGAAAACAAAAATATCCTGCTCAGGGCCATGTTTGGAAAGTATAATCTTTTCCTAAAAAAAGTACTACAAAGATATGCATAACTGTGAACAGGTTTAGAAACAATCTCACAACAACGCTAAGCTGTACCTGATCTGCAGGCCTTTGCTCCAGGAGCACATGTCCTTCCTCAGCAGCAGGTTGTTGAGTGTTACAGCACAGATGATGTAAAACTGCTGCCGGACGACCTGCTTAATGAGCTCTGCATCCATCCCGTGCTGACTCATGGTGTTGTGGAAAAGGCCGAGGCGCTGCAGGAGAACATCCATCGTGACAGCTCCCTCGTCCGAGGAACCGCTGCTCTTCTTCCTCAGGCCTGTCGGTTTGGAGCCCAACACACTGTGGATGGTGTCGTGCTCCAGCATGCTGGCCACTGTAAACGCACAGATTGATGGCTGGCTCATTGCTATGATCAAGTATCTGAAGAATAAGGAGTTTGATTTTGTGTGACCTCACCAATCAAGGGCTGCAGGAGCTCCTCCGTGCATTTGATCAGCTGGCGGTATATTTGGATGGCAAGATCTCCAAAAACCTGCTGGTACTCTGACAGTTCAAAGTTGGCCAGGCAGTGCTCGTTCTGCTTCGCTGTGTTTTGCTTCATAATAACCTACATAATGAAGAGATTGTTAAGATATTCAGTTAAAAGGGGAAAATTATGAATGAAAGCACTTGGTATCAAGGTTTTCTCACCTCATCTCCACTGTACTGTTTTATACAGTGCATTAATCTGCATGTGTTGGCCAGCCAGAAAGACACCACCTCAAAGTCATCTGCTCTCCGCTGTTATAACAGAGCGATAATTCATTCAGAATTGAGCACCTGACACTTTTGGTAAACAGATAAAAGCCATCTACTCCACCTTTATGACCCCTTTGATGCTGCTGATAGTGGAATTGAGCAGATTGCTGACTCTCTGATCATTGTTCCTGTTGTCTGCATATCGTAGGCACATGAAGATGATGTAAGCTGGGAGTCCAGGAATAAAGCTGACCGCTACACCACGAGGCTTCAGATCTGAGAAGATTACGGCATTTCAAACCAAAATCCTCAAATAAATATGAGCTCTCTACTTTTTATGTAATTCAGACAACAATTGGATTACAAAACTGGTTTAACGTACCTGTAACCACATTCTTCAGCAAACGGCCCTCTTCACCTTCTTTGTACTCCAACATGCCCTGGTACTCTCTCTCTTTGCGTGTAATGTGCACCGTTCTGACACGAGTGTCCATCACAGAGGGGTTATTCTGCTGAGCGCCTTTTAAACATCACAAAGACACACCGGTGGAAGATAAATACTCTTGCTAAGGTCACCATAATATACTGTACAAAAAAGCTCAGCGCCATATAGTTACCCTCAAAATCTTCAACTCTTTTCATGTGAAGTTTAAGCTGCTTCTTCAACTTGCGAATAATTTTCTCCTGTTTCTCTTGATTCTCCAGGAGATCCTGATTGATGTAGACATCATACTTCAGTTTAAGAGAATTCCTAACCTTCATTTTCAACATAGACGTGTTCACTTTTCAGTCTGTGAAATTATGACCTCTGAGCAGCAACAAGGTTAAAACCCTTTTTTTGCCCAATTGATAAAAAAAGAAAACACGACTTATCAAAACAATGATTACTAGAACTTCACATTAATTTTCAAAGAATTCTTTGTATAATCTCAATAGCTTCACCGTAGCTATATTGAATTTCATTTGAAAGAATTTTTGAAAATAATGAACCGATCATATGAAAAGACCCACCAGGTTCTCAGTGGTCAGCCGTGTGATCTCAAGCTTCAGGCACGCCTCAATGCGAGCCTCCTCAGGCAAGAGGAGGCTCTGGGCCAGCAAGTGCTGCTGCTGCTCCTTTTCAGCCTTCATCTTGTTTACCTCCTGAAGCAGCTTCCTGTTCTTCTCACCATGAACACGGTTCTGCTCCTGCATTTGGAGTTCCAGAAGTCTGGAGGGAGAGTGTATGTAGGCATGTTAATGTGATACAGACACAAACTGAGCATCTGCGTGACGTTGTTTCAGTACCTGTTAGTTTCTTTTAAGCCTTCATAGGCCAGCCACAGCTCTCCATCTTCATTCAGCGTGTGTATGTCAGTAGACCTACAGGGACAGCATCAGTGTTTAAAACTACACTGTATGACATGATGGATTTCAACTTCGGTATTAGCCACATTTTCTTACCGGTCAGCTTCTTGAAACGAGGAAATATCAAGATCTAAATTGATACCTTCTCCAAGTGCTGAGTCCTAAAGGGCAGTTCATAAAGGATCAGTTACTTTAACTTAAAATAGTGTGTATGTAAAACTTGAGAAAAATATAAAGGAAATAAGCATAACACCAGTCTTGTTTCTCACCTTATGTTTAAGAGCCTCCTGGCGGACCATATGTGACCGCAGGAGCAGCACTTCCTCTTTTCGCATCTCTAGCTCCTCATTAGAAGAGCTGAGCTGCTCCAGCAGAGTGTTGTAGGGTAGAGAGCCGGGAGGAGGGGGCGCTGCTTCGTTATCTTCATTGGTCAAAGACTTACGTAACTCATTTAAATCCTGTTTCAACTTCTTGTTCTCAGACTCCAGCTCTTGACGCTGCATGAGGAGCAAAATATAAACAAACACGTAATCGGCAAAATAATTTTGGTCTCCTGTTTTTGTTGAGCGGATTAACACAAAGCTGGCTTTTAATTCAAACAGATGTGAATATGCAAGTGTATTAACTCATTGTGGATATCTTGCCAAACCTTCAATGTTTCCAAATCCAGCTCTGCTCTGCCAGCAGTTCTCTGTTTCTCTAATTCCTTTTATCAAAAAAACATAAAACAAAATGTTAATGTTGATCATTCAAGGACAAATTGCACAGAAAACAGTATTTTACTAATTTTTCTTTTCTGCTGATAATTTTCTATTTCATCAAGAACCAAGACTGTCCATACTTTTGCCTTCTCTTGCTGGACTTCTTCCTTCTTATCCAGCTGCTGCCACAGTGACTGTTTGTCCTGCTCAAGTTCTGTAACTCTTCTCTGGAGCTTCAGGAGGACTGGCAGGTCCACTGTCAACTGGGTCTCATCCTAAAAAAAACACAGCCAGCCTTTGGTTTATGACTGTCTTCACAAACCGACTACAATGCTGCACTAACAGGATTATAACACGGAGAGACTGGGCAAAAATCCTCCCAGAGTTTCTCCAAACACAGAGGAGGGCACTTCCATGCAATTCTCTACTAATGTAAAAGAAATATCAATATTTGCCATGAAGAATCACATTTTACAGAAACATTGCGTCTGATAGTTTTATGCATAGGCATTTTGGGAAAGGGCACTTATTTTGGACAGAGTATCAGTTTCAGATGGCTCTGACATTGGAGCTTCCTGGTATGTCATGGTCTGTGTTACCTCTGTTGGTATGGAGCTGTCATCTCCCTCAGTAGAGCCACAACTCTGGCTAAACTCCGAGGAAGTGCTGTAGATGGAGTCCTTCCTGTTTTGGTTGGATTTGTCTGGATTCTGATAAAAACAGAAAGAAAATATTAAGACATATAACAGATTCAGTGGTATAATCTTAAATCTACTGTTACTCACAATGTTGAGATCCATCTCCTCTCTCAGGTCTCTGTGTCGCTCCTCCAGATGCAGGTGTTCACTCAGCAGACTTTGGTAGCGAGAGCGTTCTTCAGCTAAGTCCTTCTCCGTCTGTTTTGCAATCTCTGCGTTGGTTTTAATCTCTGAAACAAAACACTTTTTGTTTGCTCATTTATTCAATCAAAATTCAGCTGTTATGTAAGGACCGTGGAGGTTTGTGGTGAACTGCTCAGTACCTGATAATTGTTGGGCCTGCTCCAAAATGTGTTTGTTCAGTTCATCTTTCTCTCTGGTCAACAAGCTGTTCTTCATATTTAGCTCTTCTACCACCTGACCATAATAAGACAGAGTCATGTTTCCTCAGTCTCAACTGGCATGAATAATGACATTTGAAGATCTTAAAACTCTCAGAAAGTCAAAACTTCTTATTTGTTTCACAGAATCAAAGCTCTAATTTTTCAGTTCACAGTAAGCACAGTATGTTATCATTACACTCCACAGCCCACGGTGGTTGATTTATCAAACAGCTAAAACCTAAATATTGGATTAAATGAAACAAACACAACAAGCAATGAAGATAAAGAAGGATGAATTGACTCGTGACCAACACGAGAGGCAGCAAACAAAATTTTATGCTCTCAGTGCAAAAATGTCAGTTTGAAGATGTGAGATTAAAGCACATTTGAACTGAATCAAATAAAATGTATTTTGTATTGAAGCGTATCAAAAAAGCGCGGTGATGCTGTAAGAAAGAGAAACATGAGATGAGATGTGACGTGAAAGTGTCAGGCTGTGGAGCTGGATTCAGTCTGATTAGGAGCAGTCGACATACCTGTTGTGTCTGCTCAGTGTAGACCTTTGACTTCTCCTCCAAGTCATCTTTCTCCTTGCGTGTTTTTTCCAGCTCATGCTGCAGGAAGGTGAGCTGTTCCAGCAGTGAGGGAAGCTTCTCCGCCTTGGATTTAGCTTCCTGGTCTGACTTATGGAGATTTTCAATCTCTTTTCTCTGTCTCTCCTTCTCCAGAGCTTGTGTCTTCTCCACAGAATTCAGCTTCTCACTGAGCTCTCTGTTTTCTCTATGCTGCAGGGAGACAAACAAACACATGTTGTGCATGTGATACAATGACCCCAAATGACCCGTTGCTTTTCCATGTTGCTTTCTTTTTGGTAGGGTATGACACAGAGTAAACAAGTACCTGACACAGACAAAACTAGATGTACATACCCCACAGTACTCACCTGCTCATTTATTTTGTGTTGCAGCTGCATAATCTTGTTCTCCATGCCAACGTTCAGCTTCTTGAAGTGCTCCACTGAGCGTGCCTCTACTTTCAGCTTCTTTAAGTCCTTTTTGGCCCTTATGCGACGTACACAACTCTGCAGAAGGACAACGGCTGCCAGGGTGCGTCGAAAATGCTCCCTTGCCAACCAGCCCCTCGCCCACTTCTGGAGCACCACAGCCTTTTGCTCATACATCATCTGTAATTCAATCAGAAGACAAGATTATGAACTGAAATTACTTAAACTGATGAAAAAAAGGAAGATGAGAAGACAAGGATCTTGTCTCTAACTGTTAAATTCTTCCCTAAATTAATTTCATTTAAAACAAAAAACATGTGAGTGACATCAGCTGACAGACAGTAAACAGGCTGAGGCTGTTGTGTTGCAGCACAATTCAGTACATTGTTTTCATTAGCAACACTGAATTTGAAAGGTGGTCAAAAGGGTCTGAATTAATGTCAGTCTCTGTTTGTATGACAAGGTCATCAGCAAAAAAAGATGTCCTCTCAAGTTTTTTAGACTCCAGAAAATAAACTCAAAAATCAAAGTTGATGATACATTGCCTTCTATTTGAAGTTACTAAATCTGAGGGTTCAAGGGTGAGGATTTATACCTCTTTTGGTTTATAAAGACCTTCAGTTTTTATCAAGAGGGGTTTTACCTTATAGTACTGCTTTCTTGCCATGTAGGTCCTGAAGTGGCACTGAATGGTGATAGCTGCAGAGCGTTGCCGCTGGTAACGTCTTCTGGCCACCCACATTCTTACCATCCGCTGAATGACAATAGCAGCTCTGGTTCTTCGCAAAAACTTGGCATAACTGACAAATTAAGAAACACATATGTTAGAAGTATGTGAGAGCAGCATGAGGGTGAGGGTGAAGTTGATTTGCAAACAGCTGTTTGTCTCCTCTGCTCACCAGCGTGCCTGGTGACCCCGCACATATCTTTGGATGGTGACGGCTGATTCCCTCATCCTCAGGTACTTTTTGCGTGCCAGCCAGCAGCGGATAGTCTTCTGGATGCGGACGCAAGCCATGCGCAGTTTGTCAGAACGCAGCTTCTCCAGGTAAGCCACCTGGCCAGCCCGGAAGAAAATCTTGTTTTTGCCAAATTGATACTGATCCTGGTCCTTACAGCAAAAAAAGACAAAAAGTGATATAGAGTGGAATATATTACATGTGATATTTCAGTTTTTCTATGTAATTTTTGATGAATGTCATGGGAATACTGTCATATCATTCATGCATACCTGGATGAGTTTTTCCAAGAGATTTCTGCAGGTTTGTTTTCTGTCTCGAAGCACATCCTTTTGCTTCATGAGGACCCGGTAACGACTAAAAAATTCTTGATATGTCCATCTATCATATTCAGATAAGACAGGAGAATGTTCAGTACTTTATCTGTAACTTATAAACATTTAATTCTGTTCACTAAAGCACATCATGCTAATGTTTATATGCTACCTTGATGGGAAACCTGCAGCTGAGATCCGGACTGTTTCAAGGATGCCACATGCGCGGAGCTGCTGCACTGCCCTCACAGGGTCCAAACTTAAAAAATGATCAAATTGTTCACAAAAATCTGTTGTATACTTAACAAACTGTGCATGTTACATACACTCACATATAACCCCCTTACCTAAATGCAGCTTTATGATCATTTGGCTTTATACAGCGGACATAGTGAGGAGTTGTAGCGTTGAGCGTGTCCATCAGCAGATGAAGAGACTGTCGAAACTGAGTAAAAAACAACAACAACAACAACCAGTGGTTAAGTAGATATGTTAGTGAATTAATCAAGAACTATTAAAGTATCAAATAATTTACTTATACTTAAAATCAACTATTAAGTGTTCTCTCTTAAAATTAACACTCTGGTTGATATCTATTTTCTTAAAGACAACTAAACCAGACGAAAAGGTGAATCCAAGACAGCAGCAGCTCGCTCTCACCTGCAGTCCTACAGTCTTTTTAGTGTCCTTCTGACTCTGGCCGGTTCTTCCACCGACACCGCTGCGCTTGTTTGAAGAGCTTGCTGTCGTTTCATCATCTTCAAACAGCTTCACCAGCAAATCAAACTGAAAGAATAATTTCAAGAAACCAAATCAGAGTTATTATTGTCCAGCAGATGGCAGTGTGTTCAATCTGAATTTGAAAAAGTGGGTGTATTTCCTCCAATAGTTGTGGTCGAACAATTCCAGGGTGTGTACCCAAAGACTTGCATCATAAATATACACCTTACAGCTATTTACTTAAAGCTTAAGTGATGATCTCTTAACCCTGACTAAGACAGGAAGAGGCATAGGGAGTGAACATTTAACAAGCAACATCTTTAATATTTCACCTTGCTCTTTTTCATCACATTTATCTGCTCGGCGTTGACTGTGTCCTTATTTTTCTCCAGGAAACCCCCACACTGGTACTCCACCTAAAACGCACAAAGGACACAGTTCACAAAGTATGTTTTTACTACAAGAGCGAAGGTCATAGTCATCATTTATGGTGTGAAACAAGCTGATTAGCAACACTAAAACTGAAAGATTCTTCAAACATTTTGAGTAAGGGTCTAAAGTTTAGAAATCATCATTTCACACTCGACTTTCTTATTACTTTTGATTAGAAAACATGAGTCATTCATGCATCCATTTCTCACACAGCTTTTACTTTCAGAGGAAAGCATGAAATTTTGGACCAAGATGTAATTTAGTTTTCCATGTCATGCCATGCGGCTTGTGGACCAATGGAAAATAAACACCCCATCCCCCTCCCAGCATGAGGCTGTGTTTCACCTTGTCTGCAAAATGGTGGATGATGAACGCAGTGTTTGATAATCTGGGTTTGTCAAAGTGGGCATTCTGCTTCAGCAGAGTGTTGTACAGTTTCTGGGTCCATGTGTCATCAGAGCCTTTGGGCATCTACGGAAACAGGAAGAGCTGACACATTAGTTAGTCATGGCCTTACTCATAACTTCCAAACACAGCGAGGAGGAGGTTCCTCCGGAGCAAAGCAGTTGAATAGACCTTTGCTGAACAAACACAAGTGGGATTTTACCCTGCACTCCTCATCCAGAAGATCCAGGACACCCAGTTTGGCCTCGATAAGATTAATGCAAGGCTGGTTGTCATAGAAATCAATCAATGTCCAAGGGATCTCCTCCTTCATGTACTCCTCTTGCTCCAGTTTGAAGACATGCTGTTGAAAGTAACACCTAAGTAAGATTAATGTGTACACTTTGGCTTCAAAATGATGACAAAAGGCACATACCAGGTTGAACTGTTGTTGGAGCTTCTCGTTGGCATAATTGATGCAAAACTGTTCAAAGCTGTTGAGGTCAAATGTTTCAAACCTGAGGAAAAATGTAAACATTAAAGTATCAGGTGATACAAAGAACATATGTGGAAAAACTACAGACCCGTGAATAAAAACATACCCATAGATGTCGAGCACACCAATGAAGGAGCGTTGTTTCATCGTAGATTTTAAGGCAGTGTTAATACTTGCCACAATCCTGCTGAAGAGTCGAGCATAGATGTGTTTGGCTAAGGCATCTCTGCCATTGATTGCACTCATTTTGGGCACAGGCTTAACAAAGGTTTCTGTGGTTGTCTTTAGAGTCCTGTGACATAACCAGTGCGCCATTTCTTCACGGGGGACCCCCATCAAGTCACAAAACACCATCAAGTGGGCGTTATCAGGCTGTAAAAACAGTAAGAGTACTGATCTGACATGGGTAAAGAACCTTAAGTACAGAATTTGGACATTGCATTGACTAAATATGCTTTACAAAATACCCTCTTGTTGGAGTCACGTGTTGTTTGTGATTACCATGATGCTGCTTTTGTCGGCTGACTGCTCCTTCACCTCCACATTACTCAGATGGAGAATGGCTGCCAGAATTTGGTATATTGCCATTTGATCACTATCACTGATTCCTATAATGAAAACAAAGCCATTCCAAAAGTTATAAATGAAGATCAACCATGCAAGGTAATTCAAAAACAAAGGTACAGATGTGTATCTACAGTACTGCCCACTCAAAATGTAAATGCAACCAATGCTCACCTAAGAGCGAGAAAGCCTTCCTGGTGTTGCACATCTCTTGAGCATCATCCACTCCATCTATAGCTGGGCTCTGACCCTGGTTAGTATAGTTGAAGTCATCTGCGCAACCTTTAAACAAACAACATTCCAGGTGTGTACCAAACAGACTGTTATAAGTGGTTCTGCAACTTATATTTTGAACTGTTTCATAATCCTACAAAAACGACTCTTGATATTCTTGCTTTTCATACCTAATTTGAAGTCTTTAAACTCTGGTAGATGTGAAGAGGCACACAGCTGGTAGAAAATGTGGTAATTTCTTTCTCCATAGGCCTAAAATTGGGTCAGAGAGACGACTTTCAGACACGCTTGAATTAGCTTTTGATGTTGTTTATTATATGCCTGCTAAGATAAACACATGTTTCCTGTTACATGCACGTTAAAGTCTTTCAGATTGATTAACTGTGGAGAGGAACGCATAGAAGAAGGCCCGCACTCAGACACTGAAGGCAGTCACCTAAAATCATGCGAAGTAAATCCATAAAAGTGTCATGCACCTGAAACACAACTCGAGACTTTTCCAGTAAGTAGGTTCTCATGTTGGCTCCAGTTATAGAAAGCTTCTTGTCAAAGCCAATCTCAATGTACTTCCCAAAGCGACTGCTGTTGTCATTTCTTGTTGTCTTGGCATTTCCAAGAGCCTAGTGGAGACAGGAAACATCTGTCTGTTACCTGTTTCATTTTCTATTATTAGTTACTGTAAGATTATTCAAATGTTACCTCCATTATGGGGCTGGAAGCGAGAACTTTTTCCTCAACGTTAGCCTCACTAGAGGAGCAGCTGACCGTGGCAAAGTATCGCATAGCATACTTAGCAGAGACAGTTTTTCCTGCTCCAGACTCCCCGCTTACGATGATGGACTGGTTTCTTTCATCTCTGCGTTCAAAGATTCAAAGATATCAGCATAAATGGTTAGACTCCACTTGCTTTCAGTAACATCGTGGACCGTACTGGGAGTGTACAAAACCTTGCCATCTGTTTGTACGCTTCTTCTGCTACAGCAAATATATGGGGGTCCATGTCTCCCATGTTCTGCCCACTGTAGGCGTTGATGATGTCAGCTTCATAGATGGGCAGACTCTCATAGGGATTGATGGCAACCAGGACAATTCCTAAATAAAACGAGGAGAGAGGCTTTCATTTAGGTGTTGTCAGACAGCATGGGCATTTACAGAGAATCTCATATGTACAGTAGTTGATTTGTATGCATTGTAGATTCATGCAATACATTTCAGTGTGTATTCCTTTAAGAGCAGCCTGCACTGTAATTATCAGCATAATGTCCTGAAGATTAGGTCAGAGCCAGCAGTTAGCAGCATGCCGGGCTCCAAAGTCTAGAGTGACAGCGATAGTGTGAGTCAAAGATGATGAGGCTATTTACCACAGTAGGTGTAGATCAACTTGGAGTCAATGAAGCGCACTTTAAGGTTGTGTAGTACAGCAGGCTCGTGGAGGTAGCTGAGAGCTGTGAGGTCATTCTCACCCACCAGGATGTCAGGGTTTCTGAGCGGTGGCAGATCTTTAGTTTTGTGGTCTGTTTTGTAGTCCACTTCCTGAAATGGTACACAACATAGGCTGTAAGTGCTCAGAGATTAAACACATGGGTTACTCTCTTTTGGAAAAACTATGAAAAGCAAAGAGTAGGTTGTTATGCACAAAAAGCTAAGCAGTAGTACGTCTCATTATAGCTTATTAGCAAACACCAAACTGGGCTTGTTCATGTTCACTCATGATTGCAGTTTGGCCTTATGAAATGCAAGTCTAAACTCGACAATACCACTGCAGGCAGAAACAGCTTTGAGTTTCATCAAGTAGTTCACCGACTTTAAACTTATTATAACTTTGAAAAGTTGAATTTGGTGGTTCTGTGTGTTTGTTTTACCTTGGAATCTATAACCAAGTACCAGGGCTGCCCAGGGGATTTATGAGGCTGAAGTGCCAGTTTTTTTGCAGAGAAATATGTGGATGGCTCTCTGACAGGGAACCACACACCCATTTCCACCTCAGTGCCTCTGTCTCCTCTTGTGTAACTGAATGTGTATGTGTGTCTAGGACATTTGCATGTCTCACCGTGCCATCTTCCAGCTGCAGAGTCAGCTTCAGGTCGCCAGGAGTGTAATCTTTGATAAGCTCTGCTGACTTCCACACTTCTGCTGCATCTGGGAGCCATACACGGGCATACTGATGGAAAAGGGAAACCAGGTCAGGGCCATTCAAGCACTTATTCACGGCTACAAGTCTTAGACAAAACCAAGAGAATGTTGAAAACCAATTGATGGCTGAGTCAACACAGTAGACATGAGTCTGGGTGGATACGGACAATTTTCATCAGCGGACATGTACAGAAGTAAAACAGTATACTGAGCTTACAAAAAGCAAGAAGATGTTCCATTCATACATCCAAGTGAACATGAGGAGTAAGTAAGTAGAAGCGCTAAGTTCACTGACATTAGCTTCTAACTGAAAACTGTTTGAAGAGGTGGACGGTTAAAACTGTCCAATTTCCACAAGGTATGCCTACCTTTGTGTACAGTTCAGAGGCTGCCATGTCTTCACTTTAGCTCCCCGGACCCTCTCTCTGCCTGAAGACAAAAGATTTCACATGGTAGAGACTTTTCGGGACTAAGATGAACTTTTTCTTAGTACCCCCTCGGCGGTGGAGCAGCTCGGACGGACGGCAGGATGATTCGACTGCTACAACAGTTGTCATCCAGCTGCGCGTGCCCCAACACGTTGAACTCTTGTGCGTCTTGCGCGCCCCCTAGTGGCCAGTACGCGCATGTCTCATAATAATTATAATAATTTTATTTTTATAGAGGTTTACAAAGTGCTTTGACAAACAGTCGTAAAGCATCAGCACATAGAAATAAAAACAAATTAAGAAAAAAAGCTCAGTTAAAAAAAACAAGGCTTCTGAATTGAAGGCAAATTTCATTTGTCATAAGAAACCAAGACAATTCAAGAACCTGACAACATAAAATGAGACCACGAGGACCAGAATAAAAACATGAAATAGCAGGAAATAGGATATTAATTTTAAAGACAGATATTTATAATAATAATAATAAAATTACAATTAAATAATAATGATTTGGTCTGGTCATCTTCACATAGATGTATATTTGTTTCCTTTTAATCAATTAAGTGTGGCTGTGTTTATGACCAGCTCAGTTCTTCCTAGCCATATTGCTTTTCAGATTGACCCACTTACTACTTTCTGTAAAACTTTGACACCAGTGCAACACAAAAGGACTTAGTTACTACCACACATGCATTGGTTCTTCAGTATTTTGGAACTTATGAGTTTAAGAGTAGATGCAAAGGCAAACTCCATCAAATAAATGGATTAATCAGATATTATGCAAAACTATTTTATTTACAAAACAAATGGCACAGTGTGACTGCACAGTAAATGCACATGCACACCCAAGACATGTCAAGGGAGTTTCTTTCCATAAAATACGAAGTGATTTTAGTCAGACAGTGACAGACATTTCAGGCAAAATTCATATTTAAGGTTCTTACTGAGGGAGCAAATATTGCTCAAGAGGAACAACGGTTCTTTATTTTTAAGGCCATTTTTAAGTAGTATTTATGAATTGGAACAGCAGCAAGCCCTAGTTAACTAATGTCAATAAAATTAATTAAAATACAACTGTCTACAAATTATGTTTGTGGTAAAATCTCCAGATTCAAACAGCTTTACTGAGTGTTTGATGAGTAGACAAAAAAGCAGGATGACTTCACTTTCATCAGACATGCCTTCATTTGAGCAGTTATACTCAAAGGTGTCAAACAGAGTGGCATTTGTGTAAACTAGTTTTACTTCACACATACATCAGTGTAAACTTTGAAGTATATTTCAATTCATCCGTATAAGTAACAAAGTGAACTAAGATTACTTAGAGGTGGCGACAAAACAATCATCATCGCTCTTCAGCTGCTGTAAAGACAGGTGATCTGCATGGAGACCTCTATTCTGAAAAGTGAAAATCTTCTGTTTGATGAGGAAAGCACAATAACCAATTATCTTTGATGTGAAATAATGTTAAGGGAAGTAAATGCTAACTCAACTTTCTTTGACCTTCAGAAACATCTTCATCTCATAAGTTGTTGGACTGCACTCAATGACCATTCATAGCCTGACAGTTGCAAATACTTCAAGAATCTGGCTTGGTACACAACTTGTTCTTAGAAAATACATACAAAAGTGAAATATAAACAATAACGTAAACAGCAGGTGGATGTGAAGACAGGGTTGGAATGGTAAGAAACTGGTAAAGCTAAAATCATCAGCCAGCCAGTTTACTGGCCACAATTGAAGTCTTTCTTTGAGGCAAGTCCTGAGGTGTTGGGATGTGCCCTCCTGTGATTTCAGTCTTCTCTGTTGGTGCAGACGGCAACTGCTTATTCTTCATTTTCGCCTTGGCCATGTTGTAGTCACCAGAGTCAAAGTATTTTTGCTGGAAAAACATAAAATCAGATTGAGTTTATGATCTGACTACTACTGTTTACAGTACAGGTGTCAAACTCAAGGCCCGGGGGTCAAATCTGTCCCATGGAACAATTATTCATGGCCCACGAGATCATATCATATTTGTATTATTATTGGACCACCAGTATGAAGTCTGCAGATTTCCTCCAGGATGATAATGTAAACTTTAGCAACATTATTTAAAATATCCTTAATAAACCATGAAAATCTGGGAAAGTAAAAAGTAAAGAAGATTTGATAAATAGTCAAGAATGTGGGGAAAAAATTGTGTTTTACCCATATTTCCAAGATTTTTCAAGATTACAAGTCTAACATAATTTAACTTTTATTTTGTGCTTTGAGTTTTTTTCAACTCTGTATTTAGATTTATGTCATTTTAATCCTTTAGATTCCAATTTTTCTCATATTTTGCCCTTTCAAACTTATGATTTCAACTTTCTCCTCATGTATTTGCTCTTTAAAAGCATTATTTTTCTATATTTAATATCGTGTTCTGATCTTTTGAACTCATCTATTGGATTTTTTTCACATTGTGGGTTAAATGTTGACCCTGTGGGGCCCTCAGGTTAGACTTAAATCCAGATTGTGGCCCTTGCTGTGGTTGAGTTTGACATCCTTGGTTTATATATATATGTATAGCCACCCAAGTTTAGGAGAGAAACGCACCCCCTTCTGAAGTCTCTTTCTGAGCAGGTCAGAGCCTCCAGGCTTGGCTCCAAGGTTAGGATACCTCGCCTTCAGCTTGGCTTCCTCTGCTTTCTCTGGACTGATCACTTTGTCCTCCATTTCCTGTTGAAAATCAAAAAACACGGAGCTACAGGAATGCAGCCTCAACAAGTGGACATTTTGAGTTGAAGAAACAGTAATGTGTAGTTACAGTTTCACCTCACGTTCACATTTACGTTTAACTTTGATAAAATGCAGGTTAAAATAGCAGCCGGTGTTTGCCCAGTATCCGTATGCTTAGCAAATTCGGCCGACTCGTCCTCACAAAGCCAGCAAAACATTTCCCAGTAGTTTTAGCAGCAAAAGGTAACATTTATTCCCTCAATACATCAGGGTCACTTTTTAATGTGTCGGAAAATGCGCCTTTTTGTGGTAGTATCGCTGATGACATTAGATCATGGTTGCTATGAGCTAACTAGCTTCGTGCTAGCCTCCTCCATCCGTGGATACTGTGTTAAAATTGTAGTGCCTCGTTGTATTTTACCTGCACTTCTTCCGAAGCTGTCGTTCCTTCAACCTCCTCGGACATGCTAGTGTTTTATCCCTGCTCTACAAGCAAAACCGGCGCTGTTATTTGTCCAAGGAGCTTCTGGAAAATGAGCTGGTGGTACTGTTAGCAGTGACTAGGCGGGCGACGACAGGAGCCTGGAGAGCAGCCTGGTCAGCAACAGGCCGAGAAATCGATGCCAGAGAGGCGGATGGAGCAGAGACTGGTAACACCAGATCGTGATCATCACATGAAGAGTGTTTATTTAGCAGGAAAGTCCAACTCTGGGAGTAAAATAACAAGGATATAAAAGTAGCAGTTGTGCATACAAACCTTTGCATGGTAAATGAGTCAGCCCAACCAAGGATGGTAGAGAGTGGGATTGAAACTAAACAGTACTTTAAGTCATATCTCTCATTCAACAAGTTTAATAAGTCCACATGCTGGCAAATAGTAAAAACCAATCAAGCAAACTTTATTTATACAAAACAATGTAGCAATAAGTACTGTCCATTCAAGATGGATGTACAATAAAAATACAAATACATAACCACACCCTCCCAACCCACAATAAACCCATACAACACTAACACTCACACACACAAAAAGTACCAGGTGAGGACTCTTCAAACTTCTACATATGACTGAGGACATTGTAAGAGAAGATAACAAACTTATTGGGCTTTTCACATGCTTTTTCAACGGAACTTATTCTGAAAGCGTCCTAGTTTGTGTTTATTTTCCTTTTAAAAGAAATTTTAAAGCATCTATGGGGAACTTTCTGGTAGTAAAGATTTCGGTGCCATGTATGGATAAGATAAGATGTTCCTTTGTTAGTCACACAGGGGGAAATTCCAAAATTACAGCAGCATAGTAGATACAAAAAGAGAAAAATTTAAAGATAAAGAAACTTTGAGTTAAAATAAAAATAAAAGATGAACTTATTTTTCCCATTTATCATTTGTCTTCACTGGCACGGCTTGTATGGAGGGTTTCCTGCCAAAAAAAAAAATCTCATCTCTGAACAGTCATGCACATCTCTCCTTTGGATGTGTGCTGTGAGAGATCAAAAAAGGGATTTGCCTTCACCCTGCTGCTACCACCTGGTAAAGACTTGGCCTTGTCTGACACCTACCCCTTTGCAGCAGTTAAAGGCAGGTGGAAAATATGTACTTTTTAATTTCCAGGTCAAGTTTCATAGCCAGCCAAAAGCTGATCACAGGGGCTTTAACATGCTGAAGAAAGACAGGGGACTATTGGCAAACAAATACATGGGTGTGTGTTTAATACATGACAGTGTTTCACAGAATGATCACAGCAATTAAAGGGGTTATTATACAACTCACTATGTGGTAATATTGAGTAAGTCGTGATGGTTGTAAATGGATACTCATTAGAATAGGTTGTATCTGCTTTGACACACCTGGGAGCTCATACAAAGAACCTGGTACCATGGAAGGTGGCAAAACTGTTTGTGGAAACCACTAATGATCGTGAGGCAGGTTGTTTCACTTGTCATTGGGACATTAGCATTGCAATGATGTTGTAATAGGGATGTATATACATAGTAATTATCCATAGGACCTTAGAGCACAAGTCACTTGTATGTAATTTAAAAATATAGAATATATCTAAAAGATTAATATGTATTATGGTTTCTTGTATGGCATGATCAATACAACTCATACATAATTCGACTGAAGTTGAAGTAATTTAAATGACCGATTCAAAGAATGCCTTTATTTGTTAGGTTTCTGCATTAACTAATACAATATACAATGCAACAGGATGAAGTGACTTCTTTACAAATCCAAGTATCATGACGTTGGTGAGATATGCTGTATGTGGCAAATAGCTTCAGAATTGGAGGCAAATCTTTGTCCTCATCCCGCCATCTGAAACTGAATGCACTTCTGTGCCTGTGATCAGCCATTTAGAAATATGATTCCTAAATACGATTCAGTACAAAACAAGCAAAGGGGTTAAATTGCTTCCAAGTTTAAACATAATCAGGGCATCCTCGTTTAGGAGATCAGATGTCGTCATCTCCCATGTCCACATCTTCTTGTAACTTTTGCACCATTTTGTCTTCCAGCTGTTTTGCCTTCCCTGTAAAAACAAACAAAAAAATTGGACAACAATGAAATCACGGAGAAAATGCCACATTAGTCTGTTCTCCAAATTGGATTTTTTTCTATTATTAACATATCATATTACATTTAATTTACAGAAATACTTCAAAAAAATGTTTCTTGTTATTTGGTGACTTACCAGCATGTGGTGCTTTGATAAGGTGGATATTTTTCTTCACTTCGCTGATGGCCTCTTCCTTCTCTAACTGTTTGCCCTTCTTTAATCTATAAAAGTGAAGTAACAAACCACAGCAATAAGAGTGGGTCAAAAAAATACCGTGAGGATCTAAAACATGTTTATCATCCATCATTGATGGGCAACCAGATGACATTCTCACCTGTTCATGATAAATTTGGCCTGTCGTTTCCGTTTTATTTCTTCCACCTTCCTCATTGCTTCCACTGTGGAAATTTTCAACCACACGTGAGTTTTCAGTTCAAAATGAAATGACAAAGCATTTTCCCATTCAATACGTAAGAGAAAGCAATGAAGAAATACCTGTCTTGTCCCACAGCTGCCTGTTATATTTAACAGGGATATTTCTGCGTTTTTCAAACTCCAGAGCATTGTCCTGAAAGAAAATACATTAACTTACATGATGACACTGAAAGTAAGTTATGACACTGAGCCATAACCCCATAGAGATGAACTCACCACTGTCAGCTCCTTTCCTGAAGCCTTTCTAAATGCTTTGGTCCATCTGGTTTTTCTTGGATTACGCTTCTTCTTGAAGTTTTTGTGGCATTTTGATCTGCAGAACCTGAATGACTACATTTGCAAAAGAGATGACATAAATTAACACACACACTTGTACATAAATAACAGGTAGAAAAGCACACATAGTCTCCTTTTTCTAACAGCACACAACCTCAACACAAATAAGAAAGTTTAGGGTTTTATGGGAACATTTTCATTATACGGCCGTTAAGTTTCGACACAAATTTTGTGAGGGTTACAAGCTATCAGTTTTATACAGATTTATCAATAATGGCTAGTATGTCATTCAAGATTTGCTCATAAAACACAGAACACATCCTAACCCTGTAAACTGAATTCATTTTGTTTGATCATTACATGAGCTGTTGTTGTTGTTGTTGTTTTAATGTTGCTGCTGTCCCCTGTCTCTCTCTCTCTCACCCTCGTTCTCTACTTTCTCTCCCTCCCTCCCCCTTACCTATTCCCTCTCTCCTTCTCTCTATCTTGTTCTCTTTCTCTCCCCTGCCCTCTCTCCTACTCCTCTCCCTCTCTCTCTCTCCCTCCCTATCTCTCAGTATTCCTCCCCAACCCAGCAGCGGCATGGTGGCTGTCTAACATGAGTCTGGTCCTTCCCAAGGTTTCTGCCTGTTAAAAGGAAGTTTTTTCTTGCCACTGTTTCTCATGTTAGATGAGATGGGCCAAATTCCATCCTAGGTTGGGTCTTGATAATTCATCAAACAATGAGCGTGGTCTAGACCTGCTCTTGTTCTTTGAAAAGCGTCTTGGGATGACGACTGTTGTGAATTGACGCAATATAGATAAAATCTGATTGATTGGTTTTACGACAATAATAACACAAACTGATCTGATCTTTGACTTGTTCAACCCTGAGTAATAATAACATTAAAAAACAGCTTTATTTATATAGCAGCTATAAAAACATATGTTTACAAAGTGCTTTAACAGATAAAACTAACAAAGGCAGAAACAGGCAGAACTCAGTGGATGATAAAACAACAAGTCAGGTGAAAAGGCATAGATAAGTAATAGATGACAGTTGATAGTTTACATTGACAGATAATGATATAAAGACGTCAACGACACAAATCCCAGTTAAATTTGTTTGAAATAATCCCCAAAAAACCTCAAAAATATAAGAAAAGTAAAAGGATCATAAGACATTGTCGTTATACAGCGCACCTTCAGGGGGCGCAATAGCTCTATAAAGTAGGGCCGAGGAACTTCGGGTTAAATATCAGGATTATTATCTACATGTTTTTTTCTAAAGACAGTACAAACATAGTCTTCAACAGATGGATAGGTTTGAGATTCTTCATTTTTATCTGAACATTGTAAAGACACAGAAGTTAATCCCGTCTATTATTCAGTTTTCTAAAACCCACGTGAGCGAACACAGCACGCTGCGTTTTCAGCTAACATTAGCATCATGCTAACAGGCCAACATTTACAGCCAAACGCAGTTTTCTGTCATTGCTATATGACTATAACACTTATAGGACGGTGTCATACCTTACAATCGTTCCGTACAAACATAACTCCATGACCAGGGTAAACTGGTCCCGAGCAGAAATAACACTTTTCGATACGCATTTTTCACAGCTGAGATGCTGTGAGGGACGACGGACCCAAACAAGACCGACCCCTCTTCTCTTCTTCTCTCTTGTCTCTGCTAAATGAGGCGTTTGTCTGCTCTGCTGCCCTCTGCTGGAACTCTAATTCTAGTTTTTATTCTCAGAGGGTTCATCTTGGCTCGTTTCAAAAGGAGTATGAGAAAAGACCATTTTTCATGAAATTTTGATTTTTTCTTGACAAGCCAAAATCATAAATTCTTAACTCAAATTTATATTTTTCCAGAAGTGTCTTTACTTTTAATCAGCGTCCATGTGAACAAATGGTATCTCAGAGCAAAAAGCAAAATTTGATTTTGGAACCCTCTATTTCTACCAATAATATTGATTGTTGATTATTCACACACCTTCACAAATCTCTTTGATTAACATTCCACGACATGCAAACATACCTTTTTCTTGGTGTATTTCTCCTCTTCCTCTTTCTTTTCTCTGCTCCTGAAGGATATGTCCTTTTGTGCGACATTATTTTGTCCCACAACTACCTGCTCTTTGGATGCTCAGTGCACATTGCACAGCAGGAGGCACATAGAGGTAGGTGAGCTTTGACATATCAGCAGTAAGAATCATAGGCCTACATCAGCAGCAGCACTAAAATATTTTTACTAGGTCCCCCTATTGGCCGTGGGGCCCTAAGCAGGCGCTTAGTTTGCTTCTGCCCTGGGCCGGCTCTGGTATCTCTTGTTCTACATGAGAAAGTGATGTTTTCACAGGAGCCTCTTGTCTTTCAGTAGTAAAATGTTTCCCTCTGACTTGGCCATGGAAAAAAGCAAAAAGATAAAAGGTCTGTTTTTTTAGTGTGCTATCGATTATCTGGAGAGACACCTACCTCCTCTCAATGATTTCAGGCACTGAGAATTACAACAGAGATATTTGTGGCATTTTTTCTGGATGGAAAATCAAAGTGATTTTTGGAGGACAAACACAAAATAGAGCAGTGACTTAACCTAGAAAATTTGATCTTTTTCAAATTAAAAAAAATTTGATGGGTGACCTGATCTGACTCACACCAGGAAGCATTGCATAAACACTGATTTTTCTACACTTCAAAATGCTTACAGTCATTTTCTAACTCTTGATTTAATGTCTCTAAAATTATTTTACAACATACTGAGCAAGGGTTTTTCTTCCTGAGGGGAAATCATGTAGAAACCTTCATTTTTATTGTTAGTTTTACCTGAACTGTTGTGGATCAAAAATAGTTTTTCATGGAAGTAGTAACACATTCAACAGTTTCAGTGTTATATGGTTGCAAATTTTCTCATTAATTATTAATGTGGCAAAAAAAGTTTAAAATTTTCATTGTAATCATCACTAAAAGACAAACAAGCACACACATAAAGAAAAGACCATATCATGTATTATTCCAAGAACAATTTTATTAACTAGTATTCGTGATCATCTTGAGAGTATCAAAAAAGTCTGTTGCAACAATTCAACACTTGCAATAATTCATTTAGTTGCACTCTATGGATTAAGGATGTACTTTGGTATTCAAAAGCAGAATTATCAGAAAACCATAACTTAAATAATAACAGTTAAGTCCTAAACTCTAAATCTACATTTGGCACCTGAGTTAAGTCAGCAAGTTTGCCTGTGGCGTTCAAATAACCCCTTTATAATTCAAATGCACTACACGGACAAACTCAGAACTTGAAATCAGTCTTATCAATTTACTAAAATGTCACATTAAAACTGGGAAATGTTTTTGTTCACAACACCATGCTAAAAAGACAATGTAACCTCTATATTACTCGGGTGAAATCTTGCGGTGGTAAAAGGACAGCAGAACAGTGTATGACATCTCAAGCTTTTTTATAAAAAAAGGAAAATGCCCTTTTAGCAAACGAAACCTTGTGAAATCATATCACATTTAAATGTAAATCATGTAAATGAAAACCAAAGAAAATCACTAAATAACAGAGACTTCAAGCTTTCTTTGGTTAAGATTATTTGTTTTTCAAAGGTATAAAAATTGATTATGTTGCTCTTCACACATTGGGTTTCCGTTTTGATAGTCAGAATCCTTCATTGTCACACCTGGACAGGAAATACAAGGGAGCAAGAGAATTTCTCCCCTTACAGTAGTACTGGTGAACTGTAACAGATGACTCTCTACACAAAGAGTAAATATCATCATCCGTCACTGGAGGGACACACCAGATCTTTGGCCTTGTGTCAATAACTTTCACCTCATGGCACCAAGGATCAGCGGAATGAAAAGCCGTACCCATCTGAGGAAGCAGACAACTCTTTGGATAATAGCATCGGCATCACCGCTGCATTTAGCAATGATCTAAAAGGCAAATGGAACACAGGCCGGGCAGACCTGTGCTAAAGCTTTCACCAGAATAAAGCATTAGGAAAATTTACACTGAGAAAAGCATTCAAACCACCATTCTAAAAGAAATTTACATCATTGGTAAGAACAATATTTTGGCAAACGCACCCTCAATAAACATCCACTATATTTTTTGGTTGCCTTCTAATATCTTTGTATTATCAAAACTCTTTGGGTACAATATCTCCTATCTTTGGATCTCATATCCTTAAGTATGCAAAGCCCTTTTTTGATATTAAGGCCAAGTTAAAGCTTTGAGTTCAATGCACTGAAAATGCCAAACCACATTTTATGGTAAAGCTTAAATAGTTTGACAATATCTAATGCACTTATTTTCCACAACATACATCATTCAAAGACACTGTGAAACAAAAGCTCTTTCAACCGTGAAAACAATAGTTTGGAGAAGTACATAAACGAGGACTTTGAGATTATAACGTCCCAACAGAGGTAAATAAAACACGGCAATGAAATAATTTTCACCTTGTCCCCTGAGTCTGAGATAATACTGCACCATACGTGGTGAAAAGGAGGTAGTAATGTATGTACAATAACAGAACTTGGAGGTAGATAAATCAGTCAAAAGGGCTCCAATACACCCTCTGCTCCAGTGGAAAGAAATTAAATATAAGGAAAATGTATCACGGTACATTTCTGACATTCTTTTTAACATTCATCATGGGTGAGCTTTGGTTTAGGACAGACAATGCCAAACACAGACAAAAGGTAGAAAGTTGTTAAAAAATGGAAATAAAATGTTATAACAAACATTCATACAAAATCCTGAGGTAGATCCAAAGCAAAGCACATTCCCTTCCTTAAAGCAGCTGACTTCCTGGTCCCTTGTGCCTCAGGAAATAACTGAGGGGCTCAACTCAGGAAGCAAACGAGGTAGAAGTGGCTTAGCTCCGGCTGCTGGAGACAGATCAGGCCAGGTGGTGTCAGGAGCTGACTGCTTGGGACATGTCTGGGGCAGGATGAGAGCCCCCAGAGGTGCAGCAGAGCTGGGGAGCATCCTGGGTGGAGGAATGATGGAAGGGACGGCCCAGTATCTCCTCATTTTCCACTTGAAAAGACTGCTTCAGCTCAGGGGCAGCATCAATACCATCTGATCCGTAGGATTCGGGTCTGGAGTTTTGGCTGGTGGAAGGGTTGCTCATCTCTTCGTTGCTCTCTTCATTGGAGTAGTGTCCAGAGTCTCCCGTCTCTTGGCTGCCCTCGCTGGTGTGAGAGCTCTCTGCGTGAAAAGGTCCGTAGATGATCTCCCGAGACGAAGGTGGAAGGGGCGCCCCGCCTAAAGGCTCCTCGTATCTAAGAACGGTTTTTCCAGCTTCGTACAAGCTAGCTCTGCTCTCAAGCTGAGGAGATAATTAAAATGAAAATTGTATTAGAAAGGAGCAGGACTGCAAGTACAGACGAGTGAGGTGAATAATGTTTCATCTCTTACATCCGTGTCGACAGGATTCTTAATCTCCCTCTGGAACAGCAGCCATCTCTTGTTTTGGTTCTTACTGTTGACTGGACCAGTACTGTTTATAATTATATTGGATCCACCCTGGAGCAAGCGAGAAATAGTTATAAGAAATTTACGAGAATGCTTCTGTAAGAATAAAAAATGTAGGTACAGATATAGTACTACCTCTCTAAATTTAGCTAATGAGAGGAGCCTTCCCTGTAATTTGTATGCCTCACCTTGGCATCTAAAAAGTGTTCACGCATCATGGGTATAAGAGCTTCAATGTTCTCAACATGGCGTTCATTTGGCAGGGACAGACCAGCCCGTGGATCCTCAGTGACTCCCACTGCAATGACTTTGTGACCTGAGGATTTTCTGTTGGTCAGATGAAGATAAATATGTTCACAAAGTTGAGAAATAAACGTGTTCATGTTAATTTTTGACTTTGTCTTTACTCCAAATGAGTTGACCAGTACCTTGGTTTTCCCTTACTGATGAGGATCAAGGCACACATAACAATACAGGCTAAAGCGATGCTCACACCAACGATGATGCCCGTCATAGACCTCTGGTCTATGTGGTAAAGACCATCAGATATAACTGCAAGATAAACAGCACAGAGTTGTGGATCAGTAATACACATTTAAAACAAGCAGAGGACACTAGCATAAGGAAGAATGAGAACTCTCAGCCCAAAAATAAAGCCACATATACAAAAACCCAAAAGGACAGTACTAATACTAATGCTTAGAAATGAAGCTGACTGTAATACTACAAATACTGTGATATTATAAATACATTAAATGGGTTAAGAAGCGATTGTTGGATCAGGTGTGATGCTTACCTGTGGTATCTGGGAAGCTATCAGAGTGCCTCGGGTTCTTGCTGCGATGGTTGGGCCCACGCTTCAAAGCCAGCTCCACAACACTAGAAAAAGGCCCATCACCAACCTGGTTGGAAGCAGAGATTTTGACCAGGTAGACATTCCCAGGCTCTAACTTCTCCAGCAGGGCCATTGTATGAGTTCCTGTAAAAAGAAGCAGAAACACACATTGAAGCTTAGAAATGCTACTAACTGCTACAGATCTGCTTCATGTGGTTAAACTAACCGTGTATTCTGTGTGTACCGTTTGTTTCACAGTTTACCGTGACTGAGGCTAACACTTAACAGATAACATTATCCATGCATCACTCACCCTCCCTCTGCATTATTTGCCAGTGTCCAGCCAACCAGGCTTTCTGGGAAGCATACAAGATGGTATAGTGCGTAACAACCACGTTGGCCTCGGTGGGCTCCCTCCAAGACACCAGAGCAGTGTCATCCTCAATCAGAGTTACTCTCACTCCTGCAGGTGGCTGGCTAGGTGCTGTACACAGACAATCCACATTCACAATGAACAACTCTTGCTTTGATTTACAAGGAAATATTCACTCATGTATGTCTGCATAGAAGAGCAAGGAGCAACATGGTCATGACAAAATAATTTAGTAGTGTCCAATGACTTACCCGCTGGAAGGGTCCGATGGTAAACAACAGAACTCCAGGGACTTGACATCTGGTCCACATGGAGACGCACAACAAACTCATAGCGAGTGTTTGGCACCAAATTCTCAATCACCACACTCTGTTTGGTTCTGTGGACAAACAGCAGTTCACCTTATGAATGTTTGAAGAATTAATAATAAAAAATGTGGCCATATCAAAAAAGCATTTAAAAAAACACAGTTAAACATCATGTTATGACTTGGAGACCACATTTGTAAGAACCAAATTTGTTTTTGTTTTTCTTCTTACACTTGTAAGTAGCGTATGGCAGAGGCATTGTGGGTTCCCACGGGTGTACAGCGGACTGTATAGCTGACAGTATTTCCAGAAGGGAAAGCAGGGCGGCTCCAGCGCAGAGAAACAGCAGATGAGTTGTTACCTATCACAGTCACATGATCTGGTGATGGAGGAGCTGCTGCAGGCTGGTCTCTGGCCGCTAAGGGATGCAAAAAAAATGCATGTTTTCATCGCAGTTTCAACCAAAGAAAAGGTTGTCTAACATTTTCCATATTATTCTTTTAAATTAAACAACAGAGGGAAATACTTACACACACATCCTGGAGTACTAACGGTTTGGTCTGTCTGATAACCCTCTCCTGCTTGACTGACAGCCAGGATCTTGACATGATACTTTCTCCTCGGATCTGGAATCAAAAAAATAATCCAGTTACAGCGTTCGCCCATGTTGCTTTCAACCTGAGCTAGTCAAGCAATATCATTCCTAAAATTCCCATGTGATGGTTATCAAAGAAAGCAGCATGTGCATCATAATAAAGGCAGACCCGCTGATAGTTAACTGCAGGAGGCAAAGTTTGTAGGTCAAAACGGCCCATTCCTCATTTGGAATAATGCAAGGTCTCCTGAGTCACCCCAAACCTCTCATTTATCATGTGTTGTCACGGGTAAGGAGCATGGGAAAGAGCCACTAGCCCCAAGTAAGGCCCAGTAAATGACACAATCAATAAGCAGAACAAAAACAGAAGCCACTTTATTTCATAGTTACTGATCCACATCAGCACCTGGTTGCACTGTAAACACTAAAAAATAACGTTTTAGAACGCGAAGTGAACAGAAGTAGGAAGGAGTCAAAATCTGGTTTGTAGTGTGCACTCACAGAAAGACAGGGGACATTAATATGTTGTGCCAGAGAGTTAAATCATTGAGTTCTAGGAGTGGTGGGCTTCAGTTCTACAATATGCTATGAAACTTTGTTTTTTAACCAAATTGCTCTAGCTCCTCAATCAGGGTGTTTGGGGAGGATTTGTTTTATGCATCCAGAGGGAAAGGTCAGTCAATAGGTATTGACCAATGAAGGCAGTGTGTCCAGGCCTGTTGTGGGGGCTGGGCCCGGGGCAGTGTTCAGCTGCTGGGATCCTAGGCCCATGGGAGTAGGGGGAGTTGACTGGGGTCACCAGGTCAGGCCAAGATAGAACACAAGGAATCTGGGTGCAGGACTAAGGGATAGAGGCTGGGCCCCTTTTGTTCCCTCTTTCACGCTCTCCCTGCTGCCCTTGTGTAATAGCCTTAAACTTGAAGCAACACAGAAAAAAACAACATGGCTCCTAAACAGAACTTGTGTTGAGATTGATTATGTAATAGAACATGGCCCCAATGTCCAACCTAAACCTAAAGACACTGACTTAAGGACCAAACTGGTTCTGGTGTTGTCATGAGTTATCACAATAAAAATGTGTCAATTTTTAATTCTTTTGAGGATGATGGTACAAGTAGCTGAAGGGCTGTGCTTGAGGATTCACATACCCAACATTGTATTGTTGTCAAATGTTCTCACTATCGCCCTGGTTCAACACAGCATGTAACATTGTTGTGGGTTATTTACATGGACAGCACAGCAGACTACTGGGGGCAGGTAAGCCAGGACTGCTGTCTCACGGCTAGAGGTCAGTGGCTCAGCCCTTCTCTGGCCAGTCCCAAGGGTCTTTGTTTGTGTGATTCAGTGTCCAGCAAAAAGGGGGTAGTGGCCAGGGTCTCCCAGGGCAGGCCGGGCCCTAAACACCACACAATGGCCATGGGTAATTATGCAAGCGCAGGATGGGAAACGGTGGTGGGAGGGACATCTGGACCCTGACCTCTAACCTTGGGAGCCTGATCTCCCACAAAACCAAACCAGACTGGAGAAGGCCGCTGTTTAGGCAAAAGGGGTCAGCACATATTGATCAGGACAGAAGGTGAAAATGCAAATTCAATGTCCAACTGCCCACTGAATTAAATTGGGTATGAACCCATTGGTCACTCTTTGTTGTCTCAACACAAAATCACAGTCCAGATGGTGAAAATACAGTGACATTTTTGGGTATCCATACTGTCTTCTGTTTTTCATCCACTCTTCTATCCCACAATTCAACCAAAAACTAAGTCTGATAGTAGAACGGTAACACTCACCAAGGCCACTGATGGTGTGGGTATAGGTCTGAGCCTGCAGCTGAATGATGGGCTGCTCTGGTTGGCCCTCCTCATGGTAACACAGCCGGTAACCCTGGACAGCAACAGATTCTAGGGCGCTCTGCCAGCGTGCCACAATGGAGGTGCAGTTGAGTGGCTCAAGTTGGAGAATGGGAGCTGAAGGCACTGTGGGGGCAGAATTGACACTTTTTAAAAATATAGCTGAGGCAAATGATGATTAAGAATAACAACAGAATCCTGGGACAGCACATTGGTTTGGAGATGAAATAATTGCACTGTCATCATTGACAGGAGAGCCACTTCATTCATTCACTGTTCACTCTCAGTGTTCATGATCTAGACCCTTCTTTCAAATGAAAAATCATCACACTGTCAGCTGAATTGCTCTGTTGCCTAAATCCAAACTTTTAGAAACAAAAAAATCAGCTCTGGTGGACAAACAGCCTCCCCCACCACACCAGGCCATGAAAAGGGGCTATTCTTTCCTCCACATAGACGCCTGAGGCCCTCTCTTTATGACCCGTGACTGAGGCCACTCTAACATCACTGACAGCAAAGGGCAAAGGTTCCTGGGTAACCAACACAAAGACTGTGGGACAATGCTATGAGAGCAAACTTTAGTCATAAGCTGGCTACGCTGCATGAGCTCTAGTGATCCTCCTGGCAGCAACGCAGAAATGTGGCACAAGTTCAAGCACAGCCAGAATAGGTTAAGATTTAGATGTTTTGCACCATGTGACCTCTCGAAGGCATGTATCAGTCCTATGCATTTTACCCTACCTAAGATGTCTGTTGGGCCCTAAAAATACATCCTATCATGCATAAAAACTGAGTCAGAAATCCAAAATTGAGTGTATAAAAGCAAAAGAGGCAGCTCTTTACAATGTTTTATCATCAGCTCTAGTTTTTGGGACATTTCCTTTTCAGCCTTCAGTGTCTTACCTTTGCTGCTGGAGGTCTTAGGTGTTCGGTGGGAAGTCCAAGCAGAAGGTTCACACCAGCCCACACGGGTGGCAGCAGCCATGCGGAGTAGGTAGATAGTGTCAGGCTGCAGGCCCTCCAGCAGATATTCGGTGCTGTTCTGGGGTAGCTCCACAGAGGTGACAGTGCTGTCTGTAGCAGTGCGATAGGAGAGTCTGTATGCAGACACTTTGCCGCGGCTCACCTTGGCAGGTAGCTGCTGCCAGTTCACCTGAATATCTGTGGAGCTATGGCTGGTCAGACTCAACTCTGGGGTACGCAAAGGCACTGCAGAAAGAGACATAACAAATTTAGTTTAATCTGATGAGTAAGAGATTCTTCACAATGAAAAATGCTGATAAGAAATAAAATTTCATAGTTCTATGATTTTGATAAAGTTTGTGTTAGTGGCATATTCAACAGAAACAACAGCAGCATTCTCATTACTCTTATTTTCCCTCGAAATGCGCTCTTCACACAAATCACTTGCATGTATTTTAGCTTAACGGCCGGAGTGATTTATTGCTAGGAATGCTGAGTCTCAGTGATCTGTATTTACCATCCTCCAGGGTATGCTGACTGACTTGGTCTGACATTCGACTGGCTCCCATTGGCATGTAAGCCACAACGTAAAAGCTGTAGTTTCGAGCTGGCTCAAGGTCATCAATGATATAACTTGTTGTGTCGTTACCAATGACGACTTGGTATTCTTCATTGTTGAGACCTGAAATTTCACAGAGAGTAAAATGCTGCAGGTTAGAAAATAGGTTGGAGGGAGAAGAAACATCGATGAAACTCTTTAAATTCTGCAGCATGTAAAAGGTCAGTATTTTGAAAGGCTTCTAAATGACACTCATCTTTCTATAAACATGTGCAAGGCAAGGCCACATAATCATGTCCAGTGTAAAATCTGCTTGAAACATCTAAAAATGGGTTTCCAAGAACAGCTCACTTGCCTAGATCAGGTTACTGAACTGCTAAATTAATGGTTAAAATCAAGTATCTCCTTCGAAACTGTTAAGACTGCGAGGCTTTAAAAGCTACCCTGTCTCTTTAACTACAAGCACAGAGAGCTGCAGAGTGGACAATGGGCTGGCTAAGCCTGTTGTTATTTTAGCGAAGTTGCCATTCGGAGTCCTCCTTGACCTTTGCTCTTTGCAGCAACAACAGATGGCCTTCACTAAGGAAAGCTGCTCACATGTGAGAGCAGAGATAGCTTATTGTGGTTGACTCTCATCTTGAATCTTTTCCCACCTCCAATATCTCAGCTGATTTGTTAAAACTAAATGAAAACCTTAATTACAACTCAACAGTTCTTCCTCTTTTACTCACCTTCAGCCTTCATGTAATGGATGGAATAGGCGATGACTTTGTCTGCATTGTACAGAGGTCTCTCCCAGGCCAGTAAGATGGCAGAGCTTGAGATGGTCTCAGCATGGATATTTCTTGGTGCACTGGGCCTATCCTCAGACATGACAACGATAAGGCGTGCCAAGGACAGCACAGAACCCTGTTCACTCTCTGCCATGCACTGATAGATGGCATCATCCTCAGGGATGATCTGGGTGATTACCAATTTGCTGCAAAATATTAAATAACATATTTGCAATCAAGCTTTTTGTCACAGTACTTACTCATGTGTGATTGTGACAGTTGCCTGTTGTTGTGCTTTACCTGTTGTACATCTTAATCCTGCCATTTAAGTGAACCTCTTCTCCGTTCTTCAGCCAGCTGATGCGAGGCGGAGGCACTCCTTCTGCTTGGCACATGAACCGGGCAGTGCCTGCTCTTGGACGGGTCTGGCTCTCTGGTCTCTCAACAATGGATGGTGGCACTAAAACAGAGGAATCACAGAAAAGTAATGAAAATTCAGTTCATTACTTCCAGCTTTTTAGGCTTAAAGCACTAATGGTGTTGAATTATGGAAACAATTCTACTCTCTGAGCATGAATGCTGCAAAAGCTTGAGCTGTGCCGTGTTGGTTGTGACATATAAAGTACAAAAAGCAGAAGGGAGAGGTTATCTGAGAGCCAAAGCAGTTAAGCTACAGAAGAATTCACTGTACCGAGAACTGTGAGGTTGGCTGCAGCAATGGTGAAGTTGCGGGTTCCAGGGGTGGTGGCCCTGCAGAGGTAGATTCCACTGTGCTTGGAATTGACATCAGTAATAACAAGGTTCCCATTGCCCAGCACTTTGGCGTTGTACACATCAATAGGTTTACTATCAGCTCTGCTCCAGGAGATGATGGGTCGAGGATTTCCTGTGGCTACACACTCCAGCACCACAGTTTGGTGAAGAGAAACTGTGACGTTTTGAGGTCCAGCAATGATTCTGGGCCTTTGACGTGGTTTTGGGCCTACAACTTCAGAAGAAATGGAAAATATTAGGGAAAAACATTCATCTTCCCCAGACATGATCATTTTAAACTTATTCCAAAAAATCAAGTCATTAAAGTTTCTGCACCTTGGTTGACTGTCAGCTTGGCTTCTCTACTCTTCAGACGGCTACCAATGTTGGTTGCCACGCATCGATAAAGTCCAGCATCTTCCAACTGAACGTCATGGATCTGAAGGACTCCATTGGGCAGAACGGTTATTCTGGTAACAGAGAGAGGCAACTTAGCAGCCAAACTTGACGTGAAATTTTGTATGAAACTGTTATTTACTAATACACATGTGCAAAATATAAATGAGAACTGTAGGCTGGTGTCAAAATTGTCCTAAGGTATGTTGGCAGGTACCTGTCTGTCTGTATAGGTAATGTGCTTTGGTTGAGCTCCCAGGTGATGGTGGCAGGAGGGCTGGAGGTGGCTGCACAGGCGAATCGTGCCACTGAGCCCTCATTCACCACCATAGGCACAGGGTGTAACACAAACTCAGAGATACCTGTGGAGAAATTAAACCATCAATAAAATATTAGTAGAGCAACATACCTCATTAACCTATAAAATTAACCGGTATTTCTTTATGTGGTGAGCTTGTTTTATGATGATAAAAGTACTGTGTTTAACCCTTGCTAAAAATATCCTTTTCTTCCACCTTTGGTTAAAATTCATAGATTATGCATGCAAAGCTCTGATTTTGATGGATGTTAGCTGATTGTATAAAAGGCATTGATTTCTGTGAAGCACAATCATCATGCTTTTGTGCAGATGAGCAATCAGGCCCCATACTGACCAGCTGGTCCAATCAATGGATCAATTGAAGAATGACACTGAATGATGCATTGTCATAGATGCAAAACCAATCAATTCAATTTGCACAGGGAGGATCACAGGCAGACACTAGTAATATTATAAAGCTAATACAGAAGTAATTCCAAGGTCAGGGATGATCTCAAATCGGAGAAAGTAGAGCATTTTGTAAATCTCACTTGTACATTTTTATAGTTGAACATACTGCTCTACTTGACACTGTAACCTATGTATTATATACTTGTTTCAATATGCCTAAGACACCTCTGCATATGCTGCTGAGTCACAGCCCTGGCTTGTGAGTAAAAGGTCTTTTAATGACCAACACTTCCAAGTTACTCCCACCCTGCATTAATCTTATGATATAACCAATGACCTTCATTCATTAAGGTGTCTCCCCCTTCCCCCTCATTTATTGGAAGTCAATACCATGTTAAAGAAAATCAATACCCTGTTGTCCTCCTGAAACATCAAATTTAAATCCTGATCCCAGGCAATCCTTTAATTCAAGAGCAAATCTTATCAATATTACACAAATAAACTGGTGGTGTTTCTAATATGAGGTGAATTACATGGCCTATGTACATATGTGAGATATTCCATTAAAAAGGGAGTAAACGTAGGAGGAGAAAAACCAAAATCCCTGAAACATACTAAATATATCTATACTTCAAGATAAATATATTGATGTATGGCTATCATATTATCTAGCTTTTCTTTCAGTGGCTAAACATGGCTGACCAGCAAGTACCATGAGTCCACAGGACCTGGTAAGAAGTTAAAAACATGATGATGTTTAATCTCCATGGAGATAACAGGCAGTTCTCACTCTTGCTGGAAACAGTGATGTCAATGGTAGGTGCGGCCTGCACAGACTGATCCACTAACATGGTCACCTCTGCCATAAAGAACAAATCAATGTCTAGGTCAAACAGCACAAAGGTTTCCCTAAAGAGGTCAAAGTTTGCCTTTGCCCCAGTCCATTCAATTTCAGCCCAAACTGGGAAGCCAGTTTGCACCCAGCCTAAATAAAGATAAAATTGATTATGCTTTTTATGTTTTACCCCCTTTTAAATGCTTTGCTAATAATTAACAAAAAAAGCAGAGCTGTTGTGTACTTGTTTATAAAAAAAAAGTGAGGATATGTTTGAGACACCTGGCACTCTAGATGAATCTAAAAGGGGCCAACACTGGTGATAAAGTGTAGAACTATAAGGAGGTACAACTTCCTGAACGTAAACAAGTTTTGAAAGGCTCACCACCGTTCTCTGATAAATCAAGTTTGTTCGTTCACATGACCCGGCCTGGCCTTTCTTTAACAAAAGGGCTCTGCTTGACAGGGGGGCAACAGAGGGACTGATCCAGTGAAAGGGGTTGTGGGCTGGGGGAGAAAACAGCAGGGCAGCCCAGCCAGAGCAGGCCTGTGACATCACAAAGCCTTTCCCCACTGACCCCTGACCCCCAGGACCTCTGGACAGAAGGGGAGCACAGAAGAGCCCATCCTCCACTCTCTGCCTACAGCTGACCGGAGACCTTTAACCCTTTCGCTGACAAAGGCCGGACCCCAGACCAAACTTGACTTTTGGAGCTTTGTGTAGACATCTTATAGTAAACTTATATTTCTGTTACCCTTTAATATACTGACTACAACTACAACATCACCACAGAAAGTTGGTGTGTCTAACACCAAAAAGACTTGTTTGTCTGTTTACATTTCAAAACTTTCAGTGTCTTCTTTAGTGACAGTTGTATCTATTTCTTCACAGCTTCCTACTGTTGACTATTTGGATGTCACCAAAACATTTTAACCTCAAAGTCAGTGTCAGTGTCAACATCAGTATGTTTCTGAAGGCATAGCCAGTTTCCATGACACCACTCACGGGATATCCCTTCTAAGACGTGTGAAAAGTGTCCATGGTAGACCAGGCCTTTTGAATAGACACAGCTGCTCTGTCCACTGATATGTGGACAAACAAATGCCCTGAAAACGTGGCCTTTTCTTCTGGGGCAGCCAGGGTTACTTCAAACAAAGGCTAACAGCCAAATGGCCTTTCAGAGATTCCTCTGTGTGGCAGACCATTCAGAGCCCAAGGTCTGCAATGACACTACTTTTTCAGTGCAGAAGAGACTAGTTCCTATTGATGTGCTTAAAGTCTTGGATTACTTTTTAAGTTTGCAGGTGGTACCTAACTCTAAAAAAGGACAAGATACTCTTGGGGTTGCCTATTTTTGGGGTATTATAAAAGAGCTTTTAGATTGACTATCAATGTATCTTTAACTATTTCCTATATCACTCCATAACTGGGCTGACAGCTTTAAACTTTAGCATAGCCAACCCTAAACAACCTACAATACATGGAAACCCAGACTAAAGCGTTTTTTCCTATGTAGGGAAAAAAGGAGAGGGGAGGGGTACATCTGCTTCCCATCTCCAGGTTAATTACCCATGAACTTGCCATTCTGATGCCTGCATGTTGACACCACAGAGGGTATATCACCAACAAGCTCAACCTATCCTCATGTTGTTCCCAACAGTGTGAGACAACAGCAAAGTTCAATATTAATGTCAGAAATTTCCTGTCACTCTGAGCCTCATACTCACTTGCGATAGTCAGACGTGATCTTTGGCTTAGGATAGCTCCATATTTGTTTTGGGAGAGGCACTGGTAAAATCCCTCATCTGATTCCTCCTTGGTATGCTTTATCTTTGGTATGTACAGTGAGCCATTTGGCAGAAACTGGATGTGCTCGCTTTCTGCCAACCGAACTCCATTCTTGAGCCACTTGATGGTGACTGGAGGCTGCCCATGAGCCTGACAGTCTAAGACAGCGGAGTCCTTTGGTAGTGCAGTAACATCACTGGGCTCTGTGATGAAGGACAGCTCACTAAAACATAAAACACCTGCAAAAAAGAAAGGGGACATCAGTTATGACTTGTTTTAGCCCATGATTACAGCTGCCCAAAAACACAATAGTATGTAAAACTACGTCTGATTTACAGGTAACATTTCAGAGGAGGCAATACAGATTAACAGTTATATTCGAGCAAAACCACACATCTGCATAATAACCATACAGCTCTGTGTAATTTGCTTCTATCATGTATATCTCAGAAACAGTAGTTTGTCACAAATGACATGAACTCGTCGGGTCTTGACGTTAACTCTAACGTAACTGATATGAGTAAAAGAGTAAAAGAAGAAAGTAGAAACAGAGTTTAAGTCGAGCGTCTGTTTTTATCTCTTCTTGCACCAGCGATAACATAAACCTTGTTCTTTCGTCGATAAATAGTCAAATAACAGGTTTATTTCAAAGAGAGTTAATGGACGACATAAATATGCGCAGTTCGTTGACGTTAATTAACAGTCGGTGCGCGCGGACCACAAATCAAGTCAGCGTTCTCATTAACAACGATAAATGTCGTTTAAAAAGTACAAACAAGACACTTACTTGATATAGGAATGAACAAAAGAAAAAGCAACCAGTGCCGGCGGGATTTCATCTTAAATTTCGCCATTTATCCTAAATTTTGAGTCATTTTTCCTCGTCCGCGAACCAACGCTCTCCAGCGTACGTGCCGCTCGTAGATCCACAGACTCACTTCTGGCAGCAGTCGAGGACCAACGGCAGAACTGGGGTGCCGGGGACTCTCTCTCACGCATGCGCATATGATACAAGCCAATAGCGTGTGTTTGTCCCACTGAGGTGTGAGGGACCCCAGAGGCCATTAAGTGGAACTGCCACAAATGAAGGAGCCAGGAAATGTCACTAGAAGATGTGATGACCAGACATGTTTATTTGTTTTCCACCAGATCCTCATCCAGTAAACTAATTAAAAAGAGTAACATCTACACAGTCTGCAGGCACAATCGGCTTTAATACATACTGTGGTTGAGTACAAGAGGCAGGATCTTTTAAGAAGAGCAACATTCATACTGTTTATGTAACCGTAACATAAGTATGTTTCTTTAACATTAAGTAAAGAAACAAAAAAAACAGCATGTACATCTTAAGGATTGCCCTTTAATGTCCCTTAGGTCTCGTCCTATGGTATCCTCTATTTAAGTCTTTCAGAGTAACTGTGCAGTTTCACTCATGTATTAAGTTACTGTCAACTGAACTGTTTCCACAGTTGTGTTAAAAAGCTGCTTTATATATTTTTCTGATTGTTTTTTAAGATCAAAAAGTATTTCACAATTCAGTTACTTGGTCCTCTACTACACTTTCGCTTAAAAAGCATGTATTAATTTAACTATTTGTCATTTCAACAAGTTGGAGGTTTCCAGTTTAACATTTTGGACCTTATATGAAACAGAAATGCACATTCATGTAAAGCGCTGATCTGGTATAGAGACCACATAGGCCTACCATTCTTTAAATCTTAAACAACAGTGACCAGTAATCAACAACAAATCTCCAGTGTAGAATCACCAAATCAGCCAAATTATACATTCTTAAACATGCAATGGATATTTAAAAAAAACAAAATAAGATAAACTCTGAATTATCAGTAACCAATAGCCACGTGTAGTAAGGTCACACTGACCAGCATCTGTTTCTACCATAGAACCTGGTAATTATGAGGAGATATTGATGGCTGCAAGTCAGCTGCCTAATGAATTCAGATATTGATCCAGCGACCGTGCCTTTTGACAATGACCCTCCCCTCTCCCAGCCCTCATTCAATGGCAACACAAAAGGGTCCAGCTGTGAGATCGTGCATGCTGCTTCAGTGAGACAGCCGCCCATTGGTTCAAGAAAATGCAGTTGTCACTTCCAAAATGGAGAATGTGTTTTCTCTTTCAGAGGATATTATATAATTCTTACTTTTAGCAGTATCTGCGAAATAGTTTTTAATGATTTTAAGGGATTACTGCCACAAACATGCACCTCCACTCTTCAATATCTAATCGAATGAGCACAGTTGAGTGTAATTATGTATTGATTTGGGCTAGCTATTGATTTAATCATCTTAAGCCTTATAGCTATAATTTAAGGCTCAGAACCAATGGTTAGATTAATTGGGTCCCATAATGTGTTTGCTCAGTGTTTCATATTTTTGTATTCTTCTTGGGATGATTCTTTTTCCAGGAGACATAAATGCATATTTTATGCTTAAAACAACCCAAACACACCCTGTTTTAATCTGCTGTTCACTTATGGTTATTGGTAAATTAACTGACAAGTAGCACGTCAGAAATTAGTGACTAACATGCAACAGTTTTACAAAGAAACATTACAAACAAATGACTTATCTTCTCTGTGTCTAAACTCTCAGGTCTTCTAATTTATTTCTTTTGTCAAGAGACTGTTGAGATTTTAATTCCTTAAATAATTGAAAGTTTAACTGCATTACTGCTGCTAAGCTCCACTGTGTAGTATGATGTTGTATACAAACAGAAACTGTGATTCAGTATTGGGGTATTGGTTGTGAAATCTGTCGACTCACGCCATCAAATGTCATGTGTAGGTGGAGGTTACCACCGGACTCCACATGGCTAAAGGTTAGGCTGCTTGGCCATGATCAATAGGGTTAAGGTCATTAACATGTTTTGAATATGAGGAGGCCCTGGGAAAGCAGAGTAGAGGAGCACCAAACCACGCTCTGATTGGCTGGAGCTCATCCCAAGAAAAGGCCACCCCCCACTGACCTTTAGGGTCATCTGAAGAGCCGATGACCTCTAACCCCATGCCAAGAGGAGGATGGAAAGAGTTTAGTCTGCATAGATTTGATTGCTAAAATATTAAAAAGGTGTTGTGTTTAACCAAAAGCAAATAAAGATCAGTGGTTACAATATTTGGAAACTTTCTGCTATGATGCCAGGCTTGAAAGTCCAATTAACAATTGTTTTTTGTCATTTTAAGGGGGAACACCCATATTCCTTCCAAAAATTTGTTGAATTGGTAGCATTATAATGAGATACTAAATTGAGGTAGCATTGAAAAATTATAAACCTATGTGGTGACTACTGATATTGATTCTGAGAAGTAAGATACGATACTTCTTTATTGGACCAACAAGGGGAAATTCCCATTTCTGTTCATCCCGTCCAACCCCGTTAGTGTTGAGATTTTAACCAAAATGTTTACTGCAGATCAATACAAAGCAGAATAAAATGCAAAGAATCTCAGTAAATTCTTTAAAAAAGTTTATTGGCTTTTAAAACCACTTTAAAAATCTCACCAGTGAGTACTTTCCATTGAAAAAAGAAACAACGCGTTTGCAATATTAACAAGCTACTGTACATTAAGCAGTACACCAGACAACACCACAGAGGAGGGTTTTTTTTTTCTACTGGTAGAAATGGACAGAGATAGTCAAACAGAGTTGGTTCTGGGTCAGTCAAAGGTAAAGAATCAGAGTCACTGCTTGATGGAGCTCCTGAACTCATAAAGAGGTGCATTTCCTTCATTCAAATTCATATATCAGTGCCTTATTGTTAAAAAAAAATTTAGAAATTTCTTCACAAATGCATTTTGCAAAAGGAGAATATGTAAAATAAACAAAAGATTTAAAAAAAAAACAACATTACATAAACAACATTAACTTAGTAAACAAAACACAACAAAAGTAATGTAACTCATGAAACTAGCACTGCCAGTCTGGTTAACAGAACCTGCCCAAATCACAGATGACAGTGGTTACCAAGAATACAAAATACAACAGAATTCATCACACAAGCGTGCGTACAATCATTTATCAACATAATGAGCATGTAGGTTTTAAAAGGTTATTTTTCTTTTTTCCCTCAATGCTTTATATTCTCATGTATGAGAATGAGTAAGAAATGTGTATCTCACTGAGATTAATGCACATTTTGCTACAAGACAATTAGTCATTTTCTCAATTTCCCTACTCATCTTGTCATAAAAAATATTTTTTTCTTTTTTATGTGGGCATCCATCATTTCATTTGTCCATAAAGATATGGCAAAGCCATGTGTCATAAAAATTTAGTGCAATAATGTGAACCTCCAAAGTTTGTTGAAACATGAGTTATTTTTTTCCAGTGTCTGCTGAAAAGCTTTGAGCACAATGTCTGTCACAGAGATGTTTGCAACCAGCTAACAGTATTACAACTTTTTTTTTTCTCAATATACCATGCTATTGATCCTGCTCAAAGCACACATCACTTCTGCAACTGCAGAGACCTATTATCTTTGAATAGAAAAAACGTAAAATGAAATCAGCAAGCGAGACCAGACAGCATTACTTGTACAACACATTGAGCCAGAAATGTAACACACAACATACAGTATCTTGCCGACCATAGATAAGCTTTTTTCTTTTAAATGGCACATACTTAGCTAGAATAATGGCCATAATATAGTGTCTTGATACATCAAATCTCTATGTATCTATCCTATTTACAGATGGAGCTTAAACATGACTTATACAACATTGACAATAGCCAAAAACTCAAGCAAGCATCCTACTGTATCACATAGCCTACCTGGCTAGCAGTGATGGTTTCAACATGCTTTCAGGTCCATAGTTACCTATAAAACATAGGACGGTGACCATTTCACTAGTTTACATACTGTACATAAGATTTATGCAACTTAATTGTTTTTGTCAAATGCAATAAACTCTTTTATATCTCCAAGGCTGCCTGCTTCCCGTTGCTGTTCATGATAACTAGGAGCGTCTCCATGTGTAATAATCTCTTTATGATTTCAAAACAGAGCATCTTTGGTATGGAAATAAGGCTGGATCTTCCACAAAAACCACATTTCACATCTTCTTGATCTCATGATGACATCAAAACATACGAGTCAGCCTCTGGCCTTCTGTGTGACTAAGCCTTCTCCATACCATCGATATTCTTAACCAAGTTGGAAGTATAGAGCATGCCAAACGAAATTCTCATGACTTAGAGTGTGCCTGCCATGGTTCTCATGAAATGACAGCCTATTAAATTCCCCTAAATCCATCATTGTTAAGGGCACACATAGTGTTGTCTTTAGCCTATACAATATGACTCTATATTGTAACACTGCAACACAAAAATAAGAAAAAGTACTGAAAACATCAGAGAAACAGCTGCCTTGATATGATGAAGCTCTGGATGGTTCCGAAGATTCTCAACATTTTGTTATATACAGTCTCTCTAAAGATGGCATAAGGCCTTGGCTTTGGGAATAAGGCAGCCAGTTGTTGATTCCTCTCGATGTATAGTCCACAAGGTGGCCTGAATTCCCATCTTCTCCCTACTGATTCATCTACTCCCTTTATAAGATATTAAACAGTACAAGAAGTATAGGCTTTAAGAAAAATTTCACTCTTGGACAATGCTCAGATGTGAATCAGTTTTGCACTGATTTGGTTATGATAAAGTATAAAGATTATGTCATAAATTCAGCACCTGGCAGCACAAGATGCTACCCTTTTTAATATTCAGATATGGCAGGCATATGTACTACAACTATTCTGTGCATATTCTACCATCCCAATATTATCTCCATTTGGTTGAACTTGAACTGCACACACTAAAACTGTTACACAACAGCATACGCTTTTTGGTCTATTGTGCCAAATTTCCTACCCATCTCACTTGTTCGATAAATACAAATATTGCATTATTGATTGGTTATAACATGGAAGATTATGTTTCTCTTTATGTCCTTACCATACAAACCTGCTCTTTGCAAGTGCATGCTGCCACCAAGTACAACACTTTTGACCTTGAAATGCTTACATTTCCAATTTCAGATAAGGGAAAAAGTGGTTAAGTACTGAAACTCCAGGTAACAAATGCAAAAGGAGAGAAGTAACCAAACGTCAGTAGGAGAGATTTTCTGGTAAGCCTGGCACTTTAACTGAATGAATGGCAAAGTCCAGACAAATCCCAACAAAGTGTAGTTTAAAAACAGATATACTACATACGCACCAAACAAACAACAGAGAACAAAAATCATACACAATAAAAGATAACATCAGCCCAGCATCTCTACCGTCGTAGGCTGGTCTTTGCTCTCTAGCCAGTCAAAACCAGAGTTCACAGTATCACCGCATATCTGCTGAAAAAGAGGGTCGTTCTTCAGTTCTTCCAGTGTTGAGTCTTCATATTGTTCCTGCTGCTGATTGGGGTCAAACAGCAGGTTGGTGTCCAATGTGTTAAGGTCAGTGATGCTACTGGAAAGATCTGAGGTCAGTCTGATGTCGTTTGAGAAGTCGGACGCCACGGCATTGAGCTCCGAAGCTACCTGACCCACCAACTGGGAACTGGGGTTAAGGCCGTCATCCCCCAACAAGTCCTTGACAGTGTTGTTGAAATCTAACTGTTGCTGCTCATCCTCCACCTCTTGCTGCTGCTGTGTGCTCTGGAGGAGGAGCTGGGGTTGTGTCTGCACGGGATTCTCCTGGAGCTGCTGCTGCGGCTGCTCTTGCTCAGCAGAACCTGCTTGTGCTTGGCCATCCCCAGTGGAGAAACTCACCTGTTCTCCACTCCCAGTGTTGAGATAGCCGTGCTGCTGGAGCTCGAAAGCAGCAGGGCTGGAGCTCACAGGAGCTAACTGGCTCTGGTGAGCAGTTCCTCCAGCGAAGCCAGGAGTGGTCTCCAGGATTTGTGTGAGATTCATACGGGCTGTGTAGTTAGATGGGAGGTTGTTTATGCCCAGGCCACGTACAGAATCATCCCCGTCGGCCTCCATCTTGCTGAGGAGAACATTTGTGATTTTGGCTGTGTTACTCTGACCCTGCACAGGCAGCATCTCACTCTGCATCATGATGTTCAGAGGTACAGACTGGCTACGCTGGACCATGCTGTGGACAGAGCTGACAGTCTGGCTGTTGGAAAGGATGTTGAGCACCTCAGAGGTGATCGGAGAGTTAAAGGGCGACACCACAGCTCGAGTGGTAGCAGTAGAGGTGGTATTTGTGGTGGTGGAGGAGGTGGTTAGCGGGTTGGTGTTGCCACTGAAGTTTCTCTGGCGTACAGCAGGGCTAACACTACGACAGCGGAAAGTACTGGACGCGGATGAGGTTGATGCCTTGTTGTCCAAGGGCGCAGGCACAGCAAAACTCTCCTGTTTAGTGGGAGTTGTTACACCTGTTGCCAGCTGCTGTTGCTGCTGCTGCTGTTGTTGTTGGACTGGAGAAATGGGGGTTAAACGACCAAAGTGAGCAGTATCCTGTCTAGCCTGAGCCTGAAAAGACTGGCCGGGGATTGCAAAGGCATGTGGCTTACGAAACTGGTCATCCACTAGGTCTTGGTAGCTGGGAAGAATGCCAATGCTGTGGTTGGACAAAGGTCCTGCAGAGGTGCTGTTGTAGCGGTTGTTGATCCACTCTAGTTTCGCCTTGTCAGGGTGCGTTGCCATTGGCCTCTGCATGGGCTTGACTGGGCTGCTGGAGACAATACTAGCATCGTGATAACCTGTAATGCTCGAGTTGATGGGAGTGAATGCAAAGGGGTTCCTGCACTCCACCGGGCTCGGGGGAACACTGCTGCTGCAGTTGGACAAAGGTGTGCTGATGGGAGTGTGGCGACCCATGGCTCCATCCACAGGGGTGATGGGAGCCATGCGGGAGCAGGGGCTTTCTCGCGTCAGGCTGTGTCCGAGCGTCATTTCAGAGGTGGGGGTTGGTGTCGGGGTTGGAGTTGGTGTTGGAGTAGGAGTCTGAACTGGGGTGGTACTACTGTGGGCAGAGTGGTAGAAGGTAGTACCAGCCTGGTGAGCATTTAAGATCGAGCCTTGACTGCTGGCTGACTGGCCTTGTAAAGACACCTCAACGCAGCTGCCAAACAGACCCTTGAGCTTCATCTGCTCCTCCATTTGGACCAGTTCCTCCACAATGCTGTCCTGGGTCATGTCGTCATCATTGAACGGGAAGTAGTCCATGTTAGGTTGAGAACCTGCAAAGTCAACCATCTCCTGTGTGAGGGTGAGCTGACCTGAGGACTCGGTCGGTTGAGCTATGATGGAAAGTTGGTCGGTGGGGGCTTGTTTGTGTTCAGCTGGGATCTGCTGAGCAAACGCCTGCTTTTGAAGCTCGTCAAGCTGACCCTCTTCCCATATTGTGCTCTTAAGGTCACTCATCACAGAGGCTGCGTGTGCTCCTGAGTTGGCTGGTATGGCGTGAGGGTCCCCGGTGATCTGCTGTAACAACACCTGGTCGGGCGTGTTGCTTCCAGCTGCTCCAGTGCTGGCATCAGTGCTGAGAGAATGGTCTTCGTGCTTCACCACCACAGCTTGGGGTTTAACAACAGTCTGGGAGCCCTGTGTGTGTGTGATGGGTGAGTCAGAGAGTGCAAGAATCTGTGTGAGCCCTATGGTGGTGTGTTTCACAGTCACTTTGCAGGGGGCACTCTCTGGTCGGGCAGGGGTTCCTGGCCTGGGTAGCCTCTTCACTGCAGCACTAACTCCAGGCTTGGGATTGTCGACTACAGCCACTGGCTGCTGGGAGATAAACACCCTCTTAACAGGAATCACATGGGAATCCCCGCTTGGGCCTGTGCGCTTCCTTGGGCTTTTAGCATCTGGGCAGGGATCCTTCAATGTCGGGGTAACAGCAGATGAGCCATTCGATGAAGTGTTGCCATTGGAGTTTTGATTATCAACAGTCAAGTACAAAGTACTGTCATGGCAGTTACTGTTATTGCTGTCCTGAGTCCCAGCTACAGAGATGGGAGGGGATGTGGGGTCACTTTTCACCCTCATCCCTTTGTCAGATACTGGAGAACACTTCACCAGGAAGCTCGGCTCACTGACAGCCCTGAATTTTGCCAGCCTATCTTTGTCCTCTTTGGCCCCTACAGCCATTTTCTCTAGACCAGTGGCAGAGTTGTTGTCACTTCCAGCTTCAGACCCCACTTTAGTGTTACTGGAGAGGGTTGGAGTGGGGACTGGGGCGCCGGGCCTAATCGCAGGAGACTGAGGAGCGGCCAAGCTCCCACCTTGTGCCTGCTGGGAATCGTCTGAAACAGCTGTTGTACTCACACCTGCAGAAGCAGGGCGCACGGTTGTACTGCTGCTGCTGGGAGCCAGAGCAATGGCTGTCATCTTCACCACATTGACTGAGCTGACATGGGGAGTGGGCATCACAGTTTTGATGGGGCTGTTTGTGATGAGCAGGGTCGGGGGTGAACGCAGGGTGATGGCACTGGTGGCAGAGGGCTTAGGCAGAATCTGGGCATACCTTGTACCGTGTCGTGCCAGACGGTCACCCACGGGACTGGCTGAGATGTTCTGGGGAGTTTTGGGCGACTGTTTAAGAGACTGAGTGACTACTTGGAAGTTCACTGGCAGCACTTTTCCTTCTGCTGTCCCAACAGGGCTGGGCGAGGTCATCAACTGCCTGCTTCTTTGTACCTGGTAAAGAAACAGTGGGATGATAAATTCTGATGAAATCACATTTATCAGTTCTTTTAATTTTAATAATCATCTGGAAAAATTCCACATACCGTGACTGGGCTTGGAACAGCTGCTACTACGATGCCTATGGTAGGCTGTGGGGAAAGCAAAGCAGGGCTGCCACAGGGGATGGTGGGCCCAGGGGTGCTGGCCTCAGTTCTCTTAACCTGGGCCTCACTGGGAAGGGGCGAGTGGAGCTTCTGCTCCTGCTGCTTCTTCTGGATCTTGCGCTGCAGTTGCTGCTTTGCATCAACAGAGGGAGACGGTAGGGTCTTCACCTGGGGCTGAAACGAGTTTGCCTCAGCAGTGGGCACGAACGCAGAGGCTGGGGTTGGGGTCTTCATCCCTGTCACGAGAAGAAAGGCAGGAACAACGATGGAGGCATTTTTACAAGCAGTATTACCAATACATTTCTCTTATGTTTTTCAGAGAGGTCAGGACAGCAGGAAATAGTGAGAGAGAGAATTGGGAGCAGCATGCCAGAACCAAACCCCCACACAGACTGACCACTTCACCTCTTCTGTTAACAACACTCACTCGGGAACCATGGAGACCAGTTTCTGGGTTTTAAAAGTGAAATGTTGTCCCATTTTTGCCTGGTAGAGAAAGGGTCTCCTTGCCATCATTTTTGTGTCATGATGCACCAAATATTTTAGTAGGTGACAAGTCGGAACTGCAGGCTGATCAGTTTACCGCAAGGATTCTTCTGCTGTAAGGCTGAAAATTTAAAGTGTACACCGATAAAAAGGTGAGCGGTCCCTCTGGTCTTCATAGCTGAAGATGTGGCGTGCATGATTTCAAAAAAGCAATTGTCAAGTTTTGATTTGTCAGATTAGGACAGCTTTTACACACACTAGCTGTACTTTTTTTCTGATTAATACATCGAACAAAACATGCAAAAAAAAATTTAAAATACACACACACACTCACACACACACACACACACACACACACGCACACACACACACACACACACACACACACACCCACACACACACACACACACACACACACACACTCACACTCACCCACAGGTAAAATGACCACAGGGGCAGATCAGAGGATATCCCTACCTGTGGGTGTTCCGGTCATAACAGTGAGCGCAGCCATGGACTTAGTACCAATGTAGTGGCTATTAAGCAGGAACCGGGCCAGATCCTCCACATTGTCGAACTGGCGACTCAGAACCTTCTGGGCCCACTCACACACCAGTCCACAGGCTGCAGATCTCATTTCATCCTCAGCGCTCGGGGACTGACCCGTCGGCTCCATCAGTTCACACTGCAGTCACACAGACGCTGATTAAGCATCAGAGTGTTGTAAAAATACAACGCTTTGGCGTTTATTCAATTCCTTAAACTTACCCCATCACCAGATTTCTGCAGGTCCAGGTTGGGTAAAGAAGGCATGTGAACAAAAGCTTTCTTCCTCAACCCGCTATAACAGTATGTGAGAAGGAGTTAAGGTGTCTGAAACATTTCCACTGTGGGTAACAAAATATAAACACTTTGTATGTGGGCTGTATGTCAATGAGTTTTAAGATGATGTCTTAAAACTCATTTATACATAGATAAATAAGCTACGAGCAGACTGAAGGGGTTTCCTCAGATAAATACATTAAATGAAGAGAACACATTGAGAGTTTTAACAGATTTTGTACTTTTGTATTTGGATATGGTGCTTGAATAATGTTGAGTTTCTTTCTCAAAAGCTACAAATAAAGGTTTGAAGAGACCAAATTTGGCTTTGGGAACGTGGGACTGTCCTCAAAACATCTTTTGTGGGTCATCAGGTGAATATGATGTACAATGGACACATTTGGAGGCGAAATACAGTATTTCTCTGACAGTATTTCTGGTAGTTAAACAGGCTTGGCCTCCTCCGCCTGCTAGTACAACCACTCTACTTGGACAAACCACACTAAAGACTGAAACTGCATAGAGTGAAACTCTGTACAGTAAATCACAATGTGAAAACGTCATCACATACAGTCAATGATATTTCGTGCAATGTCTCCAGCAGGTGCAGATCTGGTGCTTACACTAGCACTGTTTTCATTTGCAGACCTACACCACAGAAGTATCTAAAGCCTCAACCTTGGTGAGACACTAGTGTTTCATTTGCTCTTGTTCTTAACACATTTATCAACCACGAAACTTTGTTTTTCTAAAACTGTACACCGACCAGTTGGCATACAACATGGTTTGCCGATATTCTGATACAATTCAAACACCAAATAAAATTACTGCCCGTTACCCTTCTGTCTCTCCTAGGCAGCCCTATAAATAAAGAAAAGATGTACAAAAATTAACTGTTTAAAAAGACTTGGGTTATATTAGTACTATGAGTTAAGTTACAGAGATCATATCAAGTAAAAAAAAACCCGATTTGTATCTCCAGACCACTATGACATGTCTACATTCAAGGAATGGTATCAACTTACTCGCTTACTGCTAGATTAACATCCAAAGGTGAAGCACAGCCAGACTGCAGCCCAGAAAGACAAGCTCATGAGAATGAAAGGATATTTGGATTTGCCCCTCATGCCCAGTCGACGTGCCTTCATGTTGGGAAAGACATTCTTCATGATCTTTCCAAAGTCTGCTGCACTCAGTGGATTGTAGCCGAGATTGTCACAATAGCTCCTGTAAGAGAAGAAGACCACCATAGGATAATGCAGTAATAGATCCTGTTTATGAAGTACAGTTCTGTTTATGACCCGGCACACTCACTTGTATTCATCATACACCTCTTGCTTTGGGAGGGAAGTCTCTGGGTGCTCTTCTAGGTGATTCCGTATCCAGTTGAATGCATACATCTGTTGAGTACGGCTTGACGACATGGAACTCTGATCACTGAAATCGATACAAAAGACAGATAAATCTGGTGAGGTAGTGTCCTTGACTTATATGCCTCATTTCTTGTTAATACAGAAACTTTAATACCATAATCCAGGAGTGGAGGACCCCCTCTCATTCTCAGTCCAAATGGGTAGAATTGGGGGGTTGGGGTGATGAATAGATATGGGGAAACAAATGAAACACAGACAGCTAGGTATAGCAAAAATCTACACATATCAGTGGTTTGCTTTATAATGATAATCAATCATACAGCCAGAAAATAAATGACAATACGGCATGAAGAAAAAAATTCACCAGTGAATAACGCCCCCCCTGAAAAACAGCACAAGCAGATAAAACTTAAAAGTTAACCTTTTCTAAAGAAGCCTTAAGCCTTCACTCTTTCTTCATAGTCTCAAGCGGATAGTGAGACGCCTCTTTTCACAAGCAATGAGACAACAGTGCCAATAATGTAATGAAAGCCATACAAAGCAGCCACATGTGTGTGTGTATGTGAGAGAGAGAGAGAGAGAGAGAGAGAAAATAACAGCACAGAGAGAAATCAGAGTGCAGCCTGTGTCTGTGATGTACCTTTTGTCATTGCCACTGCTGGGACCAGAAGGCAACTTCAGGTAGAGGTAGAGTTTTTCGATGTCTGTAAACTTCTCAACATCTTGCTGTAAAAATAAAATTGAGAAAAAGGGAAAAAAAGATTTAACAAAAAAAAAAAAAAGTCTTATTTTAAACATTTTAGATCCTTTTGCTCTGTTCCCACCAGGATATCTAATACTTGTAAAATCAACCGGTGATGTTGAGATTATTGCACCAAGAGCTCCTTAGGTTTTATGTTTCTAAAAGTGTTAATCATCTCAAACTGAGTCTGCTCTTTTTATTTAGACAGATACTTTTATTCCTTTATTCATTTCTAAATCTCGTTATCAGTCGATTTCATTTCAATGTTTATTTCAAATCTTATTTTACATTTTAGTCCTTGTGTTTTGTTTTGTCTTTTATTTGTCCGTTATTATGTTTTATATACAACCTTTGGGAGCGGTTGCTTAAAACCAATTTTCCACTCTGCCTTCCTTAAGTTTTAAACAGCACTAAACTGCCACCACAAAGCTTTCACATATCTCACAAAGAAGAAGCAATAATTTTTTACTTCACAAAATAATGATCAAAACAGAGGATAGAGATGCTGATCAAAATCATACTTGAGGTCCTATTCTTTTTTTTTTACCCAGAAACAGACAAACGGATAAAGAAACACAGACAGTGTTGGTAATCTGGTTCAGAAAAAAAAGGACTGATTTAAAATTATTACACAAGTGTGACAGCAGCACACAGCCTCCTCTCTATTGATTCCAACCCAACTGCTTTGAATTGGTTTCTAAGAATGGGTTCATCTCACCTTGTCATTTCCTATTTGCCTCTTTGTTGCTAGGGTAACCAATCCTTGAATGAATGAGGTGAGAGCTGTCAGCCAATCAACAGTGAATCAAGACACAATTTACTTCACTCCATTGTTACAAACACAAGACGAGTCACCTGTCTGAGCCCTCCTCTGCTCTGCTCTTTAGTTTTATTTCTGCACCACCACCTTAAATGTTTTGGTGAATTTTCTAGCACGGTTCTTGTTGCATGGCATTAGCATGCTAACTGGTAACCCGGGCAACCTCAAATGTTTGATTTCATTGATATAATTTGGTTTTCATTTAGAGAAACATGTGCCTCAAATATGGAAAAACCTCTTCTGAAGCCTTAAACTGCACAGCTGCACACCACCTGTGTGTTACAATTTCTAAACAAAAGCATTAAAAACAGACTGAATGTTTTGATCCCAGGATCCACGGCCATTATGCTTTGCAACTAACATGAGTTGTTCCCATACTTATTATCTTTGTCTAGTTCACATTCAATCCATACATGTAGAATTTTGGCGTCTTTTATTGATTATATCTTGGTTTAGGAAATTTTAATGAGATTGTTTGAACTTTTATCAGCTGACTTTGAAACATAGTTTTATCAAACACTCACACTAATTCTGCACAAACCAACAGGATGTCATAAAATTGTTTCTCAAACCAACCGTCTTGAAACCAAAACACTGTGTATAGAATTATTATCTTGATGGACAACAGGGGGGCATGGTTGTCCTGCCGCTTCAGGTAGGGTGACTAAACCTCTCTGAACTCTTCTGAGGAAGGCTGGAGGACATTTTAGTTGAAACATGTCATGGTAAAATTTATGTAAAAATGATATTTTTTGGCAACCAAATCGTCTACTTATTGCCTGCTTGTAGCACATCTGACCTTGAGCTTCCCCTGTCTGCGTTTGCACTTGTCAAAATTACAGATGTTTTTGCATGAAACTGATCACACATTTTAAATAGTAGGACACTTACATCACTGTGTAAACAGGGAGAATCTGCTCAAAACATGTCCAACATGTGGACACAAAACTACACCTAGAGTGGGGGTGTTGAAAGGTGATTTAATTATAATAAACTGATTTTGAACCACATAATTAAGAACCGTTCTTTTCAATCTCAAGGCAGTTTTCAACCTATATTAACAATATAAAAAAGACCAGCTGCCTTTAACTGAGACATCCAGGTATGTTTTGAAGTGAAAAATCCTTCTCAAAAGTGCAGTAGTGTTGTCGAAGCATCTAACGATAAATGATTATGTTCCCTTACATTATATCCACTGAAGTAATGAAAGGTTGACTGTCTTTTCTTTTTTTCTATCTGGTGAAAAATGAAAGGGACTAAACTCGACTGCTGGAACTTGTCAAACATATGACAGATTTTTTGATTCTGAAATACAGACTTTTAACATTTTCTATTTTTCTGATAATTAATATTGCTCCAGTGAATCTGGCATGACTTTGTCACTGAATACAAAGCCTGAGAGGTAAAGTGACAACAAGTGTTCAGTTTTAAAAGAAAGGGTGTTTTAATATACAAACATAATTTTAATGGAGCATTGTTCATGTTGATACACTGAGATACACTTTTTTCTGCAGTGTAAATAAAGACCAGACCAAATGCAGCATCATGATGTTGATTAACTTATTTTATACATTAAAATTTTCAAAGGAATCTTAAATTTTTATTTGAAATCTGTGACAAAATCAAAGCTTTCACACATTTTTTTATACACCAACTACCAGCTTTACATGAAAAAAGATACAAAAGTGATTTTTAACACCAGGAAAAAAGGTTTCATCTGTACTATTTTTTGTATACTCACCAATATGCTGTCCACTTTTGATTGTACAGATTTGCTGCAATGAGAGAGAGAGAGAGAGAGAGAGAGAGAGAGAGAGAGCACAAAAAAGGATTGTAAATGAAAAAAGCATCAAATTCAGTGAGAAATTTTTGTATTTTTCAAAATTAGCATTTTTTTCCCAAATCCTGTCCATCTTTTTATATTCATAAGTAGTCCTGAATAAAACTAGTTATCACAGTGACCCGACATATAAACATAATCTTCATTAATGTATTAATCTTTCTTGCCATGTGGATCTGAAGTACCACTCATTCTGAATTCATTCTGAATTCTGACTAAAATGGAAAAAATGAAAATATCTTTTTCATAAGTAAACCAGATGTCATACTATGCGATGGCTTTTTTCCCAAAAAATAAAAGGTGGGAGTTTTTAAAATCTACAATTTTCAACTGTACTTCAGGACTGCCCTCCTGTGATCAGAACCCTCATGACACATGCTGAGACCTATTGAAAAACACCCACAGACCTCCAAGAGCTTCATCTTGGATGTATGCTTCAGGTTGTTGTTGGGCCAAGTTTATCAAGTTCAGCTGAAGAACCTGCACCAGAGAAAGTCCTGGTGCTTCCATATTTACCAATAATTATCTCCTCTGTGCTCTTGGATATCCTATGTCCTAAAATATCCTATTTGTGTTATTATTGGCCCACCAGTATTAGGTCAGCAGATTTCCTCCAGTATAATAATGTAAACTTCAGCACTTTATTTTAAGTGTCTTTAATGAGCCAAGGAAATCTGGTAAATTAAAGAGTGAGAAAGATTTGATAAATAGTCAAGAATGTGGGGGGAAAATATTTGGTGTTTTATTTCATGATTTAATTTTGCACTTCAAGTTACAAGTCAAACATGGTTGGATTTTTTATTTCATGCTTTGATTCTGTTCAACTCAGTATTTAGACTTGTGTCATTTTTATACTTTAGATTCCAATTTTAAATCATATTTTGTCCTTTTAAACCTGATTTCAACGTTTTGCTCATGTACTTGCTCTTTGAAAGCATTATTTTCTATTTTTAATATCATGCTCTGATCTTTTCAACTAATAAATACAAATAGAATAAAAAAGTTTAATAAAATATTTTTTTTCTATCTCAGATTGCCTTTAAACTTAACTTTTTATCTTTTTTGAATTTCAAAATGATTTATGATCATTGATGTTTTTGTTACATATTTTTTGAAAAGGAGGTTGACATTTTTGATGAAATGTTGACCCTGTTTGGCCCTCAGGTTAGACCTAAATCCAGATTATGGCCTTGCTGTGGTTGAGTTTGACACACCTGTAAATCATAATAAAATGCTTTATAGTGTGTTATATTTATTGCTATAAAGCATTATGATCATTAATGAGTGTTTATTACTACAGTTACACAGTGCTATACCTTGATTATAACGCATTATGTATTTATAATGCGTTACAGGGATAGGCGTCAAGTAAAGTGTTACCAAACAAACAATCTCCACCATCATTTACATTTAGGTGTTTTTTTTTTCCTTTTTGGTTTGTTTGTTTCTGGTTAATTTGCTAAAAGAATCGGTGCTCGGGTGTCTCTGTGTATAGCCCTCAGTTTTGACACCTGTCATCCCGAGCATCAGCACCACCGCTGGATTCGGTGTCATCTATCACATGGCCTCCTCCTCCTCCTCTGGCTCGATGCTACCGATTAAAGCCAATGCTGCTGCTGCTGTGTGTGTGTGTAACCCGTCGTCATTAGCGATATTTATGCACGCACACGTAGAAGAAAATGAAGCTTTCCTCGTTGCTATCTAATTTCTATCAAATACTGAAGCAAAGCACGGGAGCCCTTGGGTTATTTTCAGCCGCTTTATGCAGCACACACAGTCTCCCAGAAGCTAGATACGCTAATTATGAGGCTACGGCTAGCGAAAAAGGACAGTGTGGCTGCACCCGAGGAGCATTTCCATCCTTACCAAATTGAATTCTTGATTTTGAATTGTAACGCGTTGGCCTCGGGCCCCTGGAGTCCTGGCACCAACGCTGGAAGAGAGCCTAATCCCGAGGCAGGCTTCTGACCAGGTTGTTGTTGATCATCAGCCATCACGATGGAGGGGTGGTGGGGGAGCTTTAACAAGTAGGCCTCATCCCCGGCTGTGCACTGCACCGGACCCACCGCTGCTGGAGCGGCTCAGGCAGCTAGGACAGCCCGTTCAATCCGCCACAGAGCATGGCTACAAATGCTGTGATGTGACCCTCGTGAAACCCAAAAACTAAACCAAAAAATTATATCCGGGAATACAAAAGGCATTTCGCAGAGGTCTCTCCGCTGCCGCAAATAGCACGCCTGCAGCAGCCAGCAGCAGCTACAGACGAGCTGGCTGCGTCAAGTTACGCACAGGTAGCAGCGTACAGACCGGAAGTTCAGCCAGTTTTTACCCTTCATATGAAAACACGACATCTGGAGATCAGATATTCTTATTTATTTGTTTGTTGGGAACCCCATTAGCTTCCAAAAAGTGGTTGCTGGTTCTTCTGGGGTCTAAAAACGACATGTTGATGACAGTAGCCATAACACATCAGACCATAACACATTTTCCCACATGTGTTTGGGAGATTTTGGATGTCTTTTTGCAAAATTTAGCTGGGCTTTGATGTTTTTCTTTGTAAGACAAAGCTTCTGTCTTGCCACCCTACCCTATATCCCAGACATATGAAGACAGCGGGAGATTGTTGTCACATGTACTACATGTATTACTCTGATGCTTTGGAAGCTCTCTGCGGACCATGGCTTGTGCTGGAAGATGTGGCTACAAAAATGTCAGGAAAAGCCTACTGGAACAGCTGAACTTTATTTGGGGTTGATCAGAGGCACTTTAATTGATGAAAGGTGTGTGCTGACTCCAATTTAACCTGAGTTTGAATGTTATTGGTTAAATCTGAACACAGCCACATCCCCACTTATTAAAGGGTGTGTACACTTATGCAACCTCATGATCTCAGTTGTGTATTTTTACTTCACTTCCCTGAAGATTTCTGTTTGTTTTTCAGTTGTGTTGTACAGATTATAGGTCACATTAAAGGAGGAAGAGGTTGTGAAATTATTTATCATGATTAGATTTTTTTACATGACAGAAACCTGGCAGTTGAACAGGGGTGTGTAGACTTTTTATATCCACTGTAGCTTGTTCTGTACCTTTAACCACTTTTAAGTAAATTTAAGTCACAAGGTCCATTTAGCATATGTCTAGTACTGAAAACAATGCATTTGTTTTTGGAAATGTTTAAAACCATTTTATTCACCTTAACCCAATTAATAATGGCAGTGAGTTGAGTTTGTAAGTTCTGGCCAAGATTAGTAATTGAAGGAGATGCACAAAACAATCATCAAACATCATCTGCATACATTACTACATCCGCATTCATAGCATAATTCAGCAAATCATTTACAAAAACTGAGAATAAAAGTGGACCTAAACAGCTACCCTTGGATAAGGAATTGTGTGGGTATCTAATTGGATAGAAATATACACAAGAAGGGAATGGAATAACAAAGAACGAGAATGATAACAAATAAAAAACACATGGAAGTACACCAAAAGTTAGTTGAATTTGAATAGAAATCAAATTTCGTGACTAAATTGGCCTATGCAGTGTTTGAAATGAAAACGGCAGATTAAGCAAATGTATCTAGTTACAAGAAGAGAATAGCCTACTCTTGGCTGACAACAATAAATCTCCATGAGGCTGATCAACAGTGTGAGTCTTCTTAGATTAACTCCCATCCTCTGTGTTTCATGCCATCACCTCCCTAAATTTTAGGCCTTTCCTGTACGTTCAGTTTTGACTGTCCAATAAAAGACTGCGCAACCAGAATAAACAAATAAAGAGTGTGATTCAAGGTTGTTGTGCATTTGAGACAATAATGGCATCCACTGTTAAGTACCTCTTAAGTGGCCCTTTTCTGTCTAAATCTAAATATCTGGCCAAATGTCAAATAATACTGTATAATTTAATGTTTTTAGCAGATTTGGGCATTGGCAAGTTGGATTAATCTTTCTGAAGGTGAGAAATTTATACTTTTGAAAAATATATGGACTTAGACCATCTATAATAATACCATTCCATTATCATCTCTTTGTCTATTTCTTTGGTTTAAAGAAAAAGGCACATAAATAACAATTTACTGTCTGGTTTTAAAGAAATTGAATTCCATTTTCTCCAAATAACGCTTGAATTAAAGCATCACATGTAAACTGCACTTTAAAATGCTCACTTTTTCTCGACAAATGGATAACTTATGTCGTTCTAAATTCAGTTTTAATTTAAAATCCTACCGGGAAATTTGGTGAGTCTTTTCTGTAACTTGACTCTGGTTTGTGTACTGTAGTTCCACCATCTGCCGACAGGGGCGCTGCTGCAGGAAGCTGGTTGATCAGATAGTGACAATGACGGGTAAACAGCAAGGATGATATCACTACAACATGTAAACCAGTCATTTAACAGCGTGTTTATTGATCTCACAATGTTCCAGTATGTTTCTACTGAATAAATATCTGCTTAATATCTCTGTGATGTGTCACCAAATGGACAGGTTGAAGTGTTTCAGTGCTTCACGCACAGATTACCATGTTTTTCTTCTGCTGAAATATTAGACACAGTTGACAGGGGAACTATAACCCGAGAGCTTGTATTAAATTGCGACTGTCCAAATACTATACAAATATATCTGCCCCTATGTCACATCATCTAACCAGCTTTATATGTCACATAGGTGTATTGTATTGCCATATTTACAATAAATATGCCAGATATGATTGGTTTTTAATCAATATATGATTGATAATATCTCTTATGACCCCCCAATAAAGGAAAAGAACAGAAATTCAGACAGGTGAAGCCACCAGGTCAAGAAAAACAAGACCCGAATATATTCCTCCAGCATGACTTATTTTATGTCGCCATCTGTTGGTGGTAAGAGGTAATGTGACTCCTCTGTTCCACTAACAACACATCAGTGTGATAAAACAAATGGTAGTGACCTGATAGAGCCAAACACATGGGAAAGATATGAACTGTGTGTTTTCAAGTAGGCCATAAAGAGACCTCAAACCCCCTGGGACACAATTATCAGAAGAAAGATGGATTAGTTCAAACCTTGTCTTGTGGTTTCTGCTCTGCACTGGACTTGAAATTCCTTTGCTCCAGTTTTGTTTGTATTTGTTTATTTAATGTTTCCAAGCCTCTTATTTGACTACTTCTTTGTTTGTCCTTTGGCAGCACCCTTTTTAGTGCTCATATGATAAGATCAGTCAGACATCATGGTCTACAAAAATAGGAGCCAACAGTTTGTCGTCTTGATCTGGGTGTTGCAGGGCCAAATGTGTGGGGATTCCTCAGCAGGAACTGGGAGGATTCAGTTGTAACACCATATCAAAAACTGGTTTAAGTGATGCTAAGCAATGCTACCAATGCCAAGACGACAAAAACGACCAAAGTTTTTTTGTTTTAACCTTTTTATTTGAATTCGAAATGCCTGACTTTTTGCCACATAATCTGAGAAATATAGTTGAACTTAATGGTGGTCGACCAGTTACAGTTTTTAACAACCACCTCTGATAATAGGAGAGCAGGTCAGCCAATGGCAGATATATGGTGCTGATATCATATTGTTGTTTTTTCCATTCTTTTCCTTGACAAAATACAACAATTAAGTAATAACAGAGAAACAAAGATTCACAGCACGAGTGAACACTGTACTAAATAACTGTAAACAAAAAATTTGCTGAGTAAAATCTTGACACAAAGGAATTTAGGATGTCTGTCCAGCCATCTTGAATTATCAAAAAAATGAATAAAAATCCAAGGTAAATATTGCAATTAAAATGGTAAAAAGTCATGTGTTAATCCATTATTTCATCACATTAAAATCTAAATTTTCACGGTTATCTTTGCCAGTTGAATGTTTTAAACAGATGTTTGATAAATTTGGAAAACATCATGACATCAGCTTTGTGAGGGCCAATTTGGAGATAACACCGATGCCAGTAATCAGGCTGATAAATAGGCCAACCGAAGCGATTAGTCGGGCCATCTCTAGGACAAAGCCATTGCTATTGTTTCAGTGGATGGCAAAAACCTCCCCTATTCACCAAAAATGATTCATTAAGAAGCTCTTGATTTTCAGGTATGGTGTATGTTAAGTTTACATGGTGTAATCATAGATTTGATTTCATTTCTAATTATATTGATACAATAATGCAATGTAGAAAAACTGGTCAAAGCTAACTTGCTAGACTTGTCGAAGAAGGGCCTTCATGCACCTATTGTAATTTTACTCTCAACATTGATAACACAGTTTTTTGTTGGTGAAACACTACCATCCATTGTAGATAGTTGCAGACCACTAAAATCAACATCTCTTTTCCTGGGGAAAAGCATACATTTTGTTTTGCTTGCCAGCTTGTCTGCATAAAGATTGTAATTGAAGTTGGTTATAGAAGAGACAATATAGATTATAAATAGAACAGGCCCTCGGATTGACTCTTGTGGAACACCTCTCGTTAATGGTAGAAGCTCTGATTAAATATTGAATAAATAATACTCTACACCAAAAACCTGCAAGAAAGATGATTTTTGTTTTCTGAATCTCAAAGAGCCAATGAATTGCTCCAATAAAATCTGTCTAAAATGCATTAATGATACTAAAATGCATCCAGAAAGGCAAAAAAAAGTAGGGATTGGTGGGTTAGTCAGAGCCTGATGGTTTTAACTCTTAGCAGCATAACCTCTCTGTCCTGTCTGTTGAGGCTCATAAGGAGCAAATTCTAACAGTAAACAGTGGGATTGTTTTGAGTCTGGGTTTCAATTTGATTTTATGTTTTATACTTATTTCATAATAGCCTCCTTGTTTATTTATTCTATAATTGTTTTCTGTTTTTTTTTTTTTTTTTACAGAAGTCATCTTTCAATATTTTGTTATATTATTATTTTTTTCTGTTTTGGCTGTTTTGCACCACCCTACCTTTTAGTTTTGATAGGTTATTCTGTCTCCAGTTTTGTCAGCTTCTGCATTTATTAAGTATTTGTATGAATTTCATTTTT